AGTCAGCGAATGGGTGCTGTGACGGCGGCGGCGGCGGCGGTGGTGGCGGCAGAGGCGGTGGAGGAGGGGACTGGGGAGGGGACGCCAGGGGAGGGGCGGCCGGCGAGGACTGAACAGGAGGGCCACCAGAGTCAGAAGACTCCTCAACCGGGTCCACCGACGGAAGGGGGGTAACGTGGGACACACCAGAGGGGGCAGGACGGGGAGGAGGAGGGGGGGGGGCAGGGACTACCGGGGAAGGGGTGACTAGGAACAGGGGGGGGGTAACCGGGGGACCACGGTGGGGAAAGCGGCGGTAGTAGGAGACGGACTCGTCAAAGGTGACGTCACGAGAGTGAAAGAAGCGGTGAGACGGCGGGTGGTAAAAGTGCCAGTCGGACGCGTCAAGGGGAAAACCGAGGAAGACGCAGGGAAGGGTGCGGGAAGTGAGCTTGTCCGTGCCGGAGGCACGGACGTGAGCAAGGCAGCCCCAGACGTGGAACGCAGACGCGTCACCAGGAGACCCAGTCCAAAGACGGGTCGGTGAAACCTGCGGCTGCTGAGGGTGCGGCCACAGGTTAAGCTGGTGAGAAGCGTAGCGCACAGCGAACGGCCACAGAAAATGGGGTGCACCGGCATGGATCATGGAAGTGCGAGCGACCTCCATGACCAAACCGATGCGTCGCTCAGCGACCCCATTCTGCTGTGGGGAGTCCGGTAGGGTGAACGTCTGGGTGATGCCCTCCGCACCACAAAAACGACCAAGGACACCGGAGGCAAACTCGCCACCACGGTCTGAGTGAAGACGCAAGACAGGGAGACCGCGGTGGACACGCGCAGAGACAAGCCAGGGGATGAGGGCGCCAGGCACGTCGGCCTTGCGCTCCAGTGGAAAGACTGTGGTGTAACGAGTGAAGTCGTCGACAAGCACAAGGAAGTAGCGCTCTCGACGCGGCCCAGGGACGGGGGCGGGGCCCCAGACGTCCAGGTGCAGGGTCTGCAGCGGCGCGGCGGTAGGGGGAAACGAGGAGGAGTGAGGGGCACGGCGAAGCCGACCCTCGACACAAGGCGTGCAAGGTGGGGCTGGAGAGGAGGGAAACGCGGGGAGCGAACCTGGGAGACCAAGGACGAGACCGTGCTGGGACATGTGACGCAGACGCGGGAGCGCAGGGTGACCTAGGCGGTGGTGCCACAGGAGGGTCGGGTGAGTGAGGGAGCGACAGGAGCAGGCAGCAGCAACCTGGGTAGACGCAGCCACCTGAGGGGGCGCTCCAGCCGGGGGGGTCGCGGTGTCCAGAGTGAACAGGCCGGACACCGGATCCCGGGGGAACGTGAACAGGGGGGCACCAGTGGCGGCCTCGGTACAGACAGCATACCGCTCGTGGCCAGGGAACGTAGTGGTGACGCCAAGGTCCTGGAGGCAGCCGACACCAACTAGGTTCCTGGAGAACGAGGGGATATGCAGACCTGTAAGAGAGCCCGAAGGAACCGCCGGACAGGGAAGGGTGGTGGAACTGCGGGCGACTACCGGACCGCCGGAGGGGTCAGCAAGAGAAACGGCAGCAGGAACAGGAAGCGGCGTCAGGGTGGTGGAGTCGCGGAAGAAACACCGAGAGGCGCCAGAGTCCAGGGTGAAGGACAGCGAAGCCGAGGGGTCTGGCGACGGAACGACGGCGGAAGCACCAAGACTACACAAAGCAGGGGATCCTACGCCTGACGCAGCAGGGGAGGCTAAGCTAGGCACACCTACACTAGGCAACAATGAGTAATAAGCGGGAAGCACACTAGAGTCATCAGCATACATCACATGCAGAGCGGAAACAATGGCATCCATGTCCATATCAAAAATCTGAACCTGACGACTAAGCAAACTGTGCCAGTCCGGGAGGTCTGGCGACGGGCCGAAGCGCTGACGAAAGAGGTCGTCCAGGCGACGAAAACAGCGGGGAGTGGAGTGACCGATCTTACCGCAAACGAAGCCGCGGCGAGGACCGGTCTTGATCTGGTACTGACAACGCCCGCCGCCAGAGCCACCACGCGGCACACCACCACGCGCCCGGCCACCGCCAGCGCCGGGCCACCCTGGCGGAAGGACACTCGGCTGCCGCGTCTGCGGCGGCTACTGCGAAGGCTGCGACTGCGGCGGCTGCTGCACCTGCAGGGGCGGCGACTCAGCTGAACTGGGCAGGGTCCCCTCGTCCACTCCAGCACCAGGCGACCCGACCCCACCACTACCCCCGCCCGCACCCCCGCCGCCTCCTCCGCCGCGCCCAGCCTTGGGGCGGCGGCCCTTCCCCGAACGGACCTGCGCTGCAGCAGCAGTCTCAGCCACTGCGGCAGAGCCGTCGGAGAAGGTGCACTGAGCGGGGGCACAACCCTGAAAGATAGGGACCGGCACGACACCGCTCGCCTGGGCGATGGAGCGGTGACGGGTCTCTATCACAGTCAGAGTGTCTACAAAGTCAGTGAGGGTGAGGTCTGCGGGGTGAACGCTAAAAAAGCGGTCGCGGGCGACAGCAAGGCGGTCAGGGAGGCGGGTGGCAAGCAGATAGAGGGTAGAGGTAATGGGCGGCTGGTGGGCTCTAAGCTGGGCGTCAGTGCAGGCAGCGCGCCAGGTCTCATCTATCGAGCGCAGGTGGGCAGCGAGGTCAGAGACAGTGGGGAAAGATGCAAGGTCAGGAAAGAGCATCGGAAGGATCAGGCGACCCACCGAGGCAGCCGGAGGGGTGGAATAGCGCTTGATCACAGCATCTAAGTATGCCTGAGCAGTAGTGAGAGACCTAAAGCGAGGACGCTCGGATGGGGGAAGGGCATTGCTAATGGCAAGCTGGGCAACAGCATCGCGAGAAAGCCAGACAGAGCGCGCACGGGCAGTGGCAGCAGTAGACTCACGCTCAGTGGGTGTGGGGTCAGCGGGCAGGATAGCAGGGGGGTCTGGGCAGGGGAGCGTACCGTCAAGGTGGGCGGAAAGCGGTTCACCATCCTGCCGCTGACCAGTGAGTTGGCGGCGGAGGTCGGCAAGCCACGCCTCGAACTCTAGGGGCTGACCTTCAGCGTCGAAGCGAAGCTCTGCCGCCATCAGGAACAGTCCAGTGCGGTGCAGGGCAGTGCAGTGCGGTGCAGGGCGGTGCAGTGCGGTGCAGTGCGGTACAGTGCGGTGCAGTGCGGTGTAGTGCGGTGCAGTGCGGTGCAGTGCGGTACAGTGCGGTGTAGTGCGGTGCAGTGCGGTGTAGTGCGGTGTAGTGCGGTGCCAGGCAGTACAGTGTGGTGCGGGGCGGCACGGGGCAGGGCGGGGTGGGGGGGGGGGGGGGGGGAACCGTACCAGTGCGGAGGACGGGGCTGGGGCTGGCCCGACGGGGCCGGGTGGGCGCGACGGGACCGGGCTGGTGCGACAGGGCCGGGACGGGGCGACGGGGCCGAGCGGGCGCGACGGGGCCGGGCTGGGGCGACGGGGCCGGGCGAGTGCGGCAGGGCCGGGCCGGTGCGACGGGGCCGGGCGAGCGGGACGGCGGCCGGGCGGGTGCGATGGGGCCGGGCGGCTGCGACGGGGCCGGGCAGGGTGCGACGGGGCCGGGCAGGTGCGACGGGGCCGGACGGCTGCGGCGGGGCCAGGCAAGGGCGACGGGGCCAGGCGGCTGCGACGGGGCCGGGCGGGCGCGACGGGGCCAGGCGGCTGCGACGGGGCCGGGCAGGGTGCGACGGGGCCGGGCAGGTGCGACGGGGCCGGACGGCTGCGACGGGGCCAGGCAAGGGCGACGGGGCCAGGCGGCTGCGACGGGGCCGGGCGGGCGCGACGGGGCCAGGCGGCTGCGACGGGGCCGGGCGGGCGCGACGGGGCCGGGCGGGTGCGACGGCGCCGGGCGGGCGCGACGGGGCCGGGCGGCTGCGACGGCGCCGGGCAGGCGCGACGGGGCCGGGCGGCTGCGACGGGGTCGGGCAGGGTGCGACGGGGCCCAGGAGGGGCGCTACAGGGCCCAGGGAGGGCGCGACGGGGCCCAGTAGGGGCGCTACGGAGCCACGGAGGGGCGCGACGGGGCCTGGGAGGGGCGGGACGGGGCCCAGGAGGGGCGCGACAGAGCCCAGGAGGGGCGCTACGGGGCCTGGGAGGAGCGCGACGGGGCCCAGGAGGGGCGCTAGGGGGCCTGGGAGGAGCGCGACGGGGCCTGGGAGGGGCGCGACGGGGCCTGGGAGGGGCGTTACAGGGCCCAGGAGGGGCGCTACGAAGCCCAGGAGAGGCGCGACGAGGCCCAGGAGGGGTGCTACGGGGCCCAGGAGGGGCGCGACGGGGCGCTACGGGGCCTGGGAGGAGCGCGACGGGGCCCAGGAGGGGCGCTAGGGGGCCTGGGAGGAGCGCGACGGGGCCTGGGAGGGGCGCGACGGGGCCTGGGAGGGGCGTTACAGGGCCCAGGAGGGGCGCTACGAAGCCCAGGAGGGGCGCGACGAGGCCCAGGAGGGGCGCTACGGGGCCTAGGAGGGGCGCGACGGGGCGCTACGGGACCTGGGAGGAGCGCGACGGGGCCCAGGAGGGGCGCTAGTGGGCCTGGGAGGAGCGCGACGGGGCCTGGGAGGGGCGCGACGGGGCCTGGGAGGGGCGTTACGAAGCCCAGGAGGGGCGCGACGAGGCCCAGGAGGGGCGCTACGGGGCCTGGGAGGAGCGCGACGGGGCCTGGGAGGAGCGCAACGGGGCCCAGGAGGGGCGCTAGGGGGCATGAGCGGAAGTGGTAGGTGGGGGGGGGGGATCCTACCTACGCGTGATACCATATCAGAATAATTGAATAATGGTAAAGATGAGAGTACACACAAATATACCTAAGTGTTGTACCCTCTAGGCGGTAACCCTATACAGTCTATACAAACATAACAAATACAGATGTTTGACAGGAGTTGCGTGCTGCGCACCCGCTCATTTGTCGAGCCACGGGCGGGGCTCGTGTCCGCTCGTGTTCCAGCGTTTTGCTGTTGATACTGTAGTTGTACCTCAACACACTCACACTCGGCGAATCAATATTTCGGCGTGTTAAAAAAAATGTCAAAAATTCGTGTTGGGGCAAAATGAACGCGCTGGACACGCCCTAAAACGAATCTGAGGGCCTGATTTCTTCACATGGCATCTCTGTGCTTCTGCCATCACTAGTCCACTTCAAGAAAAGTCTCTTCCTTTGATAACTAGAGGAGCGACAAGAACCCACAAATAGACAGCTCCTGAAAACCACATGATTCCCATTTTCACCCAAGTGCTAGCCCACCCAGTATCCAAGCTCCACTGGGCCGGATTCTCCCTCAAATCCCACCCAATAAACAACATTGTCATGTACATAGTCCCCGTAAGAAACACAAAATGAAAGAACCCATGTCCGTACGACACTTTGCCATTGCCCGCGCCCTCCACATCCTCCCCTGAGCCCGGATGGAGCGAGATGCACCGGCGGTCGATCCCCACAGTGTACACCGAGACCACGATTGTAAGGAGGGCAAAAATGAAGGCCTGTTTGCAACGGGAAAAACAACGAAGAAACGCTGCGAATGAGGAGAGAGATGCACCGACGGCGAGAACAGAGCAGGGATATAAAGAAGGTACATGTTGGGTTAATGAGCATGTGCGTGAGCCGATGCTCTGTGAATGGGAGGATATATACAAGTTTAAGTACAGCGGAAGAGAGCAATATAACAATGTCTTCAACGAATCGAGTCCAACTTGTCAATGCCATTTAGTGGTCGACGAAGGAATCAATTCTGGAGTAAAGCTACCCTGGGTGCTACGGAGCACTGCACTCACTGTAACATCCGTCCATGTAGTTTGTCCTGTCTGCCGTGGGCGTGTGTTGCACGTCTCCCCGGGCGGCTCACTCATGATTGCCGACCAGCAGAGGAATGCAAAGTAGACCGCCATAACGCCGGTGCTCAGAAGCCCCGCGGATTCCACCTGAGGGGTGGATAGAAGTGGACATGGGGATGTAAGGATGTGCGAGTGTGTTGCACTCGTGATGGAGGTCAAGAGGAAGGGGCGTTGCTGGAGTGGGAGATACTCCAGATCCGAGGCGCTTGAGATACCCCAAGGCGTCTTTGAGATCCTTCTCAAGATAATCCAGGGCCAAGGCGACCCAAAGAAGGAAGGAGACTACGCTTGAGTTGACATTAAAGGACCCTCGTGGTCTGAGGGAGGAGTTTACGCTTGAGTGCTACGGGAGCTGCTCATGGTCTGGGGGGGTCGGAGCTGCTCATGGTCTCAGGGAGCGAAGAACACAGGAAGACGATAAGGGTTAAGGATTAAGGGAGGAAGGTACTCACGGCTGGAAGGAGGCAGACGAGGGTGAGGATGAGGACGAGGATGAGGAGAGAGCAGATGAAGGAGATGTTGAGGGAGCAGGAGGAGGAGGGTGCGAAGAAGATGAACATGAGGACAGCTGCTGCCGCCAGTGCAACGTAACACGTTCCGGTTACCACCGCTCCCCACACATGCCTGAGGGTTGGAGGGAAGGCGGTGGACGGAAGGCAGGGGGGGGGGAGGCAGAGGAGGGAAGGCAGCGAAGGGAAGTCGCTTCGTGAGAGGAGAAATCGAGAAGAATGCACAGCATGGGGACCATGGAAAGGCAATGTTACAGCCGAAGGCAAGGCGGCTGATGGTTCTATTAAAGGGATTAGCTTGTTAAAGTGGGGAGGAGGGGCTCATAAGAGGGACGAGGAGGGTCCTGTAATGGGGACGAGGGTATCAGCAAGAGCTCACCACTTCTTGTCCGCCTGCCACGTGTCGTTCCAGACAAAGACGAAGTTCAGCATGCTGACAAGCTGGATAACGACGAAGATTGCCGCCCCTGCCACTGCCACGTAGCCGTATATACTCAACACGCCTGCACAGGATGACGTGCTCCAGAGCAACATTAGAACTCTTTAGAGATCCGAATAAGGCTGGAGTGATTGTATCCCCTTGATTCAAGAAAACTCCAGCCTTGCACCGAAGATTTCAGCACTCGAACCGCATTGAACCACATTCAACGAACAGATTTGCTGAATACCCTGTCACGCACAATGCCCCCTGCAGCAGACTCACCTAGGGGAAGACAGGCTGTCACGCCAAGCAACCCCGCCCACAGCAGCAGCTTGGGCGGCCACCAGCCCGAATGCCACGTGTCACGACCCCCGCCATCAACGCGCGCCCCCAATGTGGTTACAGACATGAGGGCGAAGAATAAGGACATGCCTAGGCCCGTGCAGAGCACTACGGTCGTTGCAGTGCACGCCTGATCGCCCGGTTTACATTCTTTGAAGCCTGTGGGCGGAGGGGGAAGCAGGGTTTACTTTTGAGTCGACTCAAAGCTCTAACGCCGCAGAGCACGCCTGGTCGCCCGGTTTGCACTCCTTGAAACCTGTGGGCGGAGGGGGAAGCAGGGACGGAGGAGAAGGATTTGTGCGTGAAACGCCGTCATGTTACAGTGCGCGCCCCCATTGTGGTTGCGCACATGAGGGCGAAGAATCAGGACACGCCTAGACCCGTGCAGAGCACCACGGTCGCCGCAGTGCACGCCTGGTCGCCCGGCTTGCACTCCTTGAAACCTGTTGGGGCGGCAACGAAGGTGCGATGGGAGGGAATGGGCCGAACGGAGCGCATTCTGTCTCGTAAACCATCACAATTTCCCAGGAGCACTACGGGGATTGATTCGCTATAGCCCACTCACTGGATGAATGGATGGCCACGATTGACTCTTAAGCTCGATTCACTAAAATTCACGAAGCCATAATCACTGGGTAAATGCATGAGCGTGGTTTGGCCGAAGTCACGCAAGCACCACATGAGGACCGACTCGCTATAGAATGAATCCCTGATCGGCACAGAGATATTATAGTACTCACTGGGTACATGCATGAGCGCGGTTTGGTTGAAGTCGCGCAAGCACCAGATGAGGATTGACTCGTTTCAGCATGATTCGCTAAAGAGCAGAACACTACAGAAAACACTTCATGCTTACTGGGTAAATGCATGAGCGCCGCTTGGCCGAAGTCGCGCAGGCACCACATGAGGACGAGCGCGAAGAGGAAGAGGAGGCCGTAGACGTACTTCGCTACGCGCCGCGATGTTCCTAGAGAGCACACCGCGCAGCAACACGAGCCGAGTGACTCGCAGCATTGCGAGCAGCAGCACGTGCAGAACATGTCGAAAGCCGCAGCCTGAGGATAAGTAGTTCAGTTTTGAGACGTCTCAAAACAGAGGATTTGACGGTTAGCAGGCTACAAATAGGCTAGGGGTTTGTAACGATGCGAGCCGATTCGTGATGTGCGACACTGCGAGCGATGTGCGCTTTAGAATGTGTAGTCGGAACGAACCACTAGGGACCAAATTCGGCCAGATTCTACGCTCGCTCGGGCTACGACAAACAGTTAGGTCCTCCGTTCTGGAGCTCGGCAGGCGGTGGTCGCGTAGGAAGTTGGTTGCTGGCCAGCGTTGAAAAGGTATGGCTCAAACCGATCTGCTAGACTCTTTACCGCGATCGATTGCAACTCACCGATTGAAACCGTTGAATTCGAAACACTTCGGGTTTGCCGTGCCGGACCTGCTTTTGCTTCTTTCTGTGGTGCAGAGGTGCCGTGAGCGCAAGTGTCCCGCTTGCGCGAGGTTCGGGGGGGTGGGGGGGAGGGGGGAGGGGGGGGAGTTCGGCCCAGACAAACAGGGCTGTGCTGCGCCAATCGGTGACGCGCGGACGCGCTTTTGAGTTCCCCACCTGCCCATGGTAGAGAGTTACCACCACCTGAATGCGGGGGGGAGGAAGGCAGAACCGATTTCACGTGTGCTGGGCGCACGACATTTGGAACCTGCGGGGATGTTCTCAAACTGCCCACGCGGTTCGGATCGAACAGGCCTGGCAATTATTGGAGGTGGTGGTGAGGTGATTTTCAAGGTAGCGCAATCTACGGTTCTCGCGCAATCACCCTCCAATCCGGGTCAGCTTATCCTAGCGCGGATTATTTCCTTGACGCGTATTGCCAAAGGTCGGCTTGAGCAACGTTTTAGTGGCTATTGCAATGAGCATTTGCAATGAGGTTGTAACCACAGATATTGATGTTATAATTGCTAACGGAGCAACGGAGCATCCCGCATTCAAATGTCGCAGCAGGAGTGGTGGTCGCAGTTGCTGCTGGCTCGGTGGACGTGATCGTCGCTGGAAGAGGCATGTACGCGACGTGCGACGCTTGTTGCGCCCTTCGTCAATCGTGGCGAGCTCATCCGTACCGCCGAAGGCCACGCAGTGGCACTGCTTCGTCGTTTCACCGTCGATCAAGCATGTCAGACGACGCAGCCCCTGCCAAGTGGCGGTTTGTTGGGGTCTTTCAGCCCCTTTTCCCGTCGTCTATTTCGTTTCTAGAGTGTAACCGTCTCGCAAAACCTTGTGTGACTCCACACAACTCCAACTGGTGCTGTACTTTCTTCTCAACACAATGCTCCGAGGCCCAGGAAGGAATGCAGGGGCCCGCTGAATCAGCAACCTTGATAACCCCACAAATATCAGTAGCTCGAAGGTGGTGTCAGCAGGAATAGCCGCCATGTTTGTCGAGTCATGGTGTCTGTCTGAAAACACTCTCGGCAGATGAGAGGTGGTGCTTTTGATTAAGCGCAAGGCCTTTCTGCTAGCTCGAGCTACGTTTGGCGATTGCTTTGTTCCCGCAACTATTCTTATTCAGAAGGAGCCTGGAGATTGGATATTGTTAGATTCTGCAGGTCTTTTCGTCTGAATGGACTCTCAGCAGCAGTTCTGCGAGTTGCTTCGGTGCGCTGTGAGCCTTCACGAGAACATCAGCGACGCGATCGAAAGAAGCCTCCAGAGCGATTTCATTCTAGCGACATCGTCAGCTCCTTTGACTGCACGATCATGGTAAAGCACGCAGCGTTTGAGTCGATTCAAAAGCACGCAGCGATATCTGAACTTGTTACGTTAACTTTTTCCACAATGACTGAACTGTCGTCGTGGAAGCATTGGTTGTTTCCTCACCCCATGGCGTCTTCTAAACAGTCACGGCATGATCCTACAAATGTTATTCCAACCGCACCATCCCTTGTACCCATTCATGAATTCTCCATTATCGCGTACTCAAAGCTTTTATGTCGCATCTCCTTCTTCTCTTCGTTCTAGGTCAAGCCAGCGAGACACGACGTCAAGCATTATACACCCGGCTCCAGGTCAACCTGCTGACGAGAACATCAAACAAGGGAACAGACTAAAACATGCAGGCGCTTTCAGCTCGAGCCCGCTTATTCTTTCGCCGAAGTTCCCGCCTGATCTATCCACATCCTCCTCTCGCAAGTAAGCTCCTGGCTTTCCGGCTCCTTGCTCCTGTGCAATTCGCTCTCGGCTTTGCCGACAATGGTTTCTGGCTATTCAATTTTCCGGGCATTTTAGTAAATTGAGTCTTCCTGCTTCTTGCGTGTCGTTTCGCTGCATAATTTTCGCTTATCTCTTCGCTGTTCATCTCGCTCTTCGTTTCTCTTTTCACGGCAGCTCATCGTCCAAGCAGACTGTGTCAGAGGCGCCTTCCCCTCCTCTGTCTGAGCGCGGTCAGACTGACGCTCCTGGCCATCAGCAGCAGTACAAGGGGCAGCAGCAGCAGCAGGAGCAGCACCATCACCATGAGCAGCAGCAGGAACAGGGCAAGCACCATGGCCGGCTTTCTTTGCCTGCCATGGGCGCGAGAACAGCCTCGAGGCTGGGTGAGGGTACTGCGGAGGCTCGAATATTGATTGCTTTGCGGGACTCACTGGAGATGGTCGAGAGTGCTCTGGAACGGTTGATGCACTGTGAGCAGATTCTGCACCAGCAGCAGCAAGATCGGGGGAGGGGGCAGCGCGGACGAGCAGCTGCGCATGAGCGCGGAAGAGTGGTGGCGGAGCTACAAATGGCGCTGCGCGTGGTGTGGTCGCAGGGGGAGAGCCACCGGGGCAGAGAGGAAGGGGTATGTATTCTCACCAGCTAGCAACCCTTTGACCCCCAAATATCCCTGCGTGAGGAGTCTATTTTTGAGGCGCCTCAAAAATAGACTCCTCAGGCAGAGAGGAAGCGGTATGTATTCTCACCAGCTAGCAACCCTTTGACCCCCAAACGTCCCCCTAACCCCCCCATGCCCCCCACCCTTCCCTCCCCTCCCCCTCGCCCCCCTCATGTTTTGCCCTCACCTCATGTAGTCGTACCTCCTTGTTCCTGCCTGCATCGCACGTGTCCTGCTTGCTCTGTGTCACCTTCTACCTAAACTGTCTTTCCCCGCCCCCCTTTCTTCGTAGCTTCCTTCCAGCACGAACAGCACACCTTTTCTGTTCTTCTGTCCCTCCCAACCCATCCCTCCCAACCCATCCCTCCCAACCCATCCCTCCCAACCCATCCCTCCCAACCCATCCCTCCCAACCCGTCCCTCCCAACCCGTCCCTCCCAACCCGTCCCTCCCAACCCTTCCCTCCCAACCCATCCCTCCCAACCCGTCCCTCCCAACCCATCCCTCCCAACCCATCCCTCCCAACCCGTCCCTCCCAAACCGTCCCTCCCAACCCTTCCCTCCCAACCCGTCCCCCCCAACCCTCCCAACCCGTCAGGTGGTGCGGGAGGTGCTTGACTTCGTCGCCAGTGTGGCTCAGATCCTGCCATGTTTAGACAACAGCGGAAAGCCTTCGGCTATGCATGACGTCAGGGAGACTTCGAGACGTCTGGTTGCCACAGCAACTGCTGACACACCTAGCGACGGCCGCTGTGGCAGCAGCAGCAAGAGCAACAGGAGGGGCAGCAGCAGTGGGGTTACCACAACAGCAGCAACTAGGAGGTTACAGTCTGAGCGATCGTTTCCCGCCCGCTCTCCATCCTCCTCTCATAAGAGCGACCCAGGCGTTCCCCCGCCCTCCTTAGTATCTTTCCTGGCACAGCAACAGCAGCCGCAGCAGAAGCAGCAACAGCAGCAGCAGCAACTGGCGCAGCATCCTCAGCAGCAGCAGCCCTATTATCAGCAGCACCAACAGCAGCAGCAGCAGCATCAGCAGCACCAACAGCTATCTCAGCAACGGTCCCCAGAGCAGCAGAAGCAGCAGCTCTCAGGCAGCAGGCAGAGCAGCCATAGGAGTAGCGGTAATAGTGGCAGTGGCAGTGGCAGTGGCAGTGTCAGTGGCGGTGGCAGTGACAGTGGCAGTGGCAGCAGTAGCAGGAGGGGCGGAGGCAGTAATCATGTCGGCAGCAAGAATGCAGCAGCTCTTCCTGACTGCATAACGCCCCCCACCAGTCAAGGCAGGCAGCGCAAGTCAATGGCCTCTGCTGACGCCACGCCACTCTGTTCCACGTCACCCACCTCCACGTCAGCATTGTCAGCGTCCCCGCCCTCACCCTCACCTGAATGTTTCCCCTCGCCTCCCCCTCTGCTGCCAATTGGTTGGGAGCAACGGAAGGAGGAGGGGGAGGAGGACGATGGGAAAGCAGCCTCAGTTGCAGCCGTAGCTATTCCTGCTGATGGCTCTGAATCTGATGGCTCTGAATCTGATGGCTCTGCACCCGTGCAGGTCTCACCTGTTGCTGCTACGACCTCCACTGCTGCTGCCGCTGCCGCTGCTGTTGCTGCCGCTGCTGTTGCTGCCGCTGCTTCCGCTGCTGCTTCCGCTGCTGCTCCAGCTCTTGACTCTCCCGACACCTTCTCATCCACTCTTCCTGCTCCTCCCGCCCCTCCTCCTGCCCCTCTGGCCCTGGAACCTTTCTCCGCTCCTTCTGCCTCGCGTCTAGTCCCCCTACCCCTCCTGCCGCTCCAGCGCCTAGCCCACCCCTTCCTGAGCAGCAGCTTTCGTCTCGTCGACGCTCTTGCGGGCGGCATGGCTCGGCAGGTTTCGTCTGGTGTCTCCGGCTTGCTCCGGAACGTGTGCGGCAACCCGAACCTGTTTTCCAAGCCTCTGGGCCAGCTCGGGTCGCTGGGCGGCACGGTGCTTGGCTTGGGCGGCGCAGTGGGGGTTACTGTAGGCCTGGCGCTTATGGCAGCTAATGCTGCAAACGGGGGGGTTTCTAACGGGGTGTATCAGCGAGCAGGGATGGGAGGGCGGCCATTGAGGGTGGAGGAGGGGAAGATAGAATGGGCTCAGCAGGTTGATGCTGAGGAGCACAAGTACTGGGTTGATGAGTACAGTGCAAGGGAGTATGGTGTTAGTGGGTATGGCAGTAACGAGTATGGTCCTAGTGATGGGGCCCATGGGCAGTGGGAGGAAGGAAAGGGAGAGGGAGGGGTGGGTAGCCCATTGGAGGAGGATGGTGAAATGAGGGATGATGGTGAAATGAGAGATTATGGGGATGATGGTGATGATGATGATGATGGTGATGGTGATGATGGTGGAGACTTGGAGTATGCAGAGATAGTGGGGGGACTGGTCGCTCCAGTGCTGGGTGTCGAATCAGTCGGTGCAGTGAAGGTGGGGGCACACGAAGGGGACACCAAGGAGACGATGGGGAGACATGGTGGCGAAAGGCATGGGAAGGTGCATAGAAGGGAGCACTGGGGAAGGAGTTCTGTACCTTATTTGCCAGAGGAGGCCGGACGTTCTTTCAGAGGCTCTTCCAAAGCTTCGTCTGCCACAGGATCTTTTCCTTCGGGAGATTCTTCTTCCAGGGGTGGTTCTTCTTCCAGTGGTGGTTCTTCCAGCGATTCAAGCTCTGTCCGTGTTGTCCGTGTGCACGAGATGGCAGGGGACTCTCCCCTGCACGTTGTGGGTGAATGGGGGGGTGCTAGAGAGGAGGACGAGGGGACACTGCATGTGCTGCGGCAGTGGGAAGGGGAGGAGGACTGGGGCCCCGACTGGAGCTGGACTGCCGAGGAAGATGAGGAGGCTCTTATTAGAGGGGGGGTGGAGGAGTGGGAAGGGGTGAGGGAGGGGGAGGGGGAGGTGGCAGCTGGGTGGGTGGAAGAAGAGGACGATATAAGGGGTGAGGGACTGCGTGGCGATGATTCTATGGTATGGCAGGGTGAGGAGATTTCAATGGGGAGCAGGAGTGACGTGATCAGTCTGAGTGTAGACGAGGAGGAAGGGCATAACAAAGGAACAAGTTCTGGTGTTGAAGACTGTAGAGATGCTTTACACTATCACGGAGGCAGTATAAATGTAGGAAATGCTGGGAGCAGGAGGCGAGTTGAAGGGATGGACGAAGACTGGCCTTTGTCAGCAGGTGGATGATATGTAGAATTTATTTTGACTAATTGGACGTTGATTGAACATTGCATTCGGTTCGGTTGTGTTGTCTCGTCAGCTGTACATGCCTGTTGCGTAGATGTGGACAAGTGTTAGGATTCGTGCTAATGCAAGCCCACATCTACAGAATGAGTAAGAAAGTGGCTCCATGGAGATGCGCGTCACTGAATGCGGTGTCAACATTGGTTTAGCCGATAAGGCGATATCTGGTTAACGTCCATTCACTCCCATTCAGCCCAATAAACACCTTACCACCATCCCTTCAAGTTATCTTCTACATTGTCTCTAACACTTCATACACATCATTATGGCCAATCTCTTACACGAATATTCTACTTAGTACGGTAAGCCGTTCTGTAACGAGCATTGGCGAACAAGTTTTGGCGACTGTTCGTACTCCATGTGGCAGGTTGACCACCACCTGTTTGCCCCACGTAAATCCTGCTCAACCGCAATTCACGCGTCACAAACCCCTCACGCTGATGTGGCTTTTCACGCTACAAGCACCCTTGCTCGGCACGCGGGTAAGCTTTTGGTGACGTGCGATGCTATGTCGCACGTCACTGCAAGCCTATGGAGGTTCAAAATGAGGCTCGTTTGGTAGAGGAGCTTCACGACGAGCTTCGAGTAACATTTTCCCGCCAAATTTGAAATTGCTTATCCTTGACCTGATTCAAACGACGAGTCGCTTCAAGCATTCTCCACTTCCAAGCACTGACCGTGCCTCTCCCGAACCCCTCTCTCACAGGCCTGGGAACGAGGCCGGAGCAAGTCGCATTCTTGTCGCACACGTTCGCCCTTGCTTGCCAAGGGCACACGAACGTGTGCGACTGGGATGCCACACCAACCTTCTGTAGCGTCACCTTCGCATCCGAAATGCGCAATCCCTGGCGAACCGCAGCGACGGCACCACTGTCGCCACGAGTGACCGAGAATTCTGGTTCGGCAACTCTGGTTCCAGAAGCGCCTTGAGGTCTGGTGGCATGGCGACCAGCCTTGGGCCTGAAGCTTGGGTTTTTCTGATCAGCCGCCCTTGCTATCAACAGCAACCCTGGGAACTTCATCTTGGAGAAGCTGATTATTCCAACAGCCATTCCTTCCACCACTACCTTGAGAACTCCTTCCCAAAATTCATCAACCTGCACTCTCTCTGGCCTACCCTGTCACCTCTTCCGTTCTGGATTGTCACCTAGAGAACGAGCTAATACTTCTGGTCTCTAAGGTTCATTGTCGCGTTTTCTCGATAGTCCGTCTCTCCAGCCCGTATTGTTTGTCATTTCCTGGGATACAAGCGTAGAACGGGTTCTCACAAGTGTTGATCAGACAGATGATTATTTAGAGTGTTCATTGGCTTCGTCGCCTGTCGCAATCTGCTCGGTGGGAACTGCTATCAAGATGGAACCTACCATTTTAGAGAACATCCAGCTGACGCTTAACCCAACCCGAAGCAGGTATTCCCTCCCCCACTTTCCCGCAACCTCTAATTCCCTATACAGCAATTTCAAACCGGACGAACTTCTTCTTGCGTAGAAGTTCTTCAGTGCTAAAGTTACACTCTCCCTAGACTTCGTTAGCCGGGCTATATTGAACCACACGACTCGTTTCCCAATTCTTCCCGACTTTCCTCGCAGGTGCGAGGTATTAATTTCGGCCAATGGCAGCACGACGGTACTCTCATCGGGGCTCCTCAAGCCGTTCGCGAGCCACATCAAGGCGGTCGAGGAGCAGCTCAGCAGCGGCTCGCACCTTATCAAGCTCGACCCTCGCAAACGCACGGCTTTTCTGAAGCTTCAGAGGCAGAAGCTGCGAGGTTATGTCCCGGCGGAGGAAGAGGAGGTCGGCGCGGATGTTGACGAACTGATCTCCTGGTTCACGAGGACCACGGTGGAAAGGTACGGTGCATAAATAAACCTACTAGCGCTGTATAACGAGCTTTTGAGTCGACTCAAAATGAGGACGGCGCGGATGTTGACGAGTTGATCTCGTGGTTCACGAGGACCACGGTGGAAGGTGCACAAAAAACACGCGTAAACCGACTAGCGCCTTAAACCTCGCGCCGGATAAAGGAATCGCAAGGATCAGGCTGCGTCTGATGCAGTCACGAGGCTGCGAAATCGAAGGACCATCCTCCAATTTCCCAAATCTCCTTCATTTTCACCCGCTTATCCGGCCCCCCAATTACTCCCTCTAGGGCGGTCTCGTTCATCAGCTCGCCCGGCGTCATCGAGCCCGCCGTAGCTCATCAGCTGCCTCACCGAGCTGCTGCACCTCGAGGACACCCTCATAGGCGTCCCCTCCACCTTTTCCTTACGTCCACTCCTCTGTTTGCTCTTCTTTCCGTCGTTTCTCTCTCCTCCAGGGCGGTATCGTTCATCAGCTCGCCGGGCCTCATCGAGCACGCCGTGGCCATCGAGAGGGAGCTGCTGCACCTCGAAGACTCGCTCACAGGCGATCCCTCGGCCGCTGCTGACTACGGCCAGGTGAGAAGTTCTATCGACTTGTAGCGCTGCTAGTGTTGAAATGCTCCGTCGTGGTGAGAGAGGACCTCTTGTCTTGGGCTGGAGAAGATGTCATGCTCCGTTTTGTTATGTATTAAAGAACTGACGTTCGTTCATTGACCTTGCGGCTTGGGTTTGCCTCGTATACGGCAAATATTGACTCGCCGAATGCGCAGTTCACTTTGTATTTCAATGCGATGCTTATCACACCATCAGCTGTTTTTGAAGCGCCTCAAAAGCGTTCATTGACCTTGCGGCTTGGGTTTGCCTCGTGTACGGCACATATCGACTTTCCGAATGCGCTGTTCACTTGTATTTCCATGCGATGCGTATCACACCATCAGCTGTTTTGGCAGCATTGGACAAAGTTTCGGTTGTTGCTGACGTCTTCCCTTTCCCTGCCTCACTGCTCCTTCCCTTGCTTTCCCGTCTCTCCCGTCTCTCCCGTCTCTCCCGTCTCTCCCGTCTCTCCCGTCTCTCCCGTCTCTCCCATCTCTCCCGTCTTGCGTTCCCACCTTGCGCCCTTCCAACCTCCCTCCATCCCTTCCATGTGCGCCGTTCGTCCTCAGAACGACTCCAAGTCTGATGCAGGTGTGTCTGCCACCTATCCCGCACTACCAAACCTAGGCAGCATCTTACATCATGCCTGATGCATCAGCCACACCACCAGGCCCAACCGGCTTATACCATACCCGCATGCTCATCCATGGCAACGGATCTCCCACCGTGCCTATAGGACCATGCCTATCCGGCTTATACGATGTGTCAATTTCAATCCATGCCCCTCCATCCTCCCCTCCCCCTGTCTCCCCCCTCTTTCTCTCGCCCCCTGCAGAATGCGACGGCGGCGATCGTGGCATGTCGCTCACTCGCGACAGCTCGCTTCGTGGGCGACGCTCCAGCTCTCGCTCGCCGTCGCCCATCCGCCGACTCATTCAGGTGAGACGCGTGCGATCACCAAGCAAGGTGAAAGGAGCAGCTCTGTTCAGGGTCAATTCACCTGCGACTCGCTTTCACTCTCTCACTCCCTTCTCTCTCACTCCCTCTTCTCTCTCACTCCCTTCTCTACCACTCCCTTTTCTCTCACTCAAGTTGCTCCCTCATTCGATCAATCACTCATTCACTCCTTCCTCCCGCTCGTCCTCTCTCCCACACACTCGCTCCCCCTTCGATCGCAGAACGGTCTGCGAACAGTGGCGGAGAGCAACGCCGACGAAGAAGGCGGCGAGCTCATCATGTGAGTGCGACTGGCCTGAGAGGCTTTTAGTACTTTTTGGGTGGACTCAATCCCCCCTTTGAGTCGACTCAACAGAGCAACGCCGACGAAGGCGGCGGCGAGCTCATCATGTGAGTGCGACTTGGGAGGGATTGGGACCTCAGGCTCTTAATTTTTGGTGTACAGCCTAGCCATAGCCCCTGTGTTAGTCAACTTTTCCAGCTCATCAGATGGGCGTGACTTGCCTGTCACGCCCTTGATGCCCTCGGGCTGGTAGTGTAAGCGGTTCTCCCCTGATATGCTCCACGCATATCCTTGTTGCCCTCCCCGCTTGCTCACCTTCTCCCTTCCCGTCTCTTCCTCCCCCCTCCCCCCTCCCCTTCTCCCCCTTCAGGCGCATCCGCAAGGCGATGCAGATGCGGCTGGGCATGCTGAGGCGGGAGAACGTGGCAGTGACACCCCCCCCTCTCCCCCCCTTTCCCCCTCTCCCCCTTTCCCCCTTCCCCTGCCCTCCCTTTTCTCTCAGGCGCATCCGCAAGGCTATGCAGATGCGGTTAGGCATGCTGAGGCGGGAGCAGAACGTGGCAGTGGCGCGGGCAGCAGCAGGCGGCTTCACGCCTGAGATCCTCTCGTCCCTCCACCTCTTCGCTGATTGTTTCGATTGCCCGCGCCTCAAGTGAGTGTCCCGCCCCCTCAAACCACAAAGGCGCATTATGTCCTTACATGAAGCTACACGCCTGAGATTCTCTCATCTCTCCACCTCTTCTCCGACTGCTTCGATTGCCCGCGCCTCAAGTGAGAGCCACACCCCCTCGCTTGACGCCACATAGAACCACAACAACCGTGCATCCAGAGTTCTCCGCGCTCCTCCGTCGCCGCGAGCTCCAGCCCAACCCGCCACATCCCACCGCTTGATGCCACATAGAATCACAACAAGCGTGCATCCACTTCTCCGCGCCCCTCCGTCGCCGCGAGCTCCAGCCCAACCCCCCCACCTGCCTCTCCCCTTTTCTGCGCCAAAGCACCCCTCTAAACTCCTCGTTTTGCCCCCCGACTCTTCCTCCCCTCACCTTCTGTCTGCCCCCAGGCAAGCGTGCATCCAGTTCTCCGCGCTGCTCCGCCGCCGCGAGCTCCAGGCCAACCCGCCACCCGCGCCCTCCGCCGTCTGGGTCCCCCTCGCGCCAGATACCACCGCCCCCGGTGCCCCCGCCCCCGCCAACTCCGCTGACGGCACCGATTCCGGAGGAGAATCTACCGCTGCTGACGCAGCGACTGGCTCGCTCGCTATAGGTACACCTGTGGGCGGTCCTGCTGGTGCTAATACCGGGCATGGGCCGTTTTCGTTCGTCCCCATGTATGCGTCTGGCTCGAATATGTATTCCCCCGGCTCCCCGTTCCCCTACGGGCTCGTGGCTGTAGCGCCCGGCGCTACAGCCGCCGCTGGTCCGTTCCCTGGTGCTACAGACGTGGCTGGGCTGGGGCGGGGAATGGGCGGAGGAGGCTTGGCGGGGATGGGGGGAGGGCCGCCGGGGGCGGTGAGGATTGGGGGGAAGCCGGTGTTTGGGGTGCATCACCACCACTACCACCGCGTGGGGGGAAGCGGGCGGAAGAACCGCGCGGCTGGGCGCATGTCCCCCAAGCTCCGCTCGTGGGCGAATAACGGGGGCGCGGGCAGCGCTGTCTCGGGTAATGGTGAGGGGAATGGAGAGAATGAGGGGGATGTGGGGCTGGAGATTGCTGACGTCAGCAGCGCGCGGTACTATGACTCGGATTCCGGTCTCCCTGGGGGAAGGGCGCGCGGAGGCGGCGCAGGGGGAGCGGGAGGGGGCGCGGGAGGGGGGGATGATATGGGGGTAATGTCTGAGGCGGAGAGTTTCATCAGCAGCGTCGGTGGAGATGCGATGAACGGCTCAGATGCGGGGCTGCTGGCGCTGGGAATCACGGGGCGTGTGGGGAGTGCTGGCGGGGCGTTTGCTGGCAGCAACGGCTGGAGCAGGGGGAAGGCGGGCGGGGGAGCGGGGGGCTTCAAGGGGGGGATGGGGAGTCTCCGGCGGAGTGGGAGCGGGAGTCTGTTTTTGCGCCCGTCTGCTGTGGCTGAGGGCTCAGACGAGTTTGACGATGACTACGCAGACGAGGAAGAGGAGGAAGAAGAGGGGGCGGGGCCTACAGGGCAAAGGAGGCAGCAGCAGGGGCAGCAGAAGCAGAAACACAAGCAGGGGCCGCAAGGGCAGCAGCAGCAGCAGCAGTCGCAGCTGGTGCTTGATCCAGAGCTGATGCGGAGGATTCAGGAGGTTCAGCTCATGCAGCCTGGGAACCAGGAGGAGGCGGAGATCCAGCAGCAGATGCTGCAAGACCTGCTGGCGCAGCAGCAGCAGCAGCTGCAGGTGCAGCTGCAGCAGCAGGAGCAGCTGCTCCAGCAGCAGCAGCAGATTCAGCAGCTGAAGCAGGAGAATGAGAAGCGGGAGGAGGAGAAGCAGCAGCAGCGGGAGGAGGAGCAGAGGGCGTTTGAGCAGCAGCTTGCGAGGGACGACTGGCTGACGGACCCCACAACCCTTGCTTTCATGAAGCAGCCCAACAAATCAGCAGCAGCAGGAGGTACGGGTGCAGGCGTGTCTGATGGGGGGGTTCTCGGCCTTGGCGGCGGCGGTAGCAGCAGCGGGTCGGACTCTGGGCCGTTTTCAGACGATTTCATGCTTATGTCTGGTATGTCTGCCTCCCCTTCGCCTGACTACCACACTGCTGGAGGGGGAGGAGGAGCAGCAGCAGGAGGAGGAGCAGGAGGAACAAGTGAGGTGGCTGCTTTTGACCATTCCCGCTCGCTTTACGGGGGAGGCAACCTGGAAGCGGAGATGCTGGGCGCGGTGGCGGGCGCAGGCGCAGGGGGGGACTCCTCTGCCCGGGACTTCCTAGGGGAAGAGGCTCTCCGTGGCCCTGTGGACGAATCCGGACCGTCGGATCACGAGGATCTGATGGCGTGGGAGGCGTCGCTGGGGGAGGCCATGCTGGTGGGGGGGGACGGCTCCTCCTCCTCATCGTCGTCCCTCTATGGGGATGATATGGAGCTGAGTCTGGCTGCTGAGCGCGCAGCAGGAGCAGCAGCAGGGAGAGGCGTGGGGAGGAGGGTGGGAGCGGGAGTGGGAGGAGCGGGGAGAGGGAGGGGAGTGGTGGGGAGCGGTGTTGCGGGGAGAGTTGGGGTTGGCGCACGTGGGCGGAGTCTCTCGTCGTCTTCTGCGATTGGTGCTGGTGCAGGGCGGGGCAGGGGGCGGGTGACGAATCCGCAGGACCGGATTTTGATGGAGATGGAGCGGAAGCAGCAGGAGGCTGCACGGCGCAGGGTATGTTAACATGATCTCTACATCGCGAGTGCTGCGGAGAGTTGGGGCAATGTGGCTGTGGTTGGGCTGGGGTTGCGCTGGGGTTGGGCTGGAGTTAGGCTGGGTTTAGTACATGCATTCTCAACAAGTCAGTCGTTGATGTCTCCCACTTGCTCAACCCTCACTGCCGTCCTTCTCTCCCCCACCCGTTCCCCCTCCCCCCCCCTCCCCATCCCCCGCCCTTCCTGTGTGTGCAGGAGGAGGAGAAGAAGAGGCAGCAGGAGGCGCGGCAGCAGCACCTCAAGCAGCGGGCCTCAGGGCTCGTTCGCTCCACCTCCACCTCTGGAATCGAGAGGCGCCGCACCACCACTGCAAATTCCACTGGCAGTGGTGTTACTGGTAACCGCGCGGTTACGGCCTCCTCCAGTGGGACTGCGAGGGGTACTCTGGGGTCCCTTGCTGGCAGCAGGTCGCTCTCCCAGCACACGGCTTCCTCTGCTATGAGACTCACTGCTGGTGCTGGCTCATCAAGGACAGCTGGGCGTGTGGCTGCCCGACCCTCCAGCCCTGACCTGTCCCAGCCCGGGCAGCGGAAAGTTTTGTCCAGCCTGGGGGCAGGACCCCGCACTGTGACTGGTGGAGCCGCTGGGGTCAAGGGGCGCAGCCGTGACATTGTGAACGCTGTTCCCTCTGCTGCTACTGCTGCTAGTGGTAAGGAGGAATCCAATGTAGAGTCGAAGCAGGCAGAACTGGCTGACCACCACCAGCAACAGCAGCAGCAGCAGCCTGAGGGTGTTGCTGCAGCAGCAGCAGAAAGCAGTGATGTGATGCTTGTTGAAGATATTTCAGAGGACGTCGCTGCAACCACTGCTGCTGCCGCTGCTTCTCTGCCAGCCTCAGCAGTGGATGTCGTTGCTGCTGTAGAGCCAGCCGCCACTCAGTCTGCCACCTCTTCAGCTGCTGCTGCTGCTGCTGCTTCTGCTTCTGCTCCTGCTGCTGCAGGCCGCGCTCGTCGCACTGTGACCTTCCAGGAGCCTGAGACAGTCAGCAGCACTTCTCGGGGTAGCAATCCCAGTGCTGCTCCAGGCGGTGAGCAGCAGCAGCAGGGGCAGGAGAAAGAGAGGGAGAAGCCAGGGAAGGAGAACAAGGGAAAGGAGGCAAGTGCGTCAACAGCAGCACTGGGCACAGTGGCAGGAGGAGTGGCAGTAGGGGGAACAGCTGGGTACCACCACCCCCCGGGCATGCTGCATCACTCCCCCTACGGACCAGTGCCAGAGGCTGGGAGCATTGCCACTGGGCGCAGGGCAAGCATGGAGGGGCATGATAAGCTGGGCATGCTGAATAATGGTGTTCATATGACCACCAATGCTTTTGGGTACAGTGCACCCCATCAAAACCCCCCTGCTGCGCATATGCTTGTTCAGGGGGGTGGTCCTGGCTCTGCAAGCCCTGCAGCTGTGGGTTTTGGCGAGGGCCTCAGAGAGGCGAGGCTGAAGCAGGAGAAGGAGTATCTGGATATGCTGAGGGAGAGGGAAGCCGCGTGGGCTGGATCGGAGCAGGATTCAGGGTTTGAGAAAAAGAAGGCATCTGGTTTGAGGAAGCTGTTTGGTGGGTTTGGAAAGTAGCTGGGTTGTGGGCTGAATTACTCGTTGTTAGGGCGTGGCATGTGGACTACTTGGAGATCGGCTAAAAATGGGCCTTGTTTGGAGGTAGGATATTGTTCTGCTATAACTTGGTAGTTTTGTTGTAATAGCTTGTTTGGTTTCTCTTTACAATATTTCTGTCCAATGGTACGAAATTGAGAAATGAACGCATAATACACTTTGCTTAGTGTTTCATATCATTGTGGGTGAGAAGTAGCTCGAGCCCTTTAATATCAATTATATCCACGAAACATGATTGCATGTAGATGCACCTCAGCATCGTCGCACCAAACTTAATATCGAGTAAAGCGCTTTCACCACACACTATTTTCCTCCAACCTTGTCACACAACAGGATAGCCTCGTTTCCCTAGTCACAGGTCTCCACTCCACACTGAGGTCTCGTCTTGCGGCATTGTAGTCCTAGATCTTAGTCCTACGATCCGAAGGAGCTAGCGTTTTTCCTCCCATCTCACGCCATGAGGTAAGCGCTGCGTAACTTACCTTCTGCCGTCCTGTCCGCTTGTTTTTTGTTTCGACGGAAGGGCCGAACTCTAACCTTGTCGCCTTGCGTCATGTTGCTCCCTCCTCCCTTTCTGGAACGGTTTTTTCATGTTTCCGACGACGTTAACTTCAGTCGACCAATGGACGAGGATGAGGTGTGTTAATCTGCTTCCTCCTTGTTCTAATTTTCGTATCATCTTTATGGGAACGAAGTCTCACATCTCTTCCATTTTGGCTAATCGTTGCGTTCAAACAGGCCGAGAAGAAGGAAGAGGAGGAATTCAGCACAGGACCGTTATCAGTGCTTACTATGAGCGTGAAGCAAAACACACAGGTCCGACGAGTTTAGGGTTTTCCTAGTGATGGTCGCTGATCTCCGTTCTCGATGTCGGATGCATTCCATCGTTTTACGCTTCTAATCGTTTTGTTTACTTGTCTGACAGGTTCTGATAAACTGCAGAAACAATAGAAAATTGCTCGGAAGAGTAAAGGCCTTCGACCGTCACTGCAACATGGTCCTGGAGAACGTAAAAGAGATGTGGACAGAGGTAGGTCTTAACCCTCTATTTTTCTTTCTGATCCTTTCTGTTCCGGTTTGTCTCTACGTTCTTAGCGCCTGCTGACCACTGCTGTCCCCTGGCTAATCTGCACTCTTCCTGAGCCTTTTCAGGTTCCAAAGACTGGGAAGGGGAAGAAGAAGGCTAAACCAGTGAATAAAGATCGGTTTATAAGCAAATTGTTCCTGAGGGGTGACTCTGTCATCATTGTCCTCCGGGACCCTAAATAGGGAGTAGGTACCTATTTTCTCGTCTGGCAGCGATTTTGTTTCCTCGTTTTTCATCTCACCTCAAAAGTCTTTGGGGATGACGGCTAGAGCCCTTGCCTGGAACAGCAGCTGTGTGGTGCCTGCCATAACTTCAGCAGATTGGCTTGAAGACTTCCGGGCCGGTCCTTCCCGCCGTGTTGAACATGTACCTACGTTCACATCACGCTGCACCTACGTGTCGGGATGTGAATCCATCCACCCATCAATCGTGCAAGGGGTGCTGTCCAGCAAAAGTCTGATGGAACACCACTTCACTGATCACTATTGTGGAGTTTTCTGCGGTACTAACAAGTGACGTCATCACTCTGCAGTTAGAAACTGCCTGAGGACGTCTGATCTGATCTTGACAATATCGAATCTCAACATGAGAAGCTAGTCATCTGTACAACGCAAAAGATGATTTCATCAGTGAAGAGGGACAGGTGGCCACTGCGATCTACATTGGTATGTAACAGTATCTAGGTGATGCACCCACGTGTCTGTGCAGCGGCTCAATTACTGAGACAAGGTCTTGCAGCCGGACTGGCTTGGTCAAGAACCCGTCCATTCCCACACTCTCACACTTGTCGCGCTCATGCTTCAACGCACCAGCGGTGAGCGCAACAATAACCGGTCTGCTCTCAGGCAGCACATCTCTGAAGTAGTGCTCGTGGCACCGGCCGCCAGCCACCTGCTGCGACCTAGTAGTATCTGAACAACCTTTGGGGTCGGTTCCTCTTTGATCTGTGATGCCCTCGTTGCATCTGATACCCCTCTGCTGTGCACTGAGGGCTCGAATCGTGCATGTGGCTTCAAAACCGTCCATCTCAGGCATGTGAACATCCTGCAAGGAGGGGGAGAAGAGGGAATCCAGGAAGGGGTGGGAGGATTGATGAGCCAAGGAGCGATGCAGGCAGCCATGTCACGTCGCGGCTATGGATGTGCACAACACAACCAAGTGGAGTCTCGAGGTGTTCAGAAGTGTTGACTCACCATGAGCACAATGTCGTAGTCCTTGGCTTGGCACGCCCGCACTGCCAGCACGCCATTCTCAGCGACGTCACTGTTCACATGCAGGCTGCGCAGCAGCCGCACCACCACCATGCGGTTCACCGCATTGTCCTCAACCACTAGGCACCGCACTCCGGGAAACGACGCGGACAGGCAGCGAGGAGAAGGCGATCTTGGAACCATCGTCGTGTTCACCGATGAAGGTGCTCCTCCTGACACTCCCTCATGGGAGAGAGATGAAAGCACCAGCCCGTGAACCACCCGCTTCTGCTTGGGTCGCTGCTGCTCGCCCTGCATCCATTTCTGCACCTCGGTAACCTTGTTCTGCTCATTCACGTTTTCATCTCCATTCTCCTCCTCACAAACGTGTATCAGCTCCGTCCCCTCGAAGTCCGGGTGCTGTCGCTTGACCTCATCCGCGTCATCCAGCCTCTCTCCCACTAACAGCAAGCTCTCCTGCACCGACCAGGACAGCGGGCTCCCAGCAGCACCACCACCACCACCACCAGCCGCAGCAGCAGACGAAGTCGCATTGTGAGGCGTCTCCTCTAAACATGCAGCAGCAGCAGCAGCTGCTGCACTGGGGTCAACCAGCCGGTCAAAGGCATCCAAGCGGGGCGATCGGCAGGAGGTTGCCTGGGCCAGCTTGAACGGCAGCGAGAACCGGAACGTAGTGCCGTGACTCAGGTCAACCAGGTCAAAATGGTCAGCCTGGTCTGCCTGGTCAACCTGTGCAGCATGCTGCACAGCATGGGACTCATGAGCAAGAGCAGCTGGAGATGTGGCTTTGCTGGCAGCTATGCCAGCTGCTGACCCGGCAGCCATACAGCCAGCAGAATGGCTGGAAGGATCTGGATTGTATTTTTGAGGCGCCTCAAAAATAGGATCTGGATTCTGAACCGAAGCGACATGGATGCTCCCCCCCATGAGGGTGACGAGGGAGTGGCAGATGGCAAGGCCAAGCCCCGTGCCGCCGTACTTGCGGCTGGTGGACTCGTCCGCCTGCATGAACGGCTGGAAGAGACGGGGGAGCAAATCTGATGGTATGCCGATGCCAGTATCGGCCACCTCAAAGTGCACCATCACTTGCATGTCAGAGTCTGCAGGCGCTTCTGACGCTGCTCTCGTTGCTGCTGCTGCTGCTGCTTCTGTTGGTCCTGGTTGCAATAATCCGTCCCTTGGCCGGCACACGGCCTCCCCACCTGTCTCTCTTGCTATCTCTGATTGCCTAGTATCCTGCAGATGTCTCATCCTTTCGGGGTGCTCTCTGCAAGTCCCTCCTGGAATGCCTCCCCCAAAGCCTATTCGTCTGTGCTTCAACAGGGCGCAATCACCCTCTCCACCGACCCTCACTGCTGCTCCTGCTGCTCTTTCTGCTCCTGCTGCTCTTTCTGCGCCTGCACTCCCATTGCAATCTTCTTCCCCACAGCAGCTGTCTCTCTTGCGCTTGCCGCTCCCTCGCACCACTGCCTCTTCCACCTCTCCCCGCCCCCTGGCCTGGCGCCCCTCCCATCTATCCCCATACTTTGCTTCGGGCGATTCAGATGGCTCGTTTCCAGCAGCAGCAGCAGCAGCAGCCGCAGCAGCAGGGGCTGCTTGAGAGCCTGTCAGCCTGATACTGTCCTCACAGCGGACCCCTAGAGGTTGCTCTCCTCCAGAAGCAGCAACAGCAGGAGCCGCTTGAGAGCCAGTCAGCCTGATGCGCTCCTCAGGGCTTAGCCCCAGTGGTTTCTCTACACTGCCACCAGTACGACCTTGGAACCTAACCCTTTGTGCTGCCCCGTGGGACTGTAACCAAGGGTGTTCCACTGGTTGATGCTGCTCAAACGCTGTCGCCGCTGCTGCTGCTGCTGCTGCTGCTGCTGCTGCTGCTGCTGCTGCTATTGTGTCTTCCTGCCCTGTCATTTGGAGCTTCGTAGCAACACGCTCTGTGGAGACGTGAAGCCTCACGAAACCCCTGGATGGACCATGGATGGGTTGGGAGTGAGTGAGTGAGTGAGGACAGTGAGGAAAAGTTTTCGAGAATTTGTAGAAAGAACCCTTGGATGGACCACGGATAGGAGTCCGTGGGTGAGCGAGTGAGTGAGGCCAGTGAGGAAAGTGCGAGGATCAAGGAGTGAAGGCATTGGGAAAGGATGAGAGAGAACTCACTGGTGGGTGGACGTGCTGGTGACGTTGGAGAGCAGGTTGAGAGAGATAGCAGGGAGACATGGGGTGAGTGAGGGCAAAGAGGCAACGGTTTAGAGGGGTGAGGAGAGATGAAGCGGAGTAAGGGAGAGAGCACTCACTGGTGGGTGAACTTAATGGCGTCGGAGAGCAGGTTGGGAGAGAAAGCAGGGAGACATGGGGTGAGTGAGGGAGAGAGCACTCACTGGTGGGTGAATTTAATGGCGTTGGAGAGCAGGTTGAGGAGCACCTGGCGCAGGCGACTGGGGTCCCCCACGATGCACTGAGGCATCGAGTCAGCAATGTGCACGTCCAGCTGGGATGAAAACAACGGGAGAGGCGGCGGGATGGGAAGGCGGGATGGAAGGGCAGGGTGAGAAGGCCAGATGGGGCGGCTGGGGTCGCCCATGACCTTACTTCCTTCAATCACTTCCTTCCTCTCACCACCGCCCACCTTGAGCCCTTTCATCTTTTGAGGCTCCAACTGTCCGCTGCAGGTGGAAGGGTGCTTTGCATGACTTGCCAATCCAAACAACCACTCACAACCACTCACAACCACTCACCACCACTCACCACCACTCACCCCCCCTCACCACCGCTCACCTTGAGCCCCTTCTGTCTTGCCAGCACCCCCACAGCAGCGATGGAGTCTGCAACAGTCCGCCCCAGGTGGAAGGGGATGGCCTCGAGAGCCAGCGAGTGCGCCTCGATCTTGCTTATATCGAGTACGTCTGAGATGATCCGCAGCAGGCTGTCCCCCGACGTGCGGATCACCTCACAGTACTGCTGCTGCTCCACGCTCAAAGGCGTTTGGAGCAGCAACTCGGCCACTCCCAGCACACCTGAGGGGGGGAAAGCACATTGGAGAGGGGAAGGAACAGCAGCAGCGTGGGTGCAAGATGCATCTGAGATGATCCGCAGCGGGCTGTCCCCCGACGGGCGGATCCCCTCGCAGGACTGCCGCTCACCAGTCATTCATGGGCGTGCGGAGCGGATCCCATGGCTGATGTTACCCAGGAACTTGCTCCTGGCCTGACTGGCTGCTGTGGGAGCACCTACGAGTGTATTATTAACTCCAATACTCAGGTCGGTCTGAATCGCCTCTAGCACACCTAATCACTCCCTTTGACCATGCTGTGCATTCATGCGAATGCAGATGTCAAATCAAGGCTCACCATTCACGGGGGTGCAGATCTCATGGCTGACGTTAGCCTGGAAATGGCTCTTGGCCTGGCTGGGGGCACTCAGTGTCTCTTTACAAAGGAGGAAGGATGGAGCAGAACCAGCTTGATGTGGCTACTTATCAGAAGCCACTCAACCGGTACCTGTATCTTCCCTACAGTTCCTTCCACTCTAAGGAGTGCAAGGTGGGGTTCATCAGCAGTGAGCTGAAGAGACATTGTATCAGAAACACCTCCTTCAAGACTTTCTATGAAAGGAAGGTGGCCTTCTACAAAAGGCTAAGAGCCCGAGGGTACCCACAAAAGTTTCTGCAAGGCGTCTTCAAGACAGTTACCTTCCAAGATCGGCAACAACTGTTGAAGAAGTACTCTTCAAAAAAACCGAGGGCAGCCCCCCTAGCCCTAAGAATAAGAAGATGTCCTAAAACATTGGGCATAGGGCTGGGGGGTTTTTTGAGAATTCTCAAAAACACCCTGCAAAATCAAGGACTTCGTTATCCTCGGTTTGTTACAGCTTGGAAGTTACCTAGGAAAATTTGTAATAGATTAGTACGTGCTAAAATAGATTAGTGTAGAAGGGAAACTGTAACCAGTTGGTTGCCTCCCAATAATGGGGACGAACCTTCTGGAATGTCCCTCTCTGCATGTTTACTTGCTGAACTTGACAGCTAAAACTGGTAGCTGGCAAAGCGCTCAACCGGAGCCGCGATGTTGAGATTGTGATGGCTCAATTTCTTAGAGCCTACACAAGCGAGGAAGGGAGTAGAAATAGATCGTAGTCAGTATGTTTGACTTTTAGTGCGCTGATGAAGGCCTATTGTTGGCCGAAACGCGTTCGCACGCGACATCCGGGCCTATTGGTCTGGCGTTCTGACTTGAGAAATCTTTTTCTTACCTTTCTCGCTGTTAGATCTTAGTTCTAGTCTTAGATCTACTCTTAGGAGGCTTGCTGCGGATCGAATCCTATATTTTCCCAGCTGGGGGCACTCAGTGTGTTCACTCCAGTCCTCAGGGCACCTGAGGAGACTGAGGAGGCTCCAGTGCATACACCTGACACGCTGGAGCCTCCTCAGCCTCCTCAGGTGTGCGTACACGTGAAACAATGGAGCCTCCTCAGTGTCCTCAGGTGCGCATGGCCTCCCTTTGAAACACCCCCCAACCACCATTCACCGTTCAATCACCCCTCACCGTTCATGGGGGTGCGGATCTCATGGCTGATGTTTGCCAAGAACTGGCTCTTGGCCTGGCTGGCTGCTTCTGCCGCCTCCTTGGCTTTCCTGAGCTCCTCCTCGTGCCTCTTGATGTCTCTCAAGTCGTGCCACACCGACACCACCTTGGTCTCCCCATTCACGTGCATCAGCTGCAGGCCAGAGAAACACAGGGCAGAACAAGGAGGAACAAGGGTGATGGCGAGAGGAGCAGCAGGGGTGAACGCCTTCTGCCGCCTCCTTGGCTTTCCTCAGCGCCTCCTCGTGCCTCGTGATGCCCCGAAGGTCATGCCACACCAACACCACCTTCACGTGCATCAGCTGCAGTCGAGGGGGGGATGGATGGATGGAACAGGGGTGATGACACGAGACAGCGGTGTGTGGGGGAAGAGGGAGGGGAGGGGAGGGGAGGGGAGTGGGGGGGGTTTGCTGCCTCCTTGGCTTTCCTGAGCTCCTCCTCGTGTCTCTTGATGTCTCTCAAGTCGTGCAACACAGAGACCACCTTGGTTTCACCATTCACGTGCATCAGCTGAGAGACAGGGGTCATACAGAGAAACAGAGGGTTGAGGGGATGTAGGGGGGGGGGGGGGAGGGGGGTTGTTGAATGCTGCCTCCTTGGCCTTCCTCGACTCTCCTCCTCGCACCACTTGATGTCTCGCAGGTCGTGCCACACCGACACTACCTTCGTCTCTCCATTCACGTGCATCAGCTGTCTTGGTCACCACGCTCTCGCCATCCGGTTCCCTTCCCCTCCCCTCCCCTCCCCCTCCCTCCCTCCCTCCCCCCCCCAGCCCTCTCCGGCTCCCCCTTCGAGCCTCCCCCACCTTTATTCCTCACGTGGGCTTTCACCAGCACGGGGAAGAGAATGCCATCCGCACTGTAGTGCCAGCACTCCTCAATCGCGCATTGCCCCCGCATCATGCGCTCCGTCATGCGCCCCATCTTCACCATGGTGCTCTCCCCGTCTCACATCTACTTCCCTCTCTCCCCCTCTCTCCCCCTCCTACTCCTCACCTGAACTTTAACCAGCACGGGGAAGAGAGTGCCATCCGCGCTGTAGTGCCAGCACTCCTCAATCGCGCATTCGCCCCGCATCATGCGCTCTGTCATGCGCCCCATCTTCGCCATCACGCTCTCCCCGTCCGGCTGCATCACAGGCGTGAACATCGGCACGCTCAGCATGTGACAGATGGCGGCTTTTGATTGGTACCCGAGCATCTGCACTGCCGCCTCGTTGCACTCCTCAATGAGCTTCTTCTCGTCGAATCCCATTATGAAAATCGGATCCTGTGGGGTTTTTGGGCGGCAAGAGTGCAGGAGGATAAGGGGTTGGGCGGCTGTTGGGATGCAATTTGGCCTAGGGGGGAGGATATGATATGATACGTGGGTCTGTACGAAGCCAATGTGAATGAAATGGGACTTAAAGAGGAGAGAAAGAAAATGCTAAATTGGTTGAAAGTTTGGCAACTATCCCACAATATCCGGCTCACCATGGACATCTCGAAGATCTTCTTGTATTGCTCATTGGCCATTCCTTCTTGAACTTTCTTCTCTAGAGCTTTCAGTCCTTCCAATAATGAATCCAGACCCTTCTCTATATAGGGGATATTCACGGGCTCGTCACCCATGCGAGCAGCTGCGAAGCAGTTTTGCAGGGCCGAGCCGAGCAGCTCCTGCGGGCACGACGAGAACGGAAGGCAAATAACCATGTGATAAGAAGTCACTCGGTAACACAACCATTTATGGGTGTAGTTACGGAGAAATGGAAGTGGAACCCCACGCAAACGAGCGCGTCGCACACCCACTCGCGCTCATGCGATACATGCGCCACAAAACACCTCTGTTTAAATGTTCCTTCACTTTTTTTGTACCTGCTCGCTTTTCCATTTGGAGATGTCGTGGAGGGTGCAGAGGAGCGAGCGACCGTCCTTGGCGACGGGTAACCCGACGCGAGTCACGCGGGCCTCGAACCATCGGAAACCGCTGCTGCTGTTGTTATCACCTTCGCTTCTTCGGAACCGAGCTTCCACCGTCGCGCTCTCCGCCGCAACACACTGCGTCAGGCAGCTCTGCAACGAGAAGGGACGGTGGGGTGTTACCACAAGGTAACGGGGGATTCATGCGCAGCGAAGGCACACGGGGGGTGGTGACGTAATGCAGTTCGCAGTGATGCTTCTAGAAAAAAACGCCACACAACAGAATGGCCGCCGCTCGGCCCAAGAAGCAATACTACGACCCCAGCGAAGGGTTTCGCCAAGGGCGGTCACTGCGGTAACCCTATATTCAGATCGGTTTCGGACCAGGGAATACGCATGCTTCACGGGAATTGCTGACCTGGAACTCCGTGCCATCGTCGTCGCGGCGCGGATGAGTTCGAAAATAATATTTTTTAGCCATCTCAAATAACGCCTTCGGGACGGGACGGGCGGGCTGACCTGGAATGCCGTGCGATCGTCCACGTGGACGAGCTCGAGGAACGGCCGGCGAAGCAAAACGGCTGCTTTTTAAGACGTGTCAAAACACGAGCTTAACTGGAACTCCGTTCGATCGTCGTCGTGAATGAGCTCGAGGAACGGCCGGCGAAACAAAACGGACACTTTATGAGACGTCTCCAAGGGGACGAGCTTACCTGGAACTCCGCGCGATCGTCTTCATGGATTAGCTCGAGGAACGGTCGGCGAAACAACGCCGCTGCCGGCGATTCCGAGGAATCGAAGCCCAGCGACCGACACGCCGCGGGACTGATGGAAGCGAGGGGAAAGCGGGGATAAGGCGTGCGTGAGTGGTTTTCGAGTCGACTCAAAGATCTCTTCGGACTCGGAGGAATCGAAACTGAGCGACTGACACGCCGCTGGGCTGTTGGAAATGAGGGGGAAACGCCGCGGGGAGAAAAGACGTGCGTCGTTAGTGATGTTTGAGTCGACTCAAAGATCTCTTCCGACTCGGAGGAGTCGAAACCCAGCGTCTGACACGCCGCAGGGCGTGTTACGGCGGAAGTTACTGTTGGAAACGAGGGGAAATGCGGGGATACGGCGTGCGTTGCTACCGCGTCAAGATCGTAATAATCACATCCTACAGAGGCCGGGTCCGCATCATATGTTGCGCTACGGATGAGGCGGATATAGTCGCGACATATACTACACGTAGATGACGCGTGGAGGACGAATCGAAGGGGACACGCGCGGACAATGTAGCGATCATCTTAGTAAGGCAAATGCGTGCTCTCGCGATGATCTCGCGAAGTTCTGCTTTGCGTTGCTTTGCAAGGGCTCCTCGGAGCTAAATATGACGGAGGCAAGACTGCTTATCAAAAGTCGCGCTGTGACAGCGTAAGAGTCAGCGTAGCACCTTGAGTCAATAAGTACGCCGTCTTCCGACAGCCATACGGCGGGCGTGACATCCCAGAGAGCCCTATCGAGCGCGTCGCACTGGCCAGCATTGCTACTACGGCCTAGGCTATCCTCCCCAGCTACGGCGGCGAGTGAAGCGGCAGTCTTGCGGCTTGTCAGAATCATCGAAGAATGATTACTATTAGCAAGACTACAGAATTAGGGTAAAGTCGTCCTTTCAGCCGCGCCGCTTACATCTGATAAGAGTATCGCGAAGAACCTGTGGAATCAAATCAGCTAAGAATGACTCGGAAAATCTCCTCTAATCGCTACGGCTGCAGCAAGAAACAAGTTCGGATCAGAAAGAGGTTAGGATGGGAAGTGAAATGGTGGGGACGAGGACATGAGGAGGACCGACGGACCCAAGTGGACTTTCAAATGGAAGGGAAGGGACTTTCTCTTCCTGCAAGCTCTAGAGGGCGAAGCGAGATTTGTAGTTGTCGGTGTCAGAGTGGCAGTGGCAGGCAAGTGCGGTGCGAAGCAGCAGCATTGTAGGATTCGTTTTGGAGTGGAGTGAGGGCGAGGCAGAAAGGTGGTGCACAGCACATGGAAAGGGGTTGGGGTGAAAGGCAGTGATCGGGACTCTCACGCTATCATATGGCCCTCTCGGATGTCAAGAACCCGATCTAGACGGCTCTTGTACATATCGTACAGAAACTACCTCGGATGTTGGCTGATGTCGAGTCAACGACATTTGTCAACATCCCACTAAACCTGACGTCCAATGATTCGCCCATTCATTAGATTATACGTGTTTATTTACAGGCCCATTAGTCCGAATGCACGGGCAACGGCCTCAAACTACACAGGCTCAAAGATTTGCAACTTTACCACATCTGATGCGGAGGTCTCCAAACGTGCAGACGGGACGTTCTCAAACCTTACTCTGTTGCCAGAGAAACTCAAAACAACAACAATGGTCGTCACCCGCTTTAGACGGGAAAATGCCAACGAGGTAACCAGACTACCCTATATTGGCCCAATTCGACCGTGAAAGTTATGTGCTCGACTCTGGATCATGTGAGTTAGAAAAAGAATTCATGTGTACACCTCATCAGATCATTCTGGAAGGGCGAATCCCGATGAACAAGCAGCAAAATCCTTGCATCATCGACTGGCAATAGGCAAAATTTTACCCAGAATCCGAACAGTGAAAAAACAGTGCTAAATCTTGCAGATCGCGCTGACGTTGTCAGCATGTTGTCTAGAAAACGACGCGCAAGTGATGTTTACTAACTGTCGTTTTTTTCCACAAGTCGGTTCTGCGTTGTGCCACATGAGGAGGCTGGGAGCCGGAAGTTACAATTTCGAAAATCATAAACACTCCGCTTACTGGTATTTAATGGGTACTGCGCTTAAGTGCTCTGGTCAACCTCTAGCAGCTCGAGGCTTGAAAACTGCTAGAAATAAGCGGGTCGTTTCAACAGTGACCCTTCCCTGGGCTCTCTCAACAGAACCGGTCCTCAACAGATATCCCACACAAGCTCTCTTGTCTCTAGCGATGGTTCTGTTGAAATTGGCTCTGTTGAATGTTGATTGAAAGTTGAAACCAAGGAGAACGACCCTGAGTAGATTTTCCGCGCAAGAATTGGAGGAAACTGCATCAGGGGTTTCTGTTCTGTCGCACATCCTCTCCTCTCCCCGCGTTCACGAACAGACACGAACAGAAGAGTCACACATGACGAGTATCGTGTGAGTCGTACACAAGAACAGAGTAACCCATGCGATATCGGCACGGCAGCCCAAGACAACACTTCCCGCCACACTCCAGCCAGGCACACCTACTGCGCCAGCTGCTGGTGGTGGTGCACTCACAATTTTTGTCGTCATGCTGGAAGGGTAGCGCTGGCCGCACAAGCTGAGGGGCATAAATTGGACCAGACACGCCTGCGTTTGCTATTCACGGATCACGGTTCAGTATGATATATCGGGCGCGGTTTTCACGCATAACCACGCTGGACCGCCGCCCTTCATTTATACACCCTATTGAGCTCGCTCATATTCGTACACCCAATGCTTCAGTGTAAATGCAGGCCATTCCAAATATTCTAGCTACTCGACGTTACTTCATCCTGGTAACACCCGTGATCGCCCGTCGTTGAAGTCTTCGACAAATTGATCAGTGCACACTACCCGACCCCACCCAACAAAATACAAAATTTAGTCCATGACACAGCGTTTGCGCCTGAAGCGGGATGAATTCCCTGGAGACTCACGAGCCACGACGGGTCATTGTATAGCTACTCAAACCTATTTATTCGCGCAACATCGTATCCCCGCCGGCGTCCCGCCTCTGCTGCGCCAATCATGGGAGGCGTTTTCGGCCGGCCGAAGCAGGAGCGCGGCGACGGGAAAGTTGTGGCTATAACGGGATGCTCTAAAGGGGGGATCGGCTACGCTCTGGCAGAGTACGCCGCAATTCCAGATTGCTGTCTTGCGTCGGGTCCCTGCCCTGCAGCATATTCCATACGACATTCAACAAATCTCACCTCTTTACTAGTAGTAGTACATTCGTCCTGTACGATCGTAGATAATGATAATGGTTATCACATTTCACTCTCTCAGGGAGTACGCGACGGCTTTGTCCTGATGCCCTCTTCTCCCTCTCGGCGCCCCCCTTTCCCCCTTCCCCCCCACCCCCCCAACCCCATCTCTCTCTTACACCCCCCCCCCCCCCCCCCCCCACCCCCCCCCCTCCTCCCGGTCTTCCCCCCCTCCGCTCGCAGGGAGTACGCGCGGCGAGGTGCCAAGGTGTTTGCGACGGCGCGGAGGACAGAAGCCATGGAGGGGCTTCAGGAGCTGGGCGTGACTACAGTGAAGCTGGATGTGACTAACGAGGATGAGATCAAGGTGCGCCTGACGAGTTAAAGCGCCTCAACAGCACACGCCATGGAGGGGCGGCAGGAGCCAGTAGGAGTGACTACGGATGTCACTAACGAGGATGAAGAACCCGCCTTCCCACCTTCCACTGCTTCCGTCGATTCTAGGCCCCCGTCACCCCCCCCCAGTCACCCCTCCCCCCCTTCCCGTCTTTCCGCCTGTAGTCTGCACCGCACGTGATTATGAGGAGCGCCAGGCATGTTGACATCCCCCCCCTCCCCATCTCTCCCCCCCTTAGAGTCTCTTGTGGATTTAATTGTAGTAAAGGGCACCGCCGGGCAGATAGACAGCCTCCCCTCCCCATCCTTTCCCCCCTCCCCCCCTCCCCCCCCTTACCCCCCTACCCCCACCCCCTTTGTCCCCCCCTGTAGTCTGCAGTGGATGTGATTGTAAAGAGCGCCGGGAAGATCGACGTTCTTGTGAACAACGCGGGTGTGCTTACAATGGGGCCCGTGGCGGACCTCCCCCTCTCCGCCTGGCGCCATGGCTTCGAAACCAATCTGTTGGGAGCAGTGGGCATGGCTAAAGCTGTGTTCCCCCACATGGCTGAGAGGAGGCGCGGGTGCATCGTGAATATATCGAGCATCCTGGGGTACCAAGCCTTGTGAGTATAAAGAGGGGTGCCAACTGTGAGTATATATGGGGTCTAGGCTCGGGAGGGCACCTCATGTGCGGTGTAGACCCCCAGTGGCGGACCTCCCCCTGTCCGCCTGGCGCTATGGCGTCGAGTTGAATCTAGTAATCTGTTGGGGGCAGTGGGCGTGGCTAGGGCTGTGTTTCCCCACATGGCTGAGAGGAGGCGCGGGTGCATCGTGAATATATCGAGCATCCTGGGGTATTACCAGGGCTTGGGAGTATGACGGGGGGAATGCCAATTCATGTGATTGTAGAAGGAGTTTAGGGCAGGACGAGCAGCTGATTGGAGCGATTAGTCAGTGGCGGAACTACCTCTATCCGCCACGGCTTCAAGACGAATCTATTGGGGGCAGTGGGCATGGCTACGCCTGGGTTTCCCCACGTAGCACAGAGGAGAAGGGGATGCATCGTGAACATATTTTTTTAGGCGAAGGGGATGCATCGTGAACATAATTTTTTAGGCGAAGGGGATGCATCGTGAACATAATTTTTTAGGCAAAGGGGATGCATCGTGAACATAATTTTTTAGGCGAAGGGGATGCATCGTGAGCATTATTCTTCAGGCGCCTCAAAAGAGGAGAAGGGGATGCATCGTGAACATAACGCGCATCCTGGGGTACCTGGCCTTGTGAGTACTAAGTGGGGAACGCCAATTCATGTGGGTACAGAACGAGCTTAGGGCCGGGAGAGCACCTGATGGGAGCGAAAAGCCAGTGGCGGACCTCCCTCCATCCGCCATGGCTTTCAAGCCAAGCTGCTGGGGGCACTGGGCATGGCTAGGGCTGGTTCTCCCCACATGGCTGAGAGGAGGAGAGGGTGCATCGTGAATATTTCGAGCATCCTGGGGTACGCTGGCTTCCTTGTCTGAGCACCAGGTCCATGGTTGCTGTGTACTTGGCGTCCAAGGCTGCCTTAACTGCGATGAGCAGCTGCTTTTGAAGCCTCTCAAGAACTACTCTTCAATCTACCATCTGTCCACTGCAGGCCCATGGGAGCTGTGTACTCGGCGTCCAAGGCTGCCCTAACCGCGGTCACCAACTGCATGCGCATGGAGATGAAACCGTTCGGCGTGAAGGTCATCCTTGCCACGCCGGGGCTCATCAAGACAGAGCTGTTTGGGTGCGATGGCATGATAGCATGGTTGCATGGCTTGCATTGAAATAGCATGATGGCCTGGTCGCATGGTCGCATGGCTTGCATTGAAATAGCATGATGGCATGATGGCGTGATGGCATGGTACGCATTCAGATGCCTTGGGCATGAAACCGTTCGGCATGAAACCATTCGGCATGAAACCGTATGGCATAAAACCGTTTGGCATGAAACCGTTCGACATGAAACCGTTTGGCATGAAACCGTTTGGCATGAAACCGTATGGCATGAAACCGTTCGACATGAAACCGTCCGGCATGAAACCGTTTGGCATAAAACCGTTCCGCATGAAACCGTTCCGCATGAAGGTAATCCTTGCCACGCCGGGGCTCATCATGACAGAGCTGTTCGGGTGCGATGGCATGATAGCATGATGGCACGATGGCATGATGGCATGATGGCATAATGCCATGATGCCATGATGCCATGATGCCATGATGGCATGATGGCATGATTGCATGATGGCACGATGACATGATAGCATGATAACATGATGGCATGGTGGCATGATAGCATGATGCCATGATGGCATGATGGCATGCGTTGAGATGCGCATGAAACCGTTTGGCATGAAGGTCGTCCTTGCTACGCCGGGGCTGATCAAAACAGAGCTTTTTCCGGTGCGATGGCATGATGGCATGATGGCGTCATGGCGCGATGCCATGATGGCATGATAGTATGATAGCATGCTGGCATGATGTCATATTGGAGATGCATGGGAATGTGCGTATCCACCAGTTGCTGCCTTAGACTCAGAAAATAAAACGCTATCCTTGAAATTGAAGCTTGTCTGTTCTGCTTTTGATTCGGGCCTTGTTGGGATGGTATAGCCCGGGGATAGTGTGTCTTCTACCGTCCCACATGCACACAGCGCCTGGCACCCTCCCTATCCACACCTCCCTCCCCCCCTCTCCCCCCCACCTCCCTTTTCTGCCGTATGCCTGCAGAAAATCCAGCAACCATTCCGTTCAGCTCGCTCCCACCAGCCTTTACTCCCCCTGCCAAGCGAACATCGATAAAATGGCGAGCCTGACCAACACTGTAGCCATGACTCCAGCCTCCCACCTCGCTTCACTCATTGCGAACGCCTCACTTTCATCCAATCCCCCCTGGCGCCTTTTTGCCGGGGAGTTGTGGTTTCCTGTGATGGCGATGGTGTGGTTCGCGCCGGTGTGGCTCTTGGATTGGTTTTATTGGAAGGGGCATGGGGATGCTTTTGCGGAGGGGGGGAGGAGGAAGAGGATTGCTGTTGATGCAGAGGATATGAAGCATAAATAGAGCTGCATTCATTTCTGGGATTGGTATGGATGGTGTTTTTTCAAGAGGTTTCACGAAGGTGTCGTGCTGGTTTTAGAATTTAACGTAATGTAAGAAAAGAGCCATTTGTCAAATGCTTTTTTAATACTGATTATTGTCTGATATGTACGACCTGTATATGCACACACTTACAGAATGTGCCTTTCACGAGGACTTCCCATGGACGCAGAATTTTACTGGTCATTAGCGTCCGCTGTAACTATTGGGCCGAGGTGTCTGGATATCACAGATGGCGCGAGATGATTCATTGTAATTCCAGCTGGAACCTCGCGTTCCCGATCTTGCTTGTTGATTGGAGAATACATTCTCGCTTTCCAAATCGGGCTTGTTGATTGGCGAACACCGCTTCCCAAACGTGGTTTTGGGCAACCATTCGCAGGGCAAAGTCGGCCATGACCTCGAAGCTGGTGTGAGATCCATGATGATGTGAGGGCTATCGACGGTGATTAGCCACCACGGATTCCATCCGACGGCAATCCATATTCAACAACCCCATGGACTACGGGCAGCCGCAAAAGGTCAGCCAACCACAAAAGACCATTCAACCAGCCCCAAGGGCACAGGCTGCGGCTGGGCGCTGCGCTGTGCTGTCACAGAATGCAACATTCGCCGCCACCAACACCACCATCCTCCTCAGCACAAGCGCCTCCACACCACCCAACCCTCCTTTAACCCACCTTAACTTACCAAACCACCCAGCATCCCGCACAACGATTGATTGCTCCATGGGGTGACCGAAACGCATGATGCATGTGATTGGTGGAGGCCCTTCGGGAGCTAGGTTTGGCAAGTTTTGCATGGAGGCGCGCTGTCAGGCGAACTGCCCACCTGGTCCGAACCCAAACCGTGCTGTCCAAGTCAGACCCACGCCACCAAAGCGAACCCCACAACCTTTTGTCACTGCACCAGACCGAGTACGTTCTTTCTTCTCACCTGCAATTAGCTGTTGAAAGAGAGGCGATCAGAACCGCGAGACTTACCCACAGAGCTCATTCTAGAAGCCACAAGGATTTCCTGGAACTCATGAGATTTATGCTAGAAGCAAGAGACGCACTTCTGGAAGTTCCCATTTCTCAAGGCAATTTTATAGCTTGGAAATATTTGCTGACGTAGAGGCGTAGGCTGAACGCGACTTGCAATCGTGATGCTGCTGCTACCATTCAGTTGCTAGAATAGAAAGGCAGTGGTCGTGGTTTGATCACTTACGCCTGACTCCGAAAGTCCTGATTAAAACAGTGTGTGTTGTTTCTAAAACATAAACGCTTCTTAAAAAGCATCAGCAGAGGACGAAGAGCCATGAATCCGAGAGTGTCTCAGTTTGTAGTCTTAGCGATAGGCCTTTGCTGCTTATCGCTTCATCATGTGTGTCTCGCGGCCAACACTCTTGAAGCTTCTAGACCTGATGGTTCGACCACCAAGAGTCCAGACAGAGCGGAAAATCCAGCTTCAACTCTAAGCGTTCCAGCTGCACTATTTGACGCCTCAGTTTCACTGATCAACGTGCCAGCACCGATCGTTCTCCCGGTGAATCTCTCAGCTCATCTCCGCGAAAGCACAGAGAAGCACAAACTTTCGAGCGATGGTGCGCATCTCCACCGTGACTTTCGTCCCTTATATTTGAGATTACTTCTGAGTCGACTGGAAAAATATTCTCTCCGCACCCACCGTGCTTCGCAAAGCTTGCGATTCCGTACTGTGCAAATCCTGAAAAGTGATCTTCCAGTCTCAGCCTGATACTCAGATTTCTCCGCCCTCCTCCTTTTGTCCCTGACATCCCAACGGCTCGTCTCCTTCACCGCAGCTGGCGGTGACTCGCAGCTTGACGCTCATTTGGCTCTTGATTCGACTCAAGAGTCAGCAGCTGGCGCCGAGTTTCAGCTTGACGCTCAACTCCAAGTTGCGCCCGGCGCCGTGCCGGCTGGCCGGGAGGATCCTCCCGTCGAATCGCAGCTGGCTTGCGGCGATCGGGTGGCAGCGGAAGTCGCGGAGTCGATTCTGAAGGATGAGGTGGTGCGGCGACTCGACCAGCTCGGAAACGTGAGCTCTAGCTCTTGCCATCGGCTAGATCTGGCCGAGTCGAGTCCGTTAGACGGAAGAGCGTTCCACCCTTCTGCGGGTTCTGAAGGGTGGAATGATGGGGTGGTGCGGCGGCTCTACCGGCTCGGAAACGTGAGCTCTTGCCATCGGTTAGATCTGGTCGAGTCGAGTCCGCTAGACGGAAGAGCATTGCACCATGCTGCCGGTTCTGAAGGATGAGGTGGTGCGACGACTCGACCAGCTCGGAAACGTGAGCTTTTAAGATTTGGTGGCTCTTGAACCATTATTTAGACGGAATCGTCTATCTGCTGCCGGTTTTGCTGACATGGATGAGATGGCTCAGTAGAGTTGAGCAGATTAGGAGCAGCATGCTTGCTGACTGACACGGGGTATCCGAGTGTTCTTTGGGGGTCTGATGCCTGACTCTGATTGCGATGCTGCAGGTCAGTGACTCCGCATGCCACTTGGAGCGCATGTCCCTAACCGAGCTCTTTTGTGCTGTTTTAATCTCCCTGCTCTCCTTGTTGCAACGCTGCAGGTCAGCGACTCCGCGCATTACTTGGAGCGCACGTTTCTCAGCGACGCGTCCCTGCGCGCCGCGGCGCTCGTCAGCGATTGGATGGAGGAGGCCGGCATGTACACGTGGATGGACGCGATTGGCAACGTGCATGGCCGCGTGGACGGACCGCATCCCGACGCGCCTGTGCTGCTATTCGGCTCGCATCTGGTGAGCCATGAACTCAAAGACTCCAAGCCTGTCTTAAGAGACTCTCTTATCGTATCTGAAGAGAGTCTCTTACCGATTGTCTCTTACCGTATCCACCGTATTCCGAATGTGTGGACCGTCCGTCTCCCGTCTGTTACCGTGCCTTGTCCCCTCTTCTCTCTCTCTCTCTCTCTCTCTCTCTCTCTCTCTCTCTCTCTCTCTCTCTCTCTCTCTCTCTCTCTCTCTCTCTCTCTCTCTCTCTCTCTCTCTCTCTCTCTCTCTCTCTCTCTCTCTCTCTCTCTGCCTCCTCACCAGGACACACTAGTCGACGCCGGTCGCTTCGGCGGAGCGCTGGGCATCGTCACGGCCATTGCGGCCGTTATGCTCTTCGTTAGAGCGTGTGGAGAAGCGGCGCTAGCCCGGCCGGTAGAGGTGATGGCGTTCAGCTTCGAGGCGGGCATGCGGTTCCAGTCCACGTTCTCATCCTCACCTCCCCGTCCTCTTCCTCGCCTCCCCTTCCTCCTCTCTCTCCCCTCCCCTCTCTCTGTGTCGTTCCGTGGACTCCCTTCTTCCCCGGACACAGTGGTTGACGCCGGTCGGTTTGATGGAACCCTCGGTATAGTCACGACCGTCGCCGCTATCAAGCTCTTCGTTAGAGCGTGTGGAGAAGCAGCGCTAGCCCGGCCAGTTGAGGTGGTGGCGTTCAGCGACGAGGAAGACGTGCGCTTCCAGTCCACTTTCTCTTCCTCACCTCCCCCCCCCCTCCTCTCTCTCCCCTCCCCTCTCTGTGTCGTTCCGTGAACTCCCTTCTTCCCAGGACACAGTGGTTGACGCTGGCCGGTTTGATGGAGCCCTCGGTATAGTCACGGCCGTCGCCGCTATCAAGCTCTTCGTTAGAGCGTGTGGAGAAGCAGCACTGGCCCGGCCGGTGGAGGTGGTGGCGTTCAGCGACGAGGAGGGCATGCGCTTCCAGTCCACGTTCCTGGGAAGCAGAGCCATCGCTGGGACGCTGACCCCTGCGATGCTGCAGATGCGGGATAGACGGTGAGTGCCCATGATAGGTGACTTTTGAGTCGACTCAAAAGTCACCTGTATGCGGGATAGACGGGGAGTGCCCATCGCTGGGACGCTGATCCCTGCGATGCTGCAGATGCGGGATAGACGGTGAGTGCCCATGATAGGTCGTGAGGGCATCTCTCCCCCGACCGGTTGAGGTGGTGGCGTGCAGCGACGAGGAGGGCATGCGGTCCCAGTCCACGTTCCTGGGGAGCAGGGCAATCGCTGGGACGCTCACTCAAGCAATGATGCAGATGAAGGACGGCAAGTGAGTCATCAGATTTGTGGAAACGGTGTAGCTGGTGAGTGGAGGTGGTGGGCATGCGGTTCGGTTCCAGTCCGCGTTCCTGGGGAGCAGAGCACTTGCTGGCACGCTGACCCCTGCCATGCTGCAGATGAAGGTCAACAGGTGAGTAATGAGTAATGAGTAATGAGTCGACTCAAAAACAGACTTACTACACACGGATGAAGGACAGCAGGTGAGTGACAGCGGTGTGAGTGCATCCGCGTGTGTGAAATCCGTGTGTCAGTAGTTTCGTCTTGAGTCGACTCAAAACGAAACTAGTGACACATGAAGGACCGCCTTTGAGTGAGCGACAGTGCTGTGAGTGCATCCGTACGTGTGAATACGCTTCTTCCTGCCTTTGCCTCGCTCGGTGTAGGAGGTGGCATGTAGCGACGTGGAGGGCTTGCAGTCCCAGTCGACGTTCCTGGGGAGTAGGGTCACTGATGGGACTTTAGCTCCAAGAATCCTGCAGTTGAAGGATTGAGAGTGATCAGCTGGTTTCACATGATTCAGGAATGCAAGTGTGTTTTTCGCACATTCCTTGCGCGCTCGTGCATGCTTCCATTCGTGCATGCTTCCATTCGTGCATGCTTCCATTCGTGCATGCTTCCATTCTTGCATGCTTCCATTCTTGCATGCTTTTACTCTTTGTCGTCATCCTCATGATCCAGCCCCCCATGCGCGTTTCCTTATCCCCCTGCTGCGCCTCTGCTGCGCCGTTCAGTGGAGTAAGTGTACAAGAGGCTATTGAGGCACTTCCAGCAACACCAGCAGCAGCAGCAGCAGCAGCAGCAGCAGCAGCAGCAGCAGCAGCCGGAGCAAGAGGTCCTAGCAAGGCAGCAGAGGGGGGGGCAGGAGTGCAGTCAGCGCTGTACAAGCCCGAGGACGTGTGGGGCTATGTAGAAGTGCACTTAGAGCAGGGCCCCGTGCTAGAATCCCTAGGAGAGCCGCTGGGAGTAGTGGTGGGGATTGCAGGGCAGACACGGGCGGAGGTGACTATAGAGGGCGATCAGGGGCACGCAGGGACGGTGCCCATGCGCCTGAGGCGGGATGCAGTGGCCGGGGCTGCTGCTGCCGTGGTGGCTGTGGAATCGGTTTGCGTGGGAATTCTGAGGGCTGAGGAGGAGGGATTGGGAGGGGAAAGGGAAGGGAGCAGCGATGCCAGTGGCAGGGACAGTAGGAGTGGGGTTGGGAGTGGGGTTGGGAGTGGGGTTGGGAGTGGGTTGGTGTGTACGGTGGGAAAGCTGGTGGTGTGGCCGGGGGAGAGCAACGTGATAGCAGGCAGGGTGACGTTTACCCTGGACGTGAGGGCGCAGGGCAACGGCGTGAGGCGCACTGCTGTGGAGGGAATCGACGTGGAGATAAGGCGGATATGCGACGAACGAGGGCTGTCATGCCGACTCTCAGTCAAGGTGGGTGTCCTGTTACAACCCGTTAGCTACAGGAAGTTTTTATTCTTCTCCTCCTCTGTTTTCAGGGCGTCTCAAAAGTAGATTCTCAGTCGAGGTGTGTGTCCGGTTGCAAACCTGTGTTAGTCAAAGAAACCATTCTGGCTGCTGTCCTGGGGAGGCTGTGTCAATCTGTGTCCTGTTTGGTTGACACATTCCCCGCATCCTCTGACTCCGTTGCCTATCCCCTTGAGAGAGATTTCTGAGGATTTCAAACAATGTCCGTAGGTAATGAGTCGATTTTTGAGTCGACTCAAAACTAGACTCCTATCATGGCTAACAAACAATGTCCGTAGGAGATTTTTGAGTCGACTCAAAAATCTGTTCCCCTGCCCTCCTTTCCCTTTCCCCTCTCCCCTCTTCCTGCTTTCGGCCAGCACCAAGCCGACACTGTCGACTGCTCTCCACCCCTTGTCTCCATGCTCCGACAAGCAGCTCTCACCACTCTCGCTGCGGCTGAGCCTGCTACTCCTCCTATAAGTGCTGCCAGTTCTGCCAGTGCTGCCAGTACTGCCAGAGCCAGCAACAGCTCTGATTCCTGTGCTGCTGACGGGAGTAGTTTGCCTGGGGGCATGGCACGGCCAAATCCTGGGCTGTGTCCGTCTGATGGCACTGCTGATGCTGCCACGGGGGCCAACGACGCCGAGATTTGCAGCTCCGGTGGCAGCAACAGCAGTTCTGCTGGATGTGACACGTGCGGGAGCGCGGGCCGGGCGCAGAGGCATCTAGTGCCCCGGCTGGTCAGTGGAGCCGGGCATGACGCCATGGCCATGGCGGACCTTACACAGGTGAGGACTGGCGAGGGTGTAGATTCATCAGGAGCAGGTGGGCGCAGAGGCATCAAGTGCCCTGGCTGGTCAGTGGAGCAGGGCATGACGCCATGGCCATGCCGGATCTTACCAAGGTGAGGATTGGCGAGTGCCAGGTGCGGTGATTGCCTGCCCAGGTGGGGTGATTGCCTGCCCAGGTGGGGTGATTGCCTGCCCAGGTGGGGTGATTGCCTGCCCAGGTGGGGTGACTGCCTGCCCAGGTGGGGTGACTGCCTGCCCAGGTGGGGTGACTGCCTCCCCAGGTAGGGTGACTGCCTGCCCAGGTAGGGTGACTGCCTTCCCAGGTAGGGTGACTGCCTGCCCAGGTGGGTTGACTGCCTGCGTAGGTGGGGGGACTGCCTGCCCAGGCGGGGTGACTGCCTGCCCAGGTGGGGTGACTGCCTGCCCAGGTGGCGTGATTGCCTGCCCAGGTGGGGTGACTGCCTGCCCAGGTGGGGTGACTGCCTGCCCAGGTGGGGTGACTGCCTGCCCAGGTGGGGTGATTGCCTGCCCAGGTGGGGTGACTGCCTGCCCAGGTGGGGTGACTGCCTGCCCAGGTGGGGTGACTGCCTGCCCAGGTGGCGTGATTGCCTGCCCAGGTGGGGTGACTGCCTGCCCAGATAGGGTGACTGCCTGCCCAGGTGGGGTGACTGCCTGCCCAGGTGGGGTGATTGCCTGCCCAGGTGGGGTGACTGCCTGCCCAGGTGGGGTGACTGCCTGCCCAGGTGGGGTGACTGCCTGCCCAGGTGGGGTGACTGCCTGCCCAGGTGGGGTGACTGCCTGCCCAGGTGGGGTGACTGCCTGCCCAGGTGGGGTGACTGCCTGCCCAGGTGGGGTGACTGCCTGCCCAGGTGGGGTGACTGCCTGCCCAGGTGGGGTGACTGCCTACCCAGGTGGGGTGACTGCCTGCCCAGGTGGGGTGACTGCCTGCCCAGGTGGGGTGACTGCCTCCCTAGGTAGGGTGACTGCCTGCCCAGGTAGGGTGACTGCCTGCCCAGGTGGGTTGACTGCTTGCGTAGGTGGGGGGACTGCCTGCCCAGGTGGGGGGACTGCCTGCCCAGGTGGGGTGACTGCCTGCCCAGGTGGGGTGACTGCCTGCCCAGGTGGGGTGACTGCCTGCCCAGGTGGGGTGACTGCCTGCCCAGGTGGGGTGATTGCCTGCCCAGGTGGGGTGACTGCCTGCCCAGGTGGGGTGACTGCCTGCCCAGGTGGGGTGACTGCCTGCCCAGGTGGGGTGACTGCCTGCCCAGGTGGGGTGACTGCCTCCCCAGGTGGGGTGACTGCCTGCCCAGGTGGGGTGACTGCCTGCCCAGGTGGGGGGACTGCCTGCCCAGGTGGGGGGACTGCCTGTCCAGGTGGGGGGACTGCCTGCCCAGGTGGGGCGACTGCCTGCCCAGGTGGGGTGACTGCCTGCCCAGGTGGGGTGACTGCCTGCCCAGGTGGGGTGACTGCCTGCCCAGGTGGGGTGATTGCCTGCCCAGGTGGGGTGACTGCCTGCCCAGGCGGGGTGACTGCCTGCCCAGGTGGGGTGACTGCCTGCCCAGGTGGGGTGACTGCCTGCCCAGGTGGGGTGATTGCCTGCCCAGGTGGGATGACAACCTGCCCAGGTGGGGTGACTGCCTGCCCAGGTGGGGTGACTGCCTCCCCAGGTAGGGTGACTGCCTGCCCAGGTGGGTTGACTGCCTGCATAGGTGGGGGGACTGCCTGCCCAGGTAGGGGGATTGCCTTCCCAGGTGGGGTGACTGCCTGCCCAGGTGGGGTGACTGCCTGCCCAGGTGGGGTGACTGCCTGCCCAGGTGGGGTGACTGCCTGCCCAGGTGGGGTGACTGCCTGCCCAGGTGGGGTGATTGCCTGCCCAGGTGGGGTGACTGCCTGCCCAGGTGGGGTGACTGCCTGCCCAGGTGGGGTGACTGCCTGCCCAGGTGGGGTGACTGCCTGCCCAGGTGGCGTGATTGCCTGCCCAGGTGGGGTGACTGCCTGCCCAGGTGGGGTGACTGCCTGCCCAGGTGGGGTGACTGCCTGCCCAGCTGGGGTGACTGCCTGCCCAGGTGGGGTGACTGCCTGCCCAGGTGGGGTGACTGCCTGCCCAGGTGGGGTGACTGCCTGCCCAGGTGGGGTGACTGCCTGCCCAGGTGGGGTGACTGCCTGCCCAGGTGGGGTGACTGCCTGCCCAGGTGGGGTGACTGCCTGCCCAGGTGGGGTGACTGCCTGCCCAGGTGGGGTGACTGCCTGCCCAGGTGGGGTGACTGCCTGCCCAGGTGGGGTGATTGCCTGCCCAGGTGGGGTGACTGCCTGCCCAGGTGGGGTGACTGCCTGCCCAGGTGGGGTGACTGCCTGCCCAGGTGGGGTCACTGCCTGCCCAGGTGGGGTGACTGCCTGCCCAGGTGGGGTGACTGCCTGCGCAGGTGGGGTGACTGCCTGCCCAGGTGGGGTGATTGCCTGCCCAGGTGGGGTGACTGCCTGCCCAGGTGGGGTGACTGCCTACCCAGGTGGGGTGACTGCCTGCCCAGGTGGGGTGACTGCCTGCCCAGGTGGGGTGACTGCCTCCCTAGGTAGGTTGACTGCCTGCCCAGGTAGGGTGACTGCCTGCCCAGGTGGGTTGACTGCCTGCGTAGGTGGGGGGACTGCCTGCCCAGGTGGGGGGACTGCCTGCCCAGGTGGGGTGACTGCCTGCCCAGGTGGGGTGACTGCCTGCCCAGGTGGGGTGACTGCCTGCCCAGGTGGGGTGATTGCCTGCCCAGGTGGGGTGACTGCCTGCCCAGGTGGGGTGACTGCCTGCCCAGGTGGGGTGACTGCCTGCCCAGGTGGGGTGACTGCCTGCCCAGGTGGCGTGATTGCCTGCCCAGGTGGGATGACTGCCTGCCCAGGTGGGGTGACTGCCTGCCCAGGTGGGGTGACTGCCTGCCCAGGTGGGGTGACTGCCTGCCCAGGTGGGGTGATTGCCTGCCCAGGTGGGGTGACTGCCTGCCCAGGTGGGGTGACTGCCTGCCCAGGTGGGGTGACTGCCTGCCCAGGTGGGGTCACTGCCTGCCCAGGTGGGGTCACTGCCTGCCCAGGTGGGGTGACTGCCTGCCCAGGTGGGGTGACTGCCTGCGCAGGTGGGGTGACTGCCTGCCCAGGTGGGGTGATTGCCTGCCCAGGTGGGGTGACTGCCTGCCCAGGTGGGGTGACTGCCTACCCAGGTGGGGTGACTGCCTGCCCAGGTGGGGTGACTGCCTGCCCAGGTGGGGTGACTGCCTCCCTAGGTAGGTTGACTGCCTGCCCAGGTAGGGTGACTGCCTGCCCAGGTGGGTTGACTGCCTGCGTAGGTGGGGGGACTGCCTGCCCAGGTGGGGGGACTGCCTGCCCAGGTGGGGTGACTGCCTGCCCAGGTGGGGTGACTGCCTGCCCAGGTGGGGTGACTGCCTGCCCAGGTGGGGTGATTGCCTGCCCAGGTGGGGTGACTGCCTGCCCAGGTGGGGTGACTGCCTGCCCAGGTGGGGTGACTGCCTGCCCAGGTGGGGTGACTGCCTGCCCAGGTGGCGTGATTGCCTGCCCAGGTGGGATGACTGCCTGCCCAGGTGGGGTGACTGCCTGCCCAGGTGGGGTGACTGCCTGCCCAGGTGGGGTGACTGCCTCCCCAGGTGGGGTGACTGCCTGCCCAGGTGGGGTGACTGCCTGCCCAGGTGGGGTGACTGCCTGCCCAGGTGGGGTGACTGCCTGCCCAGGTGGGGTGATTGCCTGCCCAGGTGGGGTGACTGCCTGCCCAGGTGGGGTGACTGCCTGCCCAGGTGGGGTGACTGCCTGCCCAGGTGGGGTGACTGCCTGCCCAGGTGGGGTGACTGCCTCCCTAGGTAGGGTGACTGCCTGCCCAGGTAGGGTGACTGCCTGCCCAGGTGGGGGGACTGCCTGCCCAGGTGGGGGGACTGCCTGCCCAGGTGGGGGGACTGCCTGCCCAGGTGGGGCGACTGCCTGCCCAGGTGGGGTGACTGCCTGCCCAGGTGGGGTGACTGCCTGCCCAGGTGGGGTGACTGCCTGCCCAGGTGGGGTGATTGCCTGCCCAGGTGGGGTGACTGCCTCCCCAGGTAGGGTGACTGCCTGCCCAGGTGGGGGGACTGCCTTCCCAGGTGGGGTGACTGCCTTCCCAGGTGGGGTGACTGCCTGCCCAGGTGGGGTGACTGCCTGCCCAGGTGGGGTGACTGCCTGCCCAGGTGGGGTGACTGCCTGCCCAGGTGGGGTGACTGCCTGCCCAGGTGGGGTGACTGCCTGCCCAGGTGGGGTGACTGCCTGCCCAGGTGGGGTGACTGCCTGCCCAGGTGGGGTGATTGCCTGCCCAGGTGTGTTTTGAGTCGACTCAAAACAGAGAGGCGTCAACTAGCTGGTAAGGGGGGCAGGGCATGATGCCATGGACATGGCGGATCTTACAAAGGTGAGGGTTCTTGTGATTTGTTGCTCTCCTCTCATGCTACATGGGCTGGGGTGGGATATGACGGGGAGGCTTTATTTGATTGCGTGCACTCAAATACTTAGGAGTAGGTAGTTACGATGGTATGAATGAACCTTACGGTTGTGGTTGTGTAACGCTTGTTGGTTGCAGGTGGCGATGCTCTTCGTACGCTGTAGAGGGGGTGTCAGTCATCGGCCGGATGAGTTTGTGTCTCCTTATGACTTGCATATGGCGTCCAGCACTATTTTTGGGTTGCTATCCATTGACGGAATTTATTCAGATTGAGTTTTCAAAGGGGGCGTCTCTCTGTACATTGTCCGAAGTGGTGCCAACTTTTGCGTTAAAACTCGACGCGAAGGGTGATAAAGGCAGCGTTAATGATGCAATTGCCATTTTCCATAACCTTCAAGCAACATAATATGCTAGTTGCTGTATTTCTCGAACCTTCTAATCAGTTAGTTACTCCTCGGTAGACTAACGCGTTATAGCTGCCAAACGAGGAGGTTCGGGCTCTCTGCTTGGAACCTTAAGGCGCGGCTTAACCCAGTTTCAAGCAGCAGGTACAGGTCTTCCTGACACGCGAAAGCTTATGCCGTTCGCGTGTCAGCTTCGTTTCAGAAGGGCGGCATTTTGCCGCGCTTTCAAACCGTCCCAACACGCGTCTAGCAGTCAAAATCAGGATCATCAAAAGTGCATGCAGGAACTACACAGTACACGGAACAATCAGAGCCCGAACGGAACACGCACGAAGCATTTCGAGCACTTGTAGGTTAGGGCGACCTGCCCTGAGTACAGATCGCCCGCCGTGTATCAACCGCGGGACACGTAGAGCCACGTTCTAGTTCTCTGCCCACCATGCTTCGTTTTGTTTCTTAGGTGACTTCCCTTGTATAATTTGTGCCCCCAATCCCGTTGGAAAACCAGAAGTGGTTACAGGGATTCTGCTCGGGGGCACACATCAATACGGAGATGTTTAGGGCGTGTTGTAATACCAGCCCTCCTCAGGCGTCCGAGGATACATAAAGTATATTTATGGTCGAATGCGGTGGACCAGAGGGGTCAGCTCTGGTTGCCTGCCAGAGCGCCCCCTCGGTCGCAAGGCGCCTGATGGCCGGAGGCATTTGCACCACGCCCCTTGCCCGTCCCAGACAAATGGGGAGGCTTGGGAAGGTACTTTCTGGAGTTCAAAGGAGTTTCACCCTTGGTGATCCGAGGTAGCCACCCCGTCCCATTCGGGGGCTGTTTGCTCTGAACCTAGTAGTATTGGAAGTGCGGTAAAGGACCCAGAAAATCACACATTTTTATGGCGATAGTCGGTCTAGAACCTATATGAAAAAGAAACCCCACCCAGCACCTGCATTACTGTAGCCCTGATGTGTTCACATCAATCAAAACTTGCAGTGAGTATGCACCAATAAGAATGTTTGGCAAGGTTGAGCGACAAAGCTCGCTTCCACGTTATCGCAAGTGCCAAGTGCACAAGGTTTGGTGTGTGGATGTGGTGGTACTCCTGCCCACAAATCTTTCCATTTACGTGCGACGGGAACACTACTGAACTGAAAGCTACCAAGTGAGATTTTCAAGACGATTATCACCTGGGACGCTAAGTTTTTACCTGAGCAGAATCATAAATTCAGCACGGAACATTTACGGAACACAGTTCTGTACGATGCTGCAAGGCCTGTTGAACAGTGGTAGGCACGTGTCGGTTGCGGCCAGGCTGCCCAACCGCAGTTGGTTTTTGCTGCCCTCCCTGCAACATTTTCCTGAACTCTGTTCCCCGCAATGTTGTTGAAAGTGCTGGTTTGATGGAAGCTTCTGACCCTGGTCCCATCTTCATCTTGCCAAACTTTCCCACCCCATGGCTGTTGTTCTGTACCTCTAGAAACTGCCAAATAACCCCCCCCATAGAGGCTATAAATTAAAGGACAAAGGCTCTGAATGTCCTGAATATTCCGGATTTGTCTTGGCTCAGCCTGATTTAAAGTGTTACACTTTATGCCATCCGTGATGCTTAGGGACTTCATAAGTTTCTGGGATTCGCAGGGTGCACGTGATGGCCTAAACTTGATCCTTCTCTCCCTTCGAACGTTCCCGTTCCGCAATCCCCTTCCAACTGGTTTGTTTTCCCCAAAGCATTGGGACCAGCTGGTGGATTGAAAATCCCACTCGGAATGATAAATACACCGGAAGCTCGACACTGAAACATACTGTTTGTGAGTCGTGCTAGATGTATTTAGACGGGAATATTCATGAGGGAGGGGCCGATTGAGACTGACTCGAGCACAGAATTTTGTGGACACCAGGTGGATATCAATATACAAGTCAGCATCTCTCCCACATATTGTCAAGGGCTACGTGTTATGCTGCTTCTCTGCAATTTGGGAAAGAACAATCCACACAAAGCACACAACGGGTGAGGCCTGAAATGATGATGCAAATTGATGGGGATCTTTCGGCCCTTCCCGTAATAGATGGGGCAGATTTCTGAATGATATGCGTGGGGGGAGTTTTCCCCTCAAACCGAATGTCACCATCCCTGCTCCCACCTTTCTTCCCTTCCCCTTTCCGCCTTGTTCGTTTGGCACTGTTCCGCCACCACCTGCTTCCATTCCACCTTGATTTTCCCCCATTCTCCCGTCCCGTCCCGCCCACTTCCCTTTCCGCGCAAAATTTCCGCTCCGCCTCGTTCCCTTGCCGCTGGATAATTCTCCCCCTTCCTGCTTCCCTTTACGCCCCTCGCTTTCCGCCAGCACTCCTTCCTTTCCGCCAGCCTCCCTCCCTCATCCCTCCTCTGCGCCCCACCGCAAGCCCTCGGTCAAATCGAGGTGATGCTGATTCCACAATCCTGGATTTGATTCTTTTTTTCTCAACTTCCAATTGTCCTCCTCCCAGTTCCAGTCTATATCTCCTAGATCTTGTCTCTCCGTCTGTCCCTCCCTAGTCATTTGATTTGACCTCTCTCTTGGCGTTCCGCCATTGCAGCCTCCCTCCCCTCCATGATCCCGTGCCTGCTGTGGTGCAAAGCAACCACACGGAAAGCGTTTGTACGGCCACGATTTGTTCGTGCATTCAGCAAGTGAGGAGGAGCAACATCTCCGGTCCACAAGCCAGCCAGCCAACTGGTCCCTCCTTATCCCTGCAAGCTCGTTATCCCTGCAAGCAAGAGTCGTTTCCTCGTGAATCGTGATGCGATGTGATTGTGCCTGTCTCCCTTTCTGCATCCATCACCACCATGTCTGACGAGAATCGTTAGGTGCGTCGCTGCAGTCGCTGCGATTAGATCGAGAAATTTCACCCGAGCGTGCCGTTTCGCTCCAGGATTTTAGACTGCCTGTGCTGTGCTTGTTGACATGTGGCGGCTGGCTCCATGCACACGTGTTCGAGTTCATATCAGGATTTAGGACTCACTTAATAATTGGTCAAGATTTTCGCTTAGCCGTGAGATTAAAGCTCGCTTCGTGACGCAGGATTTGACAGTTTCAGGTCTTGGTGTTCAGCCTTTCAGATCTAGTCCGTCGGCTAGGTTTAAGTTTCGTGTCGTAGTAGACGGTTCGAGTCCTTATGAATTCGGTAGCAATGGGTAAGAGTAGTAACGACATCTATCAATACATTAGGGATTCTCTAGGAGTCGCGCAGCTGGTCTTATCCCCGTCCGACTTTCGAATCGTCGCCGCGAGTAAAGCCGCCGTCGCGCTCCTGGGAGCGTGCTGCGAAGCGCACCTCTTCGATTTCCACATCTCCGCCGTATTCACTCCTGACCCCGCCGCCGCATCCGGAACCATCCGACCGTGTATTTCCCCTACTATCAAGGAGGTCCCTAAAGATTGGTGCAAGGCGCTGGCCTCTTTGTCGCGAAGTAACGGCGAGATATTCACTATTGACGGAGCCATCAGTAGTTGCGCCGCTCAGCGGCGACTCGCACTTCGTGATGGCCTTGAGTCCACCGCTTCTTCTAGTATTTCTCACGGACCACATCCCGAATGCTGCGGGTCTTGCGGAAAGGTGTTCCGCGATTCTAGGAGACAAAATTCGGCGGCGGTTAAAGACGGATTTAACGTTCCCGGCGAGGACCTGTCGGGGACTCTTCCGAGCTTAATCTCCCCTAGCGACGGCGATACGGCTACTGGTCCACGTGTCCATCAGATTCCGCCGTTTTCTCCTGCCTCGCTGGACGCGCTGCGGGACTCACATCCCACGAACCGATCCGAACCGACGGCCACCGAAGCCGCGGGTGACGGAAACCCAGGAGCCGAAGCGGGGTCGCAACTGCCTCTGGAGCAGCTTTCGACTAGGAGGCTCCGGAGCTCGCTGGGAAAGAACAGCTTGAATGGCCCCACCGGGCCGAAACGGCCTTGTCCGCCGAAGTTTCCAGCGGGTTTGGACGATAGGCCTGCACGGAAACCAGAAGCGCAAGGTTGGGTTTCTGCGTCGATTAATTTCCAGTGGTATCCGGACTATTCGGAGAAGGAAGGGCAAGGGCTCGTGGTCGCGACAATATCGAGGAGTTCCCCCCGGGATGAGGAGATGGTATGGCGACTTTCTGTCCCTGTCACATTTGATCATGCGTCTCTTTTTGAGGCGCCTCAAAACAAAACTAGTTTTGAGGCGCCTCAAAACAAAACTAATTTTGAGGCGCCTCAAATCAAAACTAATTTTGAGGCGCCTCAAATCAAAACTAATTTTGAGGCGCCTCAAATCAAAACTAATTTTGAGGCGCCTCAAAACGGGATGAGGAAATGGTATGGCGACTTTCTGTCCCTGTCACATTTGATCATGCGTCTCTACTACCCGCCGCTTCTTCTCCTTTCCCTCGGCATTTATATTCTTCTCCGTCTTCTTCTTCTCACTCTCTCTCTCACTCCCTCTTTCACGTTTTTTGTCTTTCGACAACGGTTCTGAAATCAGGGTGAGTCGATGCTGCTGTTTGCAACGGTGCTGCAATTATCACCAAAGCATGGCTTGGCTGCAATTTTCCTGCAATCAAAATTTTATTCTTCACCTATTTCTGTTCTCTCCTCTAGCATTACCACCCCACCACCATCTTATCCCCCCCCCCCCTTCCCTCGTTTCTCACCCTTCCAGAAGCATGTATTATATCTGCTTCTTGAAAGTCATCTCTTGATCCTTCTCCCCGAATCCCCTCTTCCCTTTTGTTTCTCACCCTTCCAGAAGCATCTCTTCAAGCTGCTTCTTCAGCTCGTTCGGTGCGCCTGTGCCCTTGACTCTGAGCCGAACGACCCCCCAAAACCCTCACCCACCTCGGAGAGCCAGCAGCAGCAGCAGCAGCAAGAGAAGGACTTCAGCCTGACGGGTTTAATCCCCGAGCACTTGAGCTCGGACCTCTGCGGGAAGCACCACAGTCTGTTTCGTGGTTCTGGGTTAGAGGAAGTGGTGGATTCCGGTTTAAATGTCCTGAACCATCTGGAGAATCGCGGATTGTCATCTGGACACGTGGATAAGCTCCACGTGGACAGTGCTGACGTGGACGAGAAACGGCTGGACAAGCCTGGCGAGAGCTCGTCAAAGGACACGGTGCATTCAAAGAAAGCCAATCCTGCTGGTTCTGGCGCCGCTGGTACTGGCGCTACTGGTTCTGTTCCTGGTTCTGGTGCTGGTTCTGGTCCTGGTTCTGGCGCAACGTTCGGCACAGCAGGGAATGTAGCCGCCTCAACTCGCGAGCCTCCCAAGCCCGTCCACGAGCACGTGGTGGAGTGGTCGTTCCGAGCTGCGAGCCTGCTTCTAACGAAGTACAAGGAGCTCGGGCTGTTCAAGAAGATTGTCCAGAAATCAGCGGTGAGATTCAGAACCTCTTCTTCCTTCAAGCCAAACCCTTGTGCCTGTGCCAATTCAGTGGTTGTACGGAGCAGCGGGTCTGCTTCTAATGAAGCACAAGGAGCTCGCGTTGCTAGAGAACTGTTTTGCGGATCACCGATGTGCGTGGTGTGGTGCCTTGGCTCCTTCCAATGCCATCAATGGCCCGCCCCGCTCCCTCCCCTCCCTCCGCTCCCTCCCCCCCCCCCTTCCCCCCCCTCCCCCCCGTCCCTCCCCTCCCTCCCCTCCCTCCCCTACCACCCCTTCCCTCCCTCCCTCCCCTCCCCCCCTCCCCTCCCTCCCCTTCCCCCCCTTTCCCCCCTCCCTCCCCTACAACATGGACCAAATCCTTCTCGAGTGCAACGGATCAGCCCTTCAGAGTCCCTCGTTGCATCACTCAACCCCCGCTCTCGCCCTTCCCGCACTCCCCCCCCCCTTCCTCTCTCCTCCGCCCCCCCCCCCCCCGCCCTCCCCCCCCCTGTTCCTGCCAGGACCCGGTAATGATCTACAACATGGACCACATACTTCTCGAGTGCAACGGATCAGCCCTTACCATCCTCAAGTACCCCTCCAAGGCCACGCTCTCGCACGCCATGGCCACTCCCGGCTACGCCACCCCGCTCTCGCCCCTCCGCCAACCCGACGGGCAGCTCTCCGAAAAACTCGCTCTGAGTATCGGGAAACGGACGGTGGAGGAGGGGCAAGCGGTGGTTAACTGGGTGCATCTGGCACGTGACGGGACGGAGGTGCCGGTGCGGATCCACGTGCAGTGCGTGGGCGTGGCTGGGGAGAAGTTCTTCGTGGCGAACTGGCACGATCTGACAGAGATTAAGCGGCAGGAGGAGGTGCTGCGGAAGGCCAAGGAGGCGGCGGAGGCGGCGAGCGAGGCGAAGAGCCTGTTCTTGGCTAACATGAGCCACGAGATCCGCACGCCCATGAACGGTGAGGGGGAGTAATGAGAGAGACTACTAGATGCATCCACAATACACTTGGGTATTAGAGTATTGACACACGTTAAGGCCCAGAGCCAGTTCTTGGCTAACATGAGCCACGAGATCCGCACGCCCATGAACGGTGCGCAGCACGGAAAGCTGCTCCGAGCGGCGCCCTGATTGCAACATGCCAGGACACGGCACGTGTGATGGTTGTTGAAACCCCCTTCTCTCCTTGCCTACTGTCCCTGTCAGGCTGTGTTTTGTTTTCGAGAAATTTCAAAAACAAAACACGTGTGTTGGTTGTTGAAACGCCCTTCTCTCCTCGCCTACTGTCCCTGTCAGGCTGTCTAGGAGTGGCGGATTTGCTGCTGCGGACGCCGCTATCAGCGATCATCGAGATAACTGTGATTCTACCTTGCGATCATTGCGCATAGCTTGAACCCCTCTCCCACCCCGCCTTTATCCCTCACAGGCGTGTTGGGGGTGGCGGATCTGCTCCTGCGGACGCCACTAACAGTGGAGCAGCGGTCCTACCTCGAGATCATCAGGTCGTCAGGGGACAATCTGCTGCGGATCATATCTGATGTGTTGGATCTCTCCAAGATCGAATCGCAATCTCTGGGTCTGGAGAGCGTCGCCTTTTGTCTCGAGACGTGCATCAACGAGGCCACGGCGCTTCTGTGTGTCGCTGCTTCCGAGAAAGGGCTGCTGGTAAGGCATGCTGGGTTTGTGGTGGGTGTTGCTGGGTTTGTGGTGGGTGTGCTGGTATGTGGTGCAACGCTTGCTCTCTCGGACTGGAGAGTGTCGCCTTCTACCTGGAGACGAGCATCAACGAGGCCACGGCGCCTCTTTGTGTTGCTGCCTCAGAGAAAGGATTGCTGGGGAGTGCTGGTGAGTGCTGGGGAGTGCTGGTGAGTGCTGGTGAGTGCTGGTGAGTTCTTGCTGGGTGTTGCCAGGGCGACGTTGGGTTTTTGTGGCTATGAGTCTGCTGGTCTGTGGTGGGAAGCTCGTTCGCTTTATGAGTCATTCTTTCGTTTTTTTTTTTTAGAAGTCATTTTCTAGAATTCTTTTTGAGAAGTCATTTTTATAATTGAAAAAAAGACTCGTCTGTGGTGGGTTGCTCGCGTCTGGAGAGCGTCGCCTTCTGCCTCGAGACGTGCATCAACGAAGCCACGGCTCTGCTCTGCGCTGCTGCCTTGGAAATAATGTCTCCCCCATCGCTCCCACCCCCCCCACCCGCATCCCTCCCACCCGCATCCCCCCCATCCGCATCCCCCCCACCCGCATCCCCCCCATCCGCATCCCCCCCATCCCAGTCATCCTTCCCAACCCCCCCATCCTTCCCTCCCCTTGCGACCAGTTCGAGAGTCGTCTGGCTCCGAACTTGCCACGCTACATAAGGGGGGTCCCTGGTCGGCTGAGGCAGATCATTCCGATCCCTCCCATCCCGAACCCCCGCTCCCCCCCTGCGACCAGCTCGAGAGCCGTCTGGCTCCGGACGTGCCTCGCTACGTGAGGGGAGACCCCGGGAGACTGAGGCAAATAATTCTCAACCTCGTATCGAATTCCATCAAGTTTACCCAGAGGTACGTACGCCCCGTAACGAGCAAAAACAACCTCATGGCTAACTCCAGTACCCCCACAACACCCCCCCCCCCCCCCCCCCCCCTCCCCCGGCGCCCTCACCCCCCGCCCTCCCGGAAATACGTCCAGGCCCCCTGTGGCGCTTTGTCATGCCCTGCTTCTTGTTGTCCAACGTGTTCCCCCCCACCCTCCCTTCCACCCCCAATTCCACTGGCAGCATTCAAATCGTGATCCGGCAGGCAGACTAGAGCTCCTTTTGAGTCGACTCAAAAGCAGACTGGAGCTGCTGATAAACCCGAAGCAGCTAGAGAATTCGCCCCTGTGCGGAAGACGAGAGCTGCTTTAGAGTCGACTCAAAAGCAGACTGGAGCAGCTGATAAACCCGAAGCAGCGAGAGAATTCGCCCCTGTGCCCGAGAGCTGCTTTTGAGTCGACTCAAAAGCAGACTGGAGCTGCTGGTAAACCCGAAGCAGCGAGAGCATTCGCCCCTGTGCCCGAGAGCTGCTTTTGAGTCGACTCAAAAGCAGACTGGAGCTGCTGATAAACCCCAAACCGCGGATGAATTCGCCCCTGTGCGCAAGACTAGAGCTGCTGCCAGCTTTTCCCAGTCAACTCATCTGAACTCATCCCCTACCCAGCTGCCCACCTGCCATACGGGCCCCTCCCCCCTTTCCCCCACCCACCCAACCCCCCTCCCCCCCCCCTGCTCCCCAACCCAGTGGCGGTATTCAGATCGTGATTCGCCGAGCCACAGCGGAAGAAGTCACCTGCGTGCGCAAGTCCAGAGCTGCTGCCGCCACTGCAGCCGTAGGTGTAGCAGACGCAGGAACAGGAGCAGCCGGAGGGGGGGGAGGAACAGCAGCGGGAACAACAGGGGCAGGGGGGGCAGGGGGGTCAGGTGCAGTAGCGGCAGCAGGGGCAGCAGGGGCAGCAGGGGCAGCAGGGGCAGCAGGGGCAGCAGCGGGAGCAAGTGCAGGAGGAATAGCAACAAATCAAAGTACCCCTGCTGCTGCTGCTGCTGCTGCTGATAATGTTGTGGCAGGGGCAGCAGCAGGAGTGACACAAGGAGCAGAAGCAGAAGCAGGAAAGCCTGAGGTGGGAAAGCCCCCCCCTGTGGTGAGAGCTGGTAGTTGTAGGGGGGCTGATCTGAGGGGACTGGATGAGCCTAACGCGAAACGCAGGCGCGTGGATGGCGCAGTGGGGGAGGGGGGGAGAGGGGAAGGCGCAGCAGGGGAGGGGGAAAGGGGGAACAGAAAGGCGGGGCTTGCAGGGGGTACTGGTGTTGGAAGGGAGTGCTCGGGTCAGGGAAATGAGGGTGGGAGAGAGGAGGGAAGAAGAGAGGAAGGGAGTGGAGAGGAGCAGAGAGGAGGGGCGGGGAGGGGAGAGGAGAGGCGGCGGAAGGGAAGAGGGGAGGAGGCGGAGGGGGACTCAGAAGACGTAGAAATTCGGGAGAGTGAGGGAGGGGAGGAGAAGGGAAGAGGCGTGGGTGAGAGGAGAGCAGAAGAAACGGACGGGGAATGTGCCAGGAGTGGAGGAGAGCCAACGCCCTCTAAAGGAGATGTTAAAGAAGGGGAGGGTGGGATGCGGGAGGGTGGGAAAAGAGAGAGTTACGGAAGGGATGGACTGGCGAGGTTGGAGCAAGTGGAGGAGGAGGAAGAGGAGAAGGAGGAGGAGGAGGAGGAGGAGGAGGGAGAGAAAGGGGAGGAGGGAGGGAAGGAAGGGGAGGGGGAGAAGGGGGAGGAGAGTGTGTGGATAACGTTCTGTGTGGTGGACACCGGCATGGGGATCAGCAAGGAGGCGTGCTCAAGGCTGTTCCGCGCATTCATGCAGGTATGTGTGTGCTGACTCATGCGGGCATGTGTGATGCTGACTCATGCCGGCATGTGTGATGCTGGCTCATGTGGGTATGTGTGTGCTGACTCATGCGGGCATGTGTGATGCTGACTCATGCAGGTATGGTGCTGACTCTGCTTCAACTCGCCCATTGTTACCGCACCCAAATACATACATGCACCTTCATCCACGTGAGCATCCGTGTGGGGTTGGGGGGCATTTGAGTTGATTCAAACGCCATTGCAATCCCTTCCCTGTCTCCAACCCCCCTCTCCCGCACACTCTCCCCCTCGCAGGGCGATGCCTCCATTTCTCGTCGGTGTGGGGGAACAGGGCTGGGTCTAGCCATATCCAAGCCGCTGGTGAACCTGATGGGGGGCGAGGCGACATCCACATGAGCAGCCGCATGGGGGCGGGGCCGTTTGAGTCGATTAAAATGCCCTTGCAATCCTCTCTCCCCTCTGCATCCATACGCCCCTCTCTCCCCCTCACAGGGCGATGCCTCCACCTCTCGTCGGTGTGGGGGAACAGGGCTGGGCCTAGCCATATCCAAGCCGCTGGTGAACCTGATGGGGGGCGAGGCGACATCCACGTGAGCAGCCGCGTGGGGGCGGGGCCGTTTGAGCCGATTCAAACGCCCTTGCAATCCCCTCTGTCCTCTGCCTCCCTATTTCCCCCCCTCCTCCCCACCCACAGGGTGACGCCTCTACTTCTCGCCGGTACGGTGGCACCGGTCTGGGCCTAGCCATATCCAAGTCGCTGGTGAACCTCATGGGGGGCGACATCCACGTGAGCAGCCGCGTGGGGGCGGGGTCGACCTTCGCCTTCACCATACAGCTCCCCGTGTCGACCGCGCAGCTCTGTGCGCTCGCGGGCAACAGCGGGCTCATGGCCAGAGATGATTCCCTCGCAGGTGAGAGCTCCTCAAGAGAAGATTCCCCAGCTTGTTACAAGTTAGTCCCTCGGTTTCTCAGCTGTGGGTTGATTCGCCTTCGCCTTCACCGTACAGCTCCCCGTGTCCACGGCGCAGTGCTGTGCGCTTGCTGGGAACGGCGGGCTCATGGCCAGAGACGGCTCCCTGGCAGGATAGTGCGTGCTGGGAGAAACCCCCTGCATCTTGCAGGTTTGTTCCTCCGTCGAGGCCCCTTCGCCTGCACCATCCAGCTCCCCGTGTTCACAGTGTGCTTTTGAGTCGACTCAAAAGTGTCCACGGTGCAGCTCTGTGCGCTCACTGGGAACGGCGGGCTCATGGCCGGAGGCGATTCCCTGGCAGGTCAGTTTCTCCTGAGCCGCCTCACCCCAGCATCCGGCGCAGCTCTGTGCGCTCAGTAGCAACCACATGGGGCAGAGAAGGCGGCAGGTCCCGCAGCGGCCAATGACCACCGGTATTGCCTTGCCTGGCATCAACTGCTCAACACATTTCCTTCTTTTGCTGCTGCCTCTGCTGCTGGCCGTGTGCATGCAGGGTCCTCTGCCGACGCGTCAGGAGCAGCCACATGGGGCGGAGGAGGAGGCAGGTCCCGCAGCGGCAACGCCGGCACCGCTGCCGCCGCCGCAGCTGCTGCTCCTGGCGGTGGGCTCTCCACCGGGCCTGGGGAGGGGGGTCTAGGGGGGGGGGCGAGTGAGGAGGAGAGGAAGAGGAGGAGGAAGGAGCTAGCTTGTTTGATAGCAGAGGATAATAAGGTGAACCAGATGGTGGTGGTGCGCATGCTCAAGGGGCTTGGGGTGATGTCGGACGTGGCGTCCAACGGGGAGGAGGCGCTGCGGGCGTGCGAGAAAAAGGACTATGACGTGGTGTTCATGGTGAGTGGTGTCAACCCTCCTCCCTCCCCTCTTCCCCCCTTCTTGGTGAGAGGAAGGAATACGACGTGGACTTCATTGTGACTGGTGTCTAGTTTTGAGGCGCCTCAAAACTATACTTCATGGTGACTGGTGTCTCTCTCTTTCCCTCTCTCCCCCTTTTCCGCTCCCCCTCTCTCTCCCCCCCTTCTCTCACTCTCTCACTCTCACTTGCACACTCTCTCACTCTCACTTGCACACTCTCTTGCACACTCTCTCACTCTCACTTGCACACTCTCTCACTCTCTCTTGCACTCTCTTGCACACTCTCTTGCACACTCTCTTGCACACTCTCTCACTCTCACTTGCACACTCTCTCACTCTCACTTGCACTCTCTTGCACACTCTCTTGCACACTCTCTCACTCTCACTTGCACACTCTCTCACTCTCTCTTGCACTCTCTTGCACACTCTCTTGCACACTCTCTTGCACACCCTCTTGGACACTCACTCATTCGGGGCGTGCAGGAGCAACGGCTACGACCTGGTCTGGTCTCCGTGGTGACTAGCGGATGGCTTCTTGAGAATTCTCGAAAAACTCTCACTAGCGGATGGCTTCATCTCCACTCAAACCCCGCTTTTCACCGCCCCCCTTTCTCTCTCTCTCCCCCAACCCCACCCCCCCCTCTCTCTCCTTCCCCCCCCCCTTCTTCCTATCCCTTCTCAGGACTGCCACATGCCTGTAATGTGCGGCTTCATCGCCACGCAGATAGAAGATTCGAGAGCTGTTTTGTTTTAAGGTGCCTCATTATCTCCCCCCCTCCCCTCCCCCCTTCTTCCTATCCCCTCTCAGGACTGCCACATGCCTGTAATGGACGGCTTTATTGCCACGCAGAAGATCCGAGAGCTTCCCAGTATCTGGGAAAACGCCACAGATGCTGCTCCAGGTGCTGCTACAAATGCTGCTACAAATGCTGCTACAAACGCGGCTACAAACGCTGCTACAGGCACTGCTACGAATTCTGCTGATACAGGATTCGCTACAAATGCCGCAAGAGGTGTCGCTCCAGCAATCAACGCGAGATTACCGCGTGCTTCAGGGGCAGCCAGCAGTGGTCCGGCTGCTGCTACAGATGCTGCTACAGCCGTAGCTACAGGCATGAATGAAGGGAGGTCTAATGCTGGTTGTTGCAGAGAGGGGGATGGGGAGGGGGGTGGAAAGGAGCCGGAGGGGAGGCGGAAGGGGGGTGGCGTGAAGCGGAAGCGGCCCTACATTGTGGCCCTCACTGCAAGTGCTCTCATGCACGAACGGCTGAGATGCACCGAGGTGAGCAGATCTGCCGTTTTGCATGTGCAGTGCTAAGCTAACATCAAGGTGGGTAGATCTCCTTGCGTTTGAGACTTAAGCGCGCCTTTACTAATGTGTGCTGGTGGGTATGGACCACGTTCTGACCAAGCCCGTGCGGTCGAGTGAGCTGGACCCCACCGGCCCCCCTCGGCCCCACTCTCTCCTCTCACCCACCCTAGCAACGCATTCCAAGCTCCCTTTTCTACTCCTTTGTGCACAGGGGGGCATGGACCACGTTCTGACCAAGCCCACATGGTCGAGTGGACTGCACCCTGCCATGCCCTCCCCTCCCTTGCGCCAGATGATCAAAGCATCCCATGGTCCCCCATATGTCTCTCATACCCAGGTGGGCATGGACCACTTTCTGACCAAGCCTGTGCGGTCGAGTGAGCTGGACGGTCTGCTGCAGCAGGTGGAGCGGAGGAAAGTGATGCTGGAGCAGAGAGAGGAGGAGGAGAGGAGGGCGGAGGAGGAGAGGAGGGGAATGGAGGGACGGGAGGAGAGGAAGGACGAGGCGGACCCTTGACTCCACTCTACCATGCTCCTCTTTTTTTCCGGGGCACAAGTGGGAATGTGGCAGTAGCTTTTTCAAGCCCATGCTCGGCCAAGTGAGCTGGACGGTCGGCTCCAGCAGGTGGGCATGGACCACGTTCTGACCAAGCCCATGCTCGGCTGAGTGAGCTGGCCGGTGCCCTTCAGCAGGTGGGGCGGAGGAAAGTGATCCTGGAGCAGAGAGAGGAGGAGGAGAGGAGGGAAGTGGAGGGAAGGGAGGAGAGGAAGGGCGAGGGGGGTGTTTGAGACAAGTTTGACGCCCTCTGGTTGTTTTCAGTCAATGCACAAGGGGAAGTGCGCCACTATTTCTTCAAGCTGATTTGGCTTCAATCAGTGAGCTGGACGGTCTGCTCCAGCAGGTGGATCAGAGGACAGTGATGCTGGAGCAGAGAGAGGAGGAGGGGAGGGTGGAGGAGAGGAGGGTGGAGGAGGAGAGGAGGGCAGAGGGGGTTGTTTGAGTTGACTCACATTCTTTTCTTCGCTTAGGAGGCCCCGCTGCGACAGTTGTGGCAATGATATGCCTGGAACAGAGAGAGGATGAAGGGCCGGAAGGAGAGGAGGGAGGAGGAAGGAAGGCAACAGGGAGGGAGAAACGGTGTTAAACAAAATCAACAGCAATGGGCACTGCACAGTGGCAGCAGGAGCAGAAGAAACGGCTCAGGGGCAGCAGCAATTGCTCAGCGACTCAACGTGGTGTTCTATATGCAACACTGCAATTCCTATTTTCTACTCAGAAATTCTAGTGACTAGCTCCTGGTCTAGGATTTTTTTTTATTTTTATTTTTCCTTTTTTTTCCCGAATGCTCCAACAAGCCCCCTCCAATGTGCAATCAAATGGTGTACATTGACAACTAACACTTGTATGCGTGGTTTGTTGATAAGGCTCTTCATCAATGATGCTGCTTATGCATGCATACTCCTTTCGAATGTATGCATCTATGTGCTGTACATATAGTACATGGGTTCCAAAAAAAAGCCGTCTCATCGTTGCGATGTGTAATTTCATATTGCCGAATCAGTTTTTAGATCGACCTATTTCTGGCGATGGCGTGAAGTCAAATCACTCATGCACGGTCTTCGCGAAGACACCGCATGGGCCACTGACGAATCTACTGAGTCTGCTGCGACTTATCCAAGAAGTTGGTTACCATCAGTCGCGAATCAGCAAGCACAAATTCTGTTTACCTGCGATTCGTCTTGGGAAGGAGTCTGTGTGGGACTGTTGGTGTGGTGTAGACACGAAACCTTCACCACAAGCAGAGGAAAAGTTGGCCCCTCACTCGCGGGTGGCACTCTCCAAAAAGTTTGGAGCGGGGAAGCAGTGCCCATTGGCTCAATGCAGGTGCCCATAAGCACCTGAAGCGAGGCGCGAGTACCCGCTGTCGGCTCAGATTCGCACTGTTACAGCTTTCGCAACAACGCAGGTCTCCCCACCTGAGCCTGCCTGGCAAATCCAACCGCACCGCAGAAAGGCTCTCCTGGGAAGCAGGAGTGAACAGTAACGCCGCGGCTCGAAGGGTTCGTCCCATTCGCGGCTCGGCTATCTGAATCCTCCCTGGTCGGATCGGTGGTTCCACCATGATTGGTGGCCGATTCGCTGTGGGCAACAGAAACCGAACGAATTTCGTCGCTCCGCGAAAATGTCCCCTGGGACATGCAAGCTTGGCAACATGCAGCGCTTGTGGTGTGGGCGGAGGGGCAGGGGCGGGTGGGCATTCAGCTTGGGGTCAGGCATGCAGCGTTTTGTGCTGCCCTACAAATGCTTGACGACCAGTCTTGTGTTGCCTATGCCTACAAGTCACGCAAGACGAAGCCATTGACCATCATCCTTCTCCTCCATCGCGATTCTAGCTATAGAGATAGAAAAGGCAGAAGTCGGGCGCCACACAGCACTGTCAATCAACCAGTTTCCCCGCCGCTCCAGCTTCCTCGTCGTAACACTACTAGTCTCGATCACTCGCACTAGAATTCCGTTTCTTCGACGACGATCACTCCACAACCAGGCTATCAGCTGCTCTTCTTCCGACTCCTCTAGTCGCGGTTACTTCAACGGGGTTTTTAAACCCTTTTCTCTCTCCCTCACCACAGTTCTAATCCAGGCTAGCAGCGATACGCGATAAGAGATGGCTCAATACTGGGCGTCCCGTCTCTCATATCTCCTCGACGAGTCATTCGAGGAAGAGGAGCCCGCCATGCCTAACCCCCACCCGGCCCTCGGGAAACTCCCGCGCCCCAGCATGCTCCAGATCCCCGTCTTCAACCCGCCGCCGCCCTCCCCCTCCCCGCTCCCCTACTTCTACCAACCGCCGAAGCGCGTCGCGGCGCCGCAGCCGCAGAAGAAGCAACAGCGCAAGAGACGGTACAGAATATGGGACGATCTCCCCACGCCGATCGTGTACGAGAAGTACGAGCCGGTAGCGCCGGTAGCGGCGGCGGCGGCGGCGGAGAAGCCCTGCAGGCCCGAGACGTTCACAGAAATTTCCCTGGAAGGTTCACAGGAGCAAAAATCGGAGAATCTCGAGAGATCCCTGGAGGTTCCTGCATCGACGGCGCTGGTGCCTTCGTTGTCCTCCTCCTCGTCAAGGGAAAGTCTCGATATACGCGGCTTCGCTTCAAGTAGCAGCACTGATAGCCGCCGCAGCAGCAGCAGCGTGAGCAGCAGCGAGGGGGGCGCAGTGTACAGCTTGGCGCGGAAGCCGCGCAACCACCGCGACGGGTGCGTGTGCGTCGTGGATACCTCGCTCCTCTGGTCTTCCCTCCTCTCCACACTCTTCCGCGCCCCTCTCCCCGCCCTTCCCGCCGCCGGCCCGACGGTCTTCCCCGTGCTCCTTTCCCGGGAGGCTTCCGCAGCCGAACGCTCCGTTTATGACCTGAAATCACCTGCGCCGCGTGTGCCGAGCACAGACGCCGCCGAGCTGCAGGAGGTTCCTCAGGGTATGAAAACGATCGCGGAGCTTATGGGATTAGATTCTGAGAAGCTGCTGCTACAGATGGCTGGCTTGGGTAGTAGCCCAATGTCCGTGCTTACGCCCACAGCTTCGGTGAAATCGTCCGAACCTAGTCCGATCCTGGTGCCTATGGCTATCGCGTGGTAGCCTGGTCTTGTAACGAATTTCGTGGCGGGAAACCTGCGGTTACAGTATCAAGGGAGACACATCAGAGGAAGGCGAGGGGATTGAAAAAGTTACACCATGAAGTGTAACACTGTAGATTATTGTATTTGCCACTCCAGTTAGATACACTGTATGTAATTTGCTTCTGCTGGGGACTATGCTCAGCAGAAGCTTGACCCCCCTACTGAATTGGTGGAGGGGCTTTGTGCCTGATTGATCAATACAGTTCCGTAACTGAAAGCACCAAGGATGTGGACATAGCCTGTTGTTGGGGAATTTGTATGAGATCACCCATTAGGAGATCATCAAAGGTGGTAGTGTCAAACATAAGTATAACTCATGTTTGTATTTACTGTATAGGGTCGCCTCTTAGAGGATACAACACTCTTAGGTATATACCCTTGTACTCTCTCTCTATTCAATAATTCTTCAGTTCTAAGATGGTATCAGAGCAGGAGATCCTCGCTATTGGACCGCCTCCTCACGCTTCCGCCATTTACTCCTCACTCTCATTCGCTCGAGCGGCCATGGCGGCCGCGTTTTGCTGCAGTGGCGACGTCGCGCTGCCACTAGCCGCGTCGTGCCGCGACCGGCTCGACGCGCTGCCGCGGAGTCGGGTCGTCGTTCTGCAGCCGCAGCGTCGACGTCCCGCTGCGGCATCGGCGCTGCCTCTGCCGTCGCGACGTCGACGTCCTGCTGCAGCGTCGACGTCGCTTTGTGACGGCGCCGTCGGGCCGCAGCCGGTTGCGCGACGCCTGTGACGCCGCCACCGCCCGCACGCCATCACGCCCACGACCTGTCGCGCCACACCGGGGGGCTGCTGTCGCCCCGCCCCCTCCCCTCCCCCCCCCACCTGCACCTGCTTCCCCTGCATCCCCCCCTTTCTTGCTGCAGCCGATGACTGCCTCATGAGGGCCCTCTCCACCGCCGAGGAGACTGGACATGCCGCCGAGAGGGCGGGGGCCGCTGCACCGGCCTCTGACGTTCAAGCCGCCGGCGCAGCCGCTGTTGCCGCGGGCCTGGTGTCGCCGCTGTTGCCGCGGGCCTGGTGCCGCCGCACGCCGCTGCCGCCACCGCTGTCGTCACTGTCGCCGCTGCCGCCATTGCCATCTCACGGGCCGTGGGAGCTGCCCTCTTCCGGAGTCGTTGCGGCCCCTGCTGGGAATGGGGGTGCTGGGCTAGGGGGTGTGGGTGTGGGTGTGGGTGTGGGGGTGTGCGTGGGCTTGACACTACCAAGCCTAGGGGGTGTGTTAAAATTATATAAATTATAATTTAATATAGGCTTGGTAGGTTGTTACTGAACCTTTCTGTAGAGCGTACAATCCCCTCCTTGTACTGCTCTCTCTTCCTAATAATTCTTCAGTTCTACGAGGTAGCTAGTTCCTCTTATGATATGGGGGTAGGGTGCGACTCAAAATGAAGAGGATAGAAGGGCGAGAGATAATGCAGAACGTGAAATGGAGAGGAGAGCCTGTCCATCCAAACCCATCCTTGATGTGCCTCATTGATCAATACACTCTCTTCACTGAATGCAAAAAGGAAGATGGCCTCTTCTGTTGCCAGGGGGTTGCTTGTTGCTAACGTGAGGTAACTCTTTAGGAGATTCTCAGAGGCGCCTAGAATCATCAGCTGCTGCCAGCTGGGGGCAGCAACAGCCAGCTTTGGCCAGCAGCGGCCAGCTGTGGGCCTATTCCATTCCATGTTCACCCTGATTTGACAGGTATACAGTACCACGCGTTCACATGGATTGTTCCGTTTGGTTTGTGTTGTGTTGTGTAGCGTGTTGCGTTGCATCATAAGGCCACCAAATTGCTGTTCAGTTCAGAACCAAAAGAATCCAGGGGAATATATCACTGATTTTTATTCACCTTCCGGTATTCGAGGGAGAACTCAAAGCTGGAATCAATATTTTACCATGGTTTTTCTAAAAACGATATGTAGCTGTTCTGTTAGCTCAGATGAACCCTCGCCTTGACTGTATACAGTGGGTTTCGCCCAGTTTATATCTAGTATTTGTCAAACAGTCAGATTGACTGCTGAAGTGCTGCTCCGGTCCCAGGAGTAGGTCCCACGAGCAGTTTCTGTCATTTACCGCTCTGAACCTTGAGGCACCAGTCTAGAACGTATAAAACGTACGGGGAACTGCTGTTCCCACATGCCATTCCTCTGTTGGATGTTGAATCCCATCGGAATCCCAGTACGGTACATATGGTTCTGCTGTCGCTTTATTTGGATTCTGGACACAATAGGGCAGCGCCAGAAGAATCCGCCAACGCCTCTTCGCACGGCGTACCTCTAGTCTGTAGGCATTGCTATTTTAGTCTGCGGCCTTCGGCTACAGTTCGCGTCGCCGAGAGCTTTCCGCAGCCGATTGCTCTTGCAGGTTGTTCATTGTTTTTTACTCAGGGTTGATATTGTGGAGATATACACAAACCGAGAAGAGGATGCGTGCGCTGCGTGTTTGAAGTTTGCTTGGCTATGGGCATCTCGCAGCATAGTTAGGAGCCTGTTGGCTGGTGTCGGGAACTTTGCCAAACAGACTAACCCGCGAGGAGCACGGCGGATAAAATCCACCTGAGGTTTAAAGTCATAAGGTGTCAGGCGCATCGGCGTACTCCGGATATTCGACAAAGTCCGCACAATCACCGTAAAAACCGTGCTCGGCACATTCGGCACAAGAAAAAGCTCCTCGTTACAAGGCAAATCAGATTTGTTTCAGCAGAAAGCCCGTCGTTGTTTGCAGCAGCCATGGCGCAGTGGGTGCTGGCGACGGTGCTCGGAGTCGTCTGGGCGATCAGCCTGCTCTACAGCGAGTGGATCCAGTTCTGGCTGCGACCACCCAGCTGCTCCACGTGGCCCGAGGAGAAGATTCAGGTGAGTGTTCAGGCGAATGCTCAGGTGAGTGTTCGGGTGAGTGTTCTGGTGAATGTTCAGGTGCTGGGAGTCGTATGGAAGATTAGCCTGCTCTACAGCGAGTGGATCCAGTTCTGGCTTCGACCCCCAGCTGCTCCACGTGGCCCGATGAGAGTGTTCAGTTCAGGTGAGTGTTTAGGTGAGTATTCAGATGAAATTCAGATGGATATTCAGGTGAATATTCAGGTGGGGGAAATTTCATCATTCAATGCTCAGCGGCTTCTGAGCTCATGGTTCTGTCATGGTTCTGTCATGGTTCTGTCATGCCTTGTTTTCAAGCACCCCCTTGCTTCTGTATCCAGCTGGATTATTCAACTGAAGGGTTTATTCCGGTTTTTTAATTCCCCACTGCATCCATGAATCTGCGTTTTTATTCTTTTTTTATATTTTATTTCTTCTTCTTTATTGTCATGCTGGTGCTCCAGGGTCAGTACATCCCTCCCAAGGAATTCAAGACCATTGCGGTCATCAACAGCCCAAAGGTGGGCTCTACACCCTATACCTTCCATAGACAAATGATGCATAGGAGAAACGCCATAACCTTCATATGCGCCCAGTTGCTCACATATCTATTCCAAGTATCCTACTCATTTTGATTTTTGAGTCGACTAAAGGATGTTCACATATCTATTCTATTCCAGGTATCCTATTCATTTTCACCCAATCCCACCTCCAACCCCCCTTCCATACACATCCTATCCAACCCTTTCCCCTGCTTATTCATCTCATCTCTCCTCCACTCCCCACACGCCGAATCCTCCCTGCCAAGTCCCCTCAACCCTAGACGTTTGCCGCATCCTCTGGGCTCCTCCCAGCATGTCTCTTCGCGATCACTCCATCAGTGCTCGTCTTTCCTTGCTCCACTCCGAGAGACAATCCGAGCCTCCACTCCAAACCCCCCTCCCTCGTCCCCTCTCACATCCCCCCCCCCTTTCTCCATCCCTTTCCCCTGCTTATTCATCTCATATAGTTTTGAGGCGCCTCGCAACGGCCTTTTTCTGCGTTGGGCTGCGATTCACCCCCTCCCCTCTCCCCTCCCTCCCTCTCCTCCCATCCACCTCTCTCTCCTCGTGTTCCCCCCCCCCCCCAGCTCCTCCCAAGCACGTCCCTCCACGCCCAGTTCATCACGGCTCGCCTCCGCAACGACCTCTACCTGCGCCGGGCCTTCCGAGCCTCCGTGCTCCGGTTCGCCCCGAGCCTCGTGGTCACGCTCGGGGACCTCTTCCAATCGGGAGCTGATGCTCCGTACCCCCTGTTTCGAGCAGCGGCCAGTAGATACCACCACGTGTTCCAGACCCAAGACCCGTTTCTTGACCCGCATACTTCGGAGAGGAGGCGGCGGCAGCAGATGGAGAGAGGCAGGGAGAAGGAGAGAGAAAAGGAGAGGGAGAAGGAGAGGGAGGAGAGGGAGAAGGGCAGAGGGGGATCAGTAATTAGTGGTGGTAAAAGAGAGGGAATGGAGCAGGGAGTGTCAGGAATGGGGAGAGTTTGGGAGTGGGTGATAGGTGGGTTAGGGTGGGGGAGGTGGCGACAGGGGGAGGTGGGAGTGAATGTGCACATGCGGACGGATCTGGCGCAAGTGGCGGGGGAGAGTGACGTTGGGTTCAGCAGCACGCAGAGGAGGCAGCACGAGGTGGGTGTGGTGCCGGCAGGCAGGGGGGGAGGTGGGAAGGGGGGGGGGGGGGGGGGGGGGGAGGGGGAGGGAACAGGAGGTGGGAATGGGCGGCTCAAATCAGCACCTGGGGAGAGAGAGACGTGGGGTTCAGCAGCACGCAGAGGAGGCAGCATGAGGTGGGTGCGGTGGTGCAGATATGGTGCAGGGTGTGGGGGGGGAGAAGGGGGGCCACGAGGTGGGTGCAGGGTTCAGCAGCACGCAGAGGAGGCAGCACGAGGTGGGTTTGTTTGGTGCAAGGGGGGGCGAAGAGGGGGGAAAGGGAGAGGTATGGAGTGGGGGGGATAGGAGGGGGGGGGTGAATGTGCACATGCGGACGGATCTGGCGCAGTTGGCGGGGGAGAGTGACGTGGGGTTCAGCAGCATGCAGAGGAGACAGCACGAGGTGGGTGTAGCCGAGGGGGGGGGGGAGGGGGGAGGGGGGAGGGGGGAGGGGAGAGGGGGGAGGGGGGAGGGGAGAGGGGAGAGAGGATGGATGGAGGGTGTTGTTTGGAGGGGGGTAGAAAGGGGCATCAGACTAATTGAGCTCAGTCAGTCTGGTCTCAGTGCGTTGCTGTGTCCTTCACTCTGCTTCAGCCTCTTGTTCCGTTCTTGCTCTCCAATCACATCCCGACAGGTGGCGGTGCGGTTCGAGCGGTACGTTGGCGCGCTGAATTTCCATGACAAAGTGGGAGCAGTGCGGGTGGTGGGGGTGAACAGCCTGGCAATGGACGGGCACCGGCACCGCAACAACAGCACGCGGCAGCTGGAGGAGTTTCTGCAGAGCCTGCCAGACCACGGTACGTTTACTCCCTTGGCTTTGGGTGTGCTTTGCACGGTGCGGGTGGTGGGGTTGAACGGCCTGGCGATGGATAGGCACCAGCACCGCAACAACAGCACGCGGCAACTGGAGGAGTTCCTGCAGAGCCTGCCAGACCACGGTACGGCACTTTTTGCCCTGGTACGGCCCTGCTTGTCCTGGTACGGCACCACTACTTGTCCTGGTATGGACCTGGTTGTCCTGGTAGGGCTCTGTTTGCCCTGGTGTGGCACTGTTTGTCTTCTCATAGTATTGCCATGCGTTGAGTGAGGGTGGTGGGGGTGAACGGAGGGTAGACCGCTTGGTGTACCCTACAAGCCTGCTGCCACGTATGGCTAAAACCACCACCAAGTGGGGTTGCAGGGTGTTTTTGAGAATTCTCGAAAACACCCTGCAAAATCAAGGGTAGACCACTTGGTGTACCCTACAAGCCTGCTGCCACATATGGGTAAAACCACCACCAAGTGGTGTTGCAGGGTGTTTTTGAGAATTCTCAAAAACACCCTGCAAAATCAAGGGTAGACCACTTGGTGTACCCTACAAGCCTGCTGCCACATATGGGTAAAACCACCACCAAGTGGTGTTGCAGGGTGTTTTTGAGAATTCTCAAAAACACCCTGCAAAATCAAGGGTAGACCACTTGGTGTACCCTACAAGCCTGCTGCCACATATGGGTAAAACCACCACCAAGTGGTGTTGCAGGGTGTTTTTGAGAATTCTCAAAAACACCCTGCAAAATCAAGGGTAGACCACTTGGTGTACCCTACAAGCCTGCTGCCACATATGGGTAAAACCACCACCAAGTGGTGTTGCAGGGTGTTTTTGAGAATTCTCAAAAACACCCTGCAAAATCAAGGGTAGACCACTTGGTGTACCCTACAAGCCTGCTGCCACATATGGCTAAAACCACCACCAAGTGGTGTTCCCTTGCGTTGAGCGCGGGTGGTGGGGGTGAACGGCCTGGCGATGGATGGATATCGGCACAGAAACAACAGCAGGCCGTCCCTTCTCCCCCCCCCTCATCCTCTTCTCGCATCTGCCTCTGCACTCGTCTCCCTTCTGTTTGCAAATCTTCCCTCCTGCTCTCTGTTCCCTTTCTTTCTCACTCACTGTGAGGGATGCTGCCCTCTGTCTGCCCTGCAAGACCCTCTTCTCTCCTGCTATCTGTTCCCTCACTTGCTCACTTGCTCACTATCCCTCCCTGCAGCAGGGTCCCAGGCCTCCTCCCCTTCTCTCCGGCTCAGCCTCTTCTCCCACCTGCCGCTGCCTCCTCTCTCCTCCTTGTGCCAACCTCCTCTCCTGCTATGTGTTCCCCCTCCTCCTGTCTCTTCCCTCTCTTTGCAGGGTATTTTTGAGAATTCTCAAAAACAACCTCCTCTCCTGCTATGTGTCCCCCCTCCTCCTATCTCTTCCCTCTCTTGCTCTCCATCTGTCTCCCTGCTGCAGGTCCCCAGGCCTCCTCCCCTTCTCTCCCGCTCATCCTCTTCTCCCACCTGCCGCTTTCCTCGCCAGACAGCCTACCCTGTGCCAACGCACAAGGCGCAAGTGTGGTGAGCATGCATGCCCGTGTATGCGCATAAACCAAGCATGTCCATGTGGGTTTTATGGATCGTGGGCATGGCACATGGCATGGCATGACTCTGGCAGGTATTGCTCACCTGATGTGATGGATGTCGTTTCCATGTCTATTGCATAAGCATCTGTGCCATGCCCATGCCCATGTCCATGCCACCATGCCCATGCTACCATCCCATACCAGCAAGCCCATAGTGTTCACTATATCATGCCATTACGCTTACCATTCCATCCGTCTAAATAGGTTGCCTGTCTCCCCCCTCTCAACCGCCATCCCTTTTTTTTTATGCAGGAATGGGACAAGGATGGGGAGGTTAGGTGAGCTCTCGTGCCTACTGCTCACTCTCACTCTCACACTCACTCGCACTCACTTGCACACACTCTCACACACTCACACACACTCACCCTCCACACGTGCCGCTTGCGTTATTTCAGTTGCCCATGGTGGAACCATCTAGTCTAGCTGCTCCCTCATCCTCCATATTCGTCACATAACACCCCTCCCGTATTTCTCACCTCCCCCACCCCCCATATCCACCCCTACCCCCTCTTTTCCCCCTTCCCCCCCCGCACCCCCCTCCCCAATCCGCTCCTCTCCTCTTCCCCCCTCCTTTCCCCCAATGCCATATCGAAGGAGGGATTTAACCATCTAGTTGCTCCAGCCTATCCTCCTCCCTCCCCCACCCCCCGATAGCTCCTCTCCTCTTTCCCCACCACATCAGCATGCCATATTGAAGGAGGGATCCAACCCAACCGCCTGACAATCTGATTGCTCCATCTCATCCGCCGCCACCCATAGTTCTCTCCTCTCCTCTCCCCCCAACCCCAATTTTCTTCTCTCCCTACTCCTCTCCACCGTTCTGGATCCAGTCATATAGTTGCGCCACCTCATAAAACCCCCCCTACATATTACTTCCTCTCCCCCCCCAATCCTCTCCTCGCTTCTCATCTCTCCCCACCCCTTAGGTATCAAGATGCCGTGTAAAAAAAAAAAACATCTCCCCCCCTCCCCGTAATGCCTACTTCCTCTCCCCCCCCCACCCCCCATGTTTCTTCCCGCACCCCGTTCAGATATCAGGATGCCATGTCAAGAGAGGGATCAAACCATCTAATGCAACTGCTCAAGCCGGTATGTGTTGGGAAAAGGGGCGGGAGTGTGAACTGGAGTTTCAGGGGAGGATGAGGGGGAGGGGGTAGGGGGTGGGGGGCGGGAGGGAGGGGGGATGAGGGGGAGGGGGTAGGGGGGAGGGGGGGCGGGAGGGAGGGGGGGATGAGGGAGAGGGGAGGTGGGGGTGGAGGGGGGGATGAGGGGGGCAAGAGACGTCTCAAAACACGCCACGTTTTGGGAGGGCGACTTTTGAGTCGACTCAAAAGTCACCCATGAGGGGGGCGGGAGACGTCTAAAAGCACGCGACGTTTTGGGAGGGCAGGGCCGAAGAGCGTGCAGAGTGAACAGGAGGGCGGGTGGGGAGGGAGGGGGAGAGAGGAGGGGGAGGGAAGAGGAGGAGGGAGGAGGGGGAGGGAAGAGGGGGAGGGAAGAGGGGGAGGGAGGAGGGGTAGGGAAGTACAAGTGAGAATGGAAGCAGGCGGTCAGCTGGAATGGAAGGCGAGGCATGGAATCCAGGCATGGGCACGTATGGCGGAGGTGCTTTTATTATTCAGGCGCCTCAAAAATGGAATCCAGGCATGGGCACATATGGCGGAGGTGCTTTTATTGCTCTAAAAACTGACTCCACTGCTGCAGCAAGGTGACTTTTGAGTCGACTCAAAAGTCACCTTGGAATCCAGGCATGGGCACGTATGGCGGAGGTGTTTTTATTGTTCTAAAAACTGACTCCACTGCTGCAGCATCTGATCTGGTGTTATCAGGCCCTAGCAGTAATATCAGGCTGTGCGGAAACTACCTGCAGCTTCTAATGTACCACACAGCACCACACAGTACCACACAGCACCACAATGCACCACACAGCACCACAAGGCACGACAAGGCACCACCACACAGCACCACCCGGCACCACACGGCATCACAAGGCACCGCACATGTTTCCTTCCACATGCAGGTTCTGGTGGTGGTGTGCAGGCCATGCAGAGACCCTGCTGGCGGCAGAGGCACATTAACGCCCATGTGCCCAACCCTCATACCCATTTCTCCCCCCCCTCCTCCTCTCCCGAGTGTGCAGTCTCTAGTGGTGTCAGGGTACGCACAGGCCACCTTTGAGTCGACTCAAAAATCGACTCATTACACACAAATACCCATTTCTCCCCCCCCCCCCCTCCTCCTCTCCCGAGTTTGCAGTCTCTAGTGGTGTCAGGGCACGCACAGGCCACCTGCTGGCAGCACCGGCAGGTGGAGGCGCCGCTCAGAGGCAACAGCAGCTCTGATGGCGCTGCTGCTGATTCTCACGGCTCCTGGGATGTGATTGAGGTGGGTGCGGCCCTAGAGTCCAGCTGCAGAGACCACCAGCTGGGAGCACCGGCAGGTGGAGGGGGTGCTTGGCGGCAACAGCAACTCCAAAGGGTGGAGAAGTGAGGTGATGTCTTTTGAGTCGACTCATAACTCACCTTGTTACAATGTCACACACAACACTTTTTCTCCTGGGATGGGACAGAGGTGAGAGGAGGAGTGGGGGGGCACTCCTGACTTAAGGCGATCTCTGCCCACTCCTCCTGACTTAAGGCGATCTCTGCCCACTCCTCCTGACTTAACGCGATCTCTGCCCACTCCTCCTGACTTAAGGCGATCTCTGCCCACTCCTCCTGACTTAACGCGATCTCTGCCCACTCCTCCTGACTTCAGGTGATCTCTGCCCACTCCTCCTGACTTCCCTTTCACCTGACTCAACAGCTCCCCCCTGGGGTTGTTGGAGTGTGGTTCTTTTCAACCGCTGCTTTTTTAGGCGCCTCAAAATACGGCCCTGGGGCTGTTGGAGTGTGAATCGTGACACCTCCTCGGTCTTGTCTCAAACACACTCTGTTCGTATTGTTATTTCGCTGCCCTCCCTTGTCTCCCATCTGCGTGTGGCTGGCTGATTGAACACCAAGTAGGTGCCATGGTTTGAATACGTAGCAGCAACTTAGGGGGTTTCAAGAGTATCACGTTGTTAACGTCGGGGGACGTCACACATCCAGGAAGCAGGTTACTCGACTGTAACCCGCTTTCAGGGATGTCAAGTGTTGGGCGTTCCCAAATTGCAGCTAGTTCGCAAAAGCACCTACTTTGCACCTTGCACACGCCCCACGCGAAGCACCTTGCACACGCCCCACGCGAAGCACCTTGCACACCCCCCACGCGAAGCACCTTGCACAACCCCCACGCGAAGTCTGTATTTGTTTCTGTCGCATCCCGAGTACTCCCCTCGTTTCTGGTGCGGAGCGCATGCTGCATCTGCATGTTTGCGAAATTTGGTTTGCGACGTGGCGCGTGCACTTGGTAACATTTTCGATTTCCTGACCCCATGTCGAGTAATTTGTTTCTCCTGTGGGTTTGTTTCCGGGCAGGTTGTGGGGGAGTGTACATGTCCAGTGTGGGTGAAAGTGGGCGCGCCTGACATCCCGTTTGGTTAGCAGCTTTGAGGCGCCTCGAAAACCGGCCCGCTTTCCTCTCTGTTTTCGCTTTTGAGTCGACTCAAAAGCACGCTCAACTTCGTCCACAGCACTCACGCCTTGCACGGCCCACTTTCCTTTCTGTTTTTGTTGCCCTCCCTGCCATCTGTGCATGTGCAGCTGGCCCTCCCCACCTTCAACTGCATCCACAGCAATCACGCCTTGCCCGGCGCTCTTTCCTTTCTGTTTTTGTTGCTCTCCCTGCCCTGTGTGTGTGTGCTGTGTGCAGCTGTCCCTCCCCACCTTCAACTGCATCCACAGCACTCACGCGATAACCGACCCTCCTGCTTTCCTGCTCATCACCGTGCCCCTGGACCACGCCCAGCACCACCTGAACCAACCTGGCAGCAAGCAGCAGCAGCAGAGACCGACGCTGGGAGCAGCATCGGTGCACGTGCAGCTGTGTGTGCTGCCCAACCAGATTCTCTTCCCCGCCTGGTAAGCCGTCTTTATGGTTTGTCCACTATTCCTTTATTTCCTGTCTTGCTGTCCACTATTCCTTTGTTTCCTGGCTGTCATGTTTTGTTACCACTGTTCTGTGCACAACAGGTACGCCCTCCTCTCGCTGCTCTCCTTCCGCACCTTGCTGTTGGAGATAGGCTGCAATGTTGCACATTTGTGTGTTGGTCATTTGTTTGTTTAGGGTTAGGAATGTTTGTTAGGTTGGGTGTAGCTTTTTTTTATCTCCAACCTATCCCAACCCAATCCATCCCAAATCCCCACGATTTGGGAGAATTCCCTTGGGATTCCCTCCGATTCCCCTTATCCCTTCCAACCCTCTCCTAATCAAGTACTAACCATAGGAGAGGGTTGGAAGGGATAAGGGGAATCGGAGGGAATCCCAAGGGAATCCTCCCAAATTGTATGCCCTCTCTTGCATTTTAATCAATCAAAGTCCTGTTTCTTACACTTGCTCCTCCTCCCCTCTCGTGGCGTCTCCCAAGCTTCTCTGGCTGCCCTGGCAGCGCGGGCGGCTGTAGAGTGGCACGAGCCGTGGACCATGCCCAAGCCCATCCCTCTCCTCTCCTCCCCTCCTTTCTCTCTTCCATTCTCTCCCTATCACTCCCTATCACTCCCTATCACTCCCTATCACTCCCTAACACTCCCTAACACTCCCTACCCCCACCAGGTACGCCCTCCTCTCCCTGCTCTCCTTCCTCGCCTTCCTACTCCTCCCCTCTCGCGGCGTCTCCTGGGCTTCCCTCGCAGCCCTGGCATCACGTGTAGCTGCAGAGTGCCGCGAGGTGTGGACCATGCCGAAGCTCAAGGCGGACGACGAGGAGGGGGAGCTGGAGCCCATGTTTGACACAGATGGCAACATGGTGCTTGTGAGGCGGATGTCTCCTCGACTTCCTGACACCATGCCCTCTTCAGTCACATCCGATAGAAGGTGAGGTTTGAGAATCAAGCCACATTAAAATTCTGCAGCTCTTTTGCCTTTCCACTATGCGTACTGGTCCCTAATATGTCTCTTTTATATGACCATTGACTGGAATTCTTTGTGTATTTTTTTATCTCGTATGCCTGCTACTATCGGGTATGTCTCTAGGCCCGGTGGAGCACAGCTAAGGGCGTCGAGACAGCAGGGCTCGCATGATTCGTTAATGGATGCTGGTAGCAACCCGGGTAGCGTCGGCATTCCCCAAATTGGATTATTCTCAGACGTGCCAAGGGATGGTGTTTTGACGGGAGGAGGTGGTGGTGGTGGTGGTGGTAATCATGAAAGCGGTGGGGATGGGTTGATGGCTACGATCACGAAGGGAGCGAATCTAACGCCTAAGATTGCTCTTCTTCGCTTGCTGCGGGCGGTAGGGCCGCTGACTCTGTTGGTCGGCAGCCAACTTGCGCTATACTTAGGGCTTCTCGCTAAAGACTGGAGCTAGGTGTGTGTGCTATTCGAGGTGCATGTACACCTGTTCCCCTCTTTTGTCCCACCTAGAACAATCCAAATTGCAATCCCACCTACCAGGCTCTCAGTTGATTGGCTGCAGTCTGAACGATAGCGAACAGTCAAGTCATATTTCGACAATTGCGAGAATCCGAGCCGGGAGGTCGCACCCGCAAATTACCTAGTGCATGAGCGAGACTTCGTAACCGAGTGACAGTCTTTACTGTGGGTTTTCTGTTAGAGTAGCAGGGAAAGTTGTGACTAAGGGAAAATGTCGAGGGATACAAAAATAGGGCTGTACTTGTGAAATTATATGTTTTATATAATTGTAGGCTTGGTAGTTGTGCTACTTACTGCATCCTACTGTAGAGGGGACAAAACCCCTTCTTGTATCTCCTTCTCTTCTAGTCCTATCCAGGGCCTCAGATTCGTTTAGAGGCACCCTGATAGCTCAGGGTCCCCCCATCTTGGTCTCCTGAATTTTCAGGCCTCTCCAAAAAAAAATCCCTGATCCATCAGGGTCCCTAGAAATTTGCACGAATCTGGACAAACAGGGCTCACTACACTAGTAACGCTGCTCGATCAGAGTTCACTCCTAAAAAAACGCTGAAATTTCAGGCCTGTGTCATAAAAAAATCCTGTCTCATCAAAGTCACCCCCCAAAAAAACCCTGATTTTACCCCGAATCAGGGTAAAAAGCCTGCAATCTAAGGCCCTGGTCCTATCCCTCTCTTCTCTCGACATTTTCCTAGCACCTAAAACATCTCGCCATTCATGGCGTCTCTTCCTACCTAGCTAGTTTTAACATGGTATCAGAGCAGGTTCAACCTACTGGACCTACGTCCCACGCTTCCGCCATGCACTCTTCCACACTCTCTCGCGCTGCCATGGCGGCCGCGTCGTGCTGCTGTGGCGGTGTTGTCGTGACGCCGGCCGTGTCGTGCTGCCGCGGCGGTCTGGACGCTGCTGCCGTAGCACCCTCGTCGCGCTGTTGTGGCGTCGTCGTCGTGCTGTCGCGGCGGCGTCGACGCACCAGCGCACGATCGGCAGCGGCAGCGCCGGGTCAGCCATGGCGCCGCGCTGACGATCCGCCCCCCACCCCTTCCCCCTTCCCCTCCTCTGCCTTTCCCTTCCTCTCCGTCGCAACTGCTGGCGACCTCGTGCCATCCTCCCCTTCGTCGTCTCAGGTTGAGCTACGCCGCCGTTGCCTCGGGTGCCACAGCCGCCGTCGCCAGGTGCCTCGACGCCGCCGCCGCCGCAGCGACCCGCCGTCGTCGTCGCCACCTTGATCGCCGAGGGGTCGACCGGCTGGTCGGCGCCACTGCTGCTGCAGGGAATGGGGGTGCACGGAAATGGGGTGCTCGGGGTGGGATGGGCTTGCCACTACCAAGCCTAGGGGGTGTGTTTAATTATATGTTTCATATAATTGTAGGCTTGGTAGTTGTGCTACTAACTGCATCCTACTGTAGAGGGGACAAACCCCCTTCTTGTATCTCCTTCTCTTCTAGTCCTATCCCTCTCTTCTCTCGACATTTTCTTAGCACCTAAAACCTCTCGCCATTCATGGCGTCTCTTCCTATCTAGCTAGCTTTAACAGTACTCACCAAGAACTAAACTAGCTAGGCTATAAACAAATATGACCTAGCTAAGCTATATAAATATACTTGTTGATACACCTCCTAGCCTATATAGTAGCAGTTCACAAAAAAGGCAGAGTACACCAGGGCAGCACTTCTAGTCTGACCTTTGGGGAGGGCAACAAGGCAACTCAGGGCGGCACTACTACTCTGACCATTGAGTCAAGAGGCCACAAGAAAGGCTGACGTTTCAAAAAAAGGCACTCTGATTTTTCCCCCCATAAAATTTCCCGAGTCTGAAGGGTCATTTTTCAATTTTTCGCTACTCTGAAATCTCAGTGTCCAAGAGTCAACGAGTCTGAAATACTCAGAGTTCAGAATGTCGACTCAGAGTCCTGCGCCCAAGTCGAAATCTTGTATTTTCATAGTTCACACCAGGCCCCACGATTGGTTTTAGAGCATGTTCCTGCGACCTCTTCCCAGCCAACCTCTTCCCATACTTGCGCGCTACAGTGTAGCGTAATTTTGACGCGAAACAATTTAGTGCGGTTCCGCATGGTGTGATGCGAGATTGGGTTTGTCGAGATTCAAGGCGTGTTTTCATATCTCGTTTCAGGCGCCAAAATTTAGAACGAGCGCGAATCTGTACAGTGCGATTTTGACAGGAGCTGATTCATTGCGATGAAGAACGCGATTCTAAAACGAATGAGCTGGGAAAACGGTTCTTCGAACATGCTCTCAGGCTAGGGCCGATTTTGGGAAGAGGATAGTTTGGGAAGAGGCTGGTAAGAACACGCTCTTAAGGTACCCTGATTGCTCAGTGTCAGGTTAAAAAAAAACAAAACTTTTCGTCAGCCTCCTCTAGAAAATTTACGCTTATTCATCAGTGTTTCCTAGCAAATTTTCGCTTTTCTATCAGGATTGTGTACTAAAAAAATGCTGATTTGTCAACAAGGAGAGAGGATTTCATATTTTTTTTAGTTGCATTCAAGTAAGAGTAAATTCTGCATTCTAATAACAGTCGGTCATATAAGGCGAAATTCTCGACAGCTGCCCGTTTGGTCAACTGCAAGTCTATCGAAATGTGATGGTCACGATCCATTGCGACCGTTTCGACATTTTTCAACCAATCGATGGTTGCAAGTGATTAACGTCCACGATCGATCAACCGGGGCGCTGCAAGGGCGCGAAGTTTCTCCCACCGCCCAATTCCACAGCTTCCCGCCTCCCCTCCGTTTCAATCCTCCCCCCTCCCCTTCCATTTTCGAACTTGCGCCAACCAGGGGGGAAACTTCGTAACTCTCGCCAGTGTTTGTTTCAGTGTCGACCCCTGTTAGTGCGCTGAGGCATCAGTGTCTTGACAAAAAAATTCATGGGAAAGGGGTGTGGGAAGAATGTCTCTAGAAATGGAAGACTTAGCCGAATTTTGTGGGTGTTGGGGGTGTGAGAGGGGTGTCTCTAGAACAGGACTTCAACGATTCTTATGGGCTGCTTATTGTGCTGAGGGGAACTGTCTCTGGCTGCTAGGACTCAGCCGGATTTTTTAGGTTTCGGGGCGGGGTGTGTGTGAAAGGACTTGACTCTGACCGTTGGGGACTTTTGGGTGAGGGCAGGTAGGTGCAGTACCGGTATGTCTGTCTCAAGGCCCGTACGCGCTGCGCTATGAAAACTCAGTATCCGCAAACTGCGAAGTCTGAGATTCTCAGGATTCAAAAACATATAACTCTGAAGGGTTCATCGAGAGGTGGTGAGATGGGTGGTTGAACACCCAGCCCGAGGCGTCAAGCAGAAAACCTAGGAAGAAACAAGGAAGGGTGCAGGCTGAGAGCTTGCCCGTGGCAGTGTCGTGGACGTGAGCAAGGCTGGCCCAGACATGGAACGCAAACGCGTCACCAGGACACCCGGTCCAGAGGAGGGTCGGCAAAACCTGTGGCCGCTGGGAGCACAGCCACAGGTTAAGCTGGTGAGCAGCGTAGCGCACAGCAAACGGCCACAGAAAATGGGGTGCACTGGCGTGGACCATGGAGGTGCAAGCCACCTCCATGATCAGGCCAATGCGTCGCTCAGCAAACCCATTCTGCTGTGGGGAGTTCGGTAGTGTGTACGTCTGGCGGATACCCTGCGTACGGCAGAAACGTCCTGAAGTACCAGAGGCGAACTCGCCACCTCGGTTAGAGTGTAAGCGACATACAGGCAAGCGGTGGTGGGTGCAAACAACAAGAAGCCATAGGAGGAGAACCGTAGGCACGTCGGCCTTCCGCTCCAGTGGGAACACTGTGGTGAACCGCGAGAAGTCGTCAACGACGACTAGGAAGTAGCGCTCCCGGCTAAGACCATGGACCGGGGCAGGGCCCCAGACGTCCATGTGCAGTGTCTGTAGCGGCGCTGTGGTAGGAGGAAACGAGGAGGAGTGAGGGGCGATGCGCTCCCGGCCCTCAACGAAGGAGGTGCACAGTGACGCTACCAACGGAGGCAGGGCAGGTAGCGACTCAGGGAGACCAGTGACTAGCACATGCTGGGACATATGCCTAAGATGCAGGAAAGCAGGGTGACCTAAGCGGTGGTGCCACAGAAGGGTCGGGTGGGCTAGTGAGTGACAGGAGCAGGACGCGACGACCTCGGCAGATGCAGCAGCCGACAGAGACTCAGTGCGCAGTGTAAAGAGATTTGACCCAGGGTCATGCTCAAAAGTGGTTTAATTGTCGACCGGTGGCTTTGTCTGAGCAAGCGGCGTGCCTCTCGCAGCCAGGGAACGTAATGGTGCTGCCTCGGTCCTGAAGGTAACCGACACCCACTAGGTTCCTAGCAAACGAGGAGATGTGCAGACTGGTGAGGGGGCCAGAGGGGACAGCTGGACAGCGAAGAGTGGTGGTGCTACGTGCAACAGCTGTAACAGAGGAGTCTGCTAGTGCGATGCGGACAAGCACAGGAAGCAAGGTGAGAGCAGTACTGTCTCGAAAAAAGCACCGAGATGCGCTAGAGTCAAGGACAAAGGAGAGGGCCGATGTGGGGGAGCCCAGTGAAGAGTCTCTAACAGGTCCTACGCCTGACGCAGCAGGGGAGTCTACGCCTGACGCAGCAGGGGATCCTAGACTACACACAGCGCTAGCTCCAAGGCTACAAACTAGCAACACTAGAAGCATCAGAATACACAGAATACAATGCATGATCGATCTGAAGCATATCCATATTTAATATAGGAACCCCACGACGAAGCAAGAAAGTTCCAGGGTGGTACCTGCACCAGTGGGCCAAACTGACGACGGTAGAGGTCGTCCAGGCGGCGGAAACAGCAAACGGCGGTGTGCCCCGTGCGCTGGCACACATGGCCCGCCTGTAGGCTAGTCCGTAGTTGGTACGTGCAGGTCACCGCACCACCAGAACAACCAGCACCCAGACTCACAGAGGAGCTACGCGATCCCAAAGGCCCCGAGTGCCCTGGGCCCCAACCCCCACGGCCTCCACCACGACCACCCCCCCCCCCCGGGCCCGTCGACCCCCACGACTGCTGTGGCTTCTGCTGCTGCTGCTGTTGCGCAGTCCCCGACTCTGACTGACCACCCTCTCCATCCGCACCCGCTGCTGCCGACCCCCCACGACCCTTGCCCCCCTTGCCCTTGCCCTTGCCGGTAGAGGAGCGGCCGGGGGCAGAGGTAGCTGCTGCGGTCTCAGCAACACAAGCGGAGGAAGGGAGTATCACTAAGGAGGGAGCACTGCCCTGAAATATAGGGACTGCCGGCGTGCCAGTGGAACAAGCAATGTAGGGAGGCGGTCCTCTACCTTAGTCAGGGAGGTGGAGAAGAGGTCAAGGGTGAGCTCAGAGGGGTGACGAGCGAGGAGCGCGTCGCGGGCAGGGGCTAGGCGGTCAAGAAGGCGGTTGACAAGGAAGTAGAAAGTGGCAAAAAGGGGGGGCGGGGCGAGCGCTAGCTAAGCCTAAGTACAGGCCGCACGCAAGCGGACCTCGAGGGAGCGCAGGTGCTCGACTAAGTCTGCTACACTGGTGAAGGACGTCAAGTCAAGGTGGAAGATTGGGAGAAGGAGACGACTAAGAGTGGCAGATGACGGGGTGGAGTACCTAGCAAGGATAGCCAGCCAGAGTGTGCGGGCTGACGCAGCACCCACAAAGTCGGAGTGCTCGTCAACCGGCAGGCACCTGAGGATGGCTACGCGAGCAATAACATCGCGGGACGCCTAGACAGAGTAGGCAGTACGAGCGGCAGCGTCCACAGCCTGCTGCGCAGACGTCGCGTCAGTAACAAGAGCACCCGGGCGGGGGATAGCAGGGAGCTCACTAGAGACGTGCGCGTCCAGGGACTCGTCATCGACGCGCTGATTCGTGAGCTGAAGGAGAACTGCCTCCTGCCAGGCGGCGAGACCGCCAGCCTGCCCCTCCCCATCTAGGCGCAGGACGAAGACGCCGGGCGCCGCCATGCTGGCAGCTGCGGCCGGGAAGACAGAGGCGGCAGAAGCAGGGACAGCAAGGGCAGCAGTTGCGGCAGGGGCAGTGGGGGCAGCGGCAGTAGCTGCAGCAGCAGTGGCGGCAGCGGCAGTAGCTGCAGCGGCAGTGGCAGCGGCGGCAGCGGCAGTGGCAACAGCAGCGGCGACAATGGCCGCGGCGGCGGCGTAAGTGGCTGCAACGGCAGTAACTGCAGGAGCTGCGACAGTGGCAGTAACTGCAGCGTAAGAGGCAGCAGTAACAGCTGTAGCAGTGGCAGCGGTAGGAGCTGCAGTGGCAGCGGTAGTGGCTGTTGCAGAGAGGCATTACTGGCAGTAGTGGCGGCGACAGCAGCAGCAGTGGCAGTGGCGGCTGCAGTGGCAGCAGGCTGACTGTGGCTGCAGCGGCAGTAGCAGTCGCAGTGGCAAGCTGGCCATCAACGAGGTGGTAGGCGCTGTGGACGACTAGCTGCTGGCGAAAGCCGTGGGCAGCTAGTTGGCTGGCGGTGCTGGCGACTAGCTTCTGGCGGCGAGCTAGCGGAAGCTGTTGGCAGCAAGCTGTCTGGCGCTGCTGGCGCCTAGCTGGCTAGCACCGCTGGCGGCGAGCTTGCTAAGGCAGCTGGCTAGTGAGCTGGCTAACGAGCTAGCTAGCAAGCTGACTAACTGGCTGGCTAGCTAACAGGCACGTTGGCTGGTGAGCCGGCCTGCTGACTACCGCAGGAAAAAAGGTCGAACGCTAGGGGGGGAGGGGGAGCTCGAGGATACGAAGCGCGAAATTGGAAGGCTACAGTGTGTGAAATTGGAAGGCTACAGTGTGTGAAATTGGAAGGCTACAGTGCACGAACGTAAGAGAAATGCACACACGCGAAAAATAAGAAGCTATAGTAATGGCGGTAGCGGGAGTAATGGCGCGAGCGTGAGAAGTGGCAGAAGAATAATCTAACATAGCTCTATACCATGTTAGAGTAGCGGGGAAAGTTGTGACTAAGGGAAAATGTCGAGGGATACAAAACTAGGGCTGTACTCACTAAGAACTAAATGTTCAAATTATATAAGTTATAATTTAATATAGGCTTGGTAAGTTGTTACTGAACCTTTCTGTAGGGGGTACAAACCCCTCCTTGTACTCCCCTCTCTTCCTAATCCAACGCTCTTCTCTCTCGACACTCTCGTCCAGCTCCTAGCTAAACCCCGCCGCCACATTCATGGCGGCCTTGTTCCTGCCTAGTATCCTAGCCTAGAGCTACTTTAAACATGGTATCAGAGCAGGCAGTTTCCGGTCCTGCCTTCCAAGCTTCCGCCGCGCTTTTCTACCGTCCTTTTAGTGCCGCCGCCGTCCCTCGCCGTCCTGCCATGGCGACCTCGACACTCAGCCGTGGTGGCCATGTCGAGGTGCCGTGGCGGCCTCGTCGCATGGCTGCCACGTCGAGCAACCGTGCTGGGCTTGCCGCCCTGACGTGGCGGCTCCGCCGTTCCACCTCCCCGTCGCGCCCCCTAGCCCCGTCGCGCCCCTCCTGGGCCCCGTCGCGCCTCCTCGCCCCGCCAGTAAGCGCCGCGCCTATGGCGCCACGCTGAAGTCCTGCAGCCCCACCACAGCAGCCCCACCACAGCAGCCCCACCACCTCTCCCTCCCCTGCATCTCCTCCTGCTCCTGCCGTAGCTGCTGTCTTCGGCTCGGTCGTCGCCAGCCCGTGCCACACCGCCGAGAGCCCTCAGCCGCCGCAGTCGCCGCCTGTCCTCATCGACACAGCCGCCTTGAGCACGAGCTCCGCCGCTGTCGTCATTGAGGCCGCCCAGATGCGGCCAGCTGCCTCTCGTCCGGGGGTGTCATCGCCTAGCACGAGGGGTCGATACCCGGCTGCTCACGAGAATGAGGGTGTCCGGGGTTAGGGGGTGTGTGTGTGGTGTGAGTGGGCTTGACACTACCAAGCCTAGGGGGTGTGTTCAAGTTATATAAGTTATAATTTAATATAGGCTTGGTAGGTTGTTACTGAACCTTTCTGAAGGGGGTACAAACCCCTCCTTGTACTCCCCTCTCTTCCTAATCCAACGCTCTTCTCTCTCGACACTCTCGTCCAGCTCCTAGCTAAACCCCGCCGCCACATTCATGGCGGCCTTGTTCCTGCCTCGTATCCTAGCCTAGAGCTACTTTGAACACTAAATTAGCTAGGCTATAAACAAATATGACCTAACTAAGATATAAAATATATTTGTCGACATTTTCCCGTTCAATGTCCCGTTTGCCCGGGTTTGACTGTTTCCTGCTTACAGGCTCGAGCCACGTGCAAATGTTGTGGGAACCAATAGGAGAAAAGGTGTAAGTGCACAAAAAATGTTTCAATATTTAAAGTGCTTTGATAGGGAGGACTAGGAAGTGATCTTATGTGAACTAGTTCTTTCGGCCATAAATCTTTACTTCCCCAGATTCGCTGCGCTTAACGAATCAGGGTACAACCAGCTCTTGTACGTAACATCTGACGTGGTTGGCGTCAGATCCACGCTTCATATGACACCACAAAGCCCAGTTACAGCCCCAGTCCCAGGTTCGGAGAATACTCCTCCCGCACCTGACACCTCTGCCGAACGACTGCCGTTGCTTTTCGCGCCCAGCGACGAGTTGCTGGCAGCGTACCATTGGCTTATTGCTGCCCAAATACTGTACCAAAAAATATTGCCTCGTTTGTGCCGAACCAAGACAGGCAACGTAATTACCGATTTCAGGAGGTCACATCCTTCTGGTTTCTCTTAGACTGGAGTCTAATTCCCTCTATTAGCAGGTGCGAACTAGTATCAGTTCGCGCTGGTTTCACACGTCACCAGTCGTCCTCTATTTCGCGAATTGCGCTCTTCTTTTTGACGCGCGTTCGCGAGCTCCGTGCCTGTGCCGCTACCCACTGACTCCTGAGGCCAGAGCCACAAGCTGCCACGTGGCAGAATTGTGACCCTCTGCTTTATCCCTTTTAGCGGCAGCCTCGCGTGTCTCCGTGTGAACCTCTTGTCTTGTTCCCGATTTCCCCTGATCGACGGCGAATCAGTTCATAGTAGTCTTAATCCACAACTATGGCGCGCCGCTCCTTGGTTCACCTACTGCGACGAGCGTCGCCAGTCCTTCGCAACCCGTCGCCATTCCACCTCAATCACCTTTCGCCATCGTCGCACCTTCCCCCTCTAACCGCCACCTTGTTCTCCTCCGCCTCCTCCGCCGCCTCCGCTTTCTCCTCCTCTTCCGCTTCGTTCTCGCCCTTCGCCGCGTCTCCCGCTGCCGCCTCCTCGCTTCCAGACGTTACAGTCGACGCGTCCACGGTGGTAGCGCACCCGTCCATCACCTCCTCGCACGGCCTCACACCCAACCAGCTCGAATTCCGCGCGCTTGCTCAGGTAAGACTAGGTGTTTCCGTTGCTGCTCAGCTGTCAATCTCTAGCCAAGGGGATTCAGTCGACGCGTCCACGGTCATAGCGCACCCGTCCATCACCTCCTCTCCTCGCACGGCCGCACCCCCAACCAGCTCGAATTTCGCGTGTTAGATTAGGAAAACTTGCATGCTCGCGCGCGTTCTCAGTTGTAGATTCTCTAGCCAAGGCAATCTAGTCGACGCGTCCACGGTCGTAGCGCACCCGTCCATCACCTCCTCTTGAGGCGCCTCAATAGTCACTTCCTCGCACGGCATCATCTCATCCCCAGCCAACTCGAATTCCGCGCCCTAGCTCAGGTAAACCTGCGTGTTTCCGTGCTTGTTCATGTAGGAAACATGTAAGAAACATGTAGGAAACATGGAAGAAACATGTAAGAAACATGTAAGAAACATGTAAGAAACATGTAAGAAACATGTGAGAAACATGTAAGAAACATGGAAGAAACATGTAAAAATACTCCCCCCCCCCCCCTCCCCCCCGCTCCCCCCTCCTCCCCTGCGTGCAGGACTTCGCAGCCAATGAGCTGCTGCCACGCGCAGCGGAGTGGGACGCGCAGAAGCACTTCCCAGTGGACGTGCTGCGCAAGGCAGCGGGGCTGGGCTTCGCCGCTCTGTTCGTTAAAGAGGATGTTGGGGGCTCAGGGTGAGTTGCGTGACTGGGAAACCAACGAGTTGGGTGCCATACAGGTCTCACAGCAGAAGCACTTCCCGGTTGACGTGTTGTGCCAAGCCGTGGGGCTGGGCTTCGCTGCTCTCACTGTGAAGGACGATGTAGGGGGCTCGGGGTGAGTACGGTCTTGGTAATAGAGGGCTGTAAGGCGGCAGGGCTGGGAGCGGGGGGCGCAGAAGCGCTTCCCAGTGGCCGTGCTGCGCAAGGCAGCGGGGATGGGCTTCGCTGCGCTCTTTGTGAAGGACGATGTTTGGGGCTTGGGGTGAGTCCATGCCTTGGGATTGAGGGTTGGAACTTGTAAGGCGCTGCACACCACAGGCACTTCCTGGCGGACGTGCTACCATACCAGAGCAGCTGGGCTGGGGTTGGCAGGGCTGCTTGCTAAGGAGCACGTGGGGGGCTAGGGGTGAGTTGGAAGGAATTCTAGTAGGCGTAGAACATATTTGTCCTATGGTCATCCCTGCTGACATGCTCTTTTGCGTGTATCTCTCTCCCCTCCCCCTTCCCCCCCGCCCCGCCCCCTTCCCCCTCTCTCACCCCTTCTGCCACGTGTCACAAGCAGACTGGGCCGGGCCGACGGGGCAGTGATCTTCGAGGCACTAGCTCATGCTGACGTCAGCACTACTGCGTACCTGACCATCCATAACATGAATGCCAGCATCATTGACAGGTGGGGGATGGATCGGTGGAATGCGGTAGGGATGGGTGTGATGTGCTAGGTATGGGTATGGCATGGTAGGGATGAGTGGTACGACGCGTGTTAGAGGCGCCTCAAAAGCCATCTGGACGATCAGCACTGCGGTGTGCCTGACCATCCATAACATGAACGGCAGCATCATTGACAGGTGGGGGCTGGATGGGTGATGACGTGGCAGAGATGGGCGTGATGACGTGGCAGGGGTGGGCGTGATGACGTTGCAGGGATGGGTATGATATGGCATGGCATGAGTGATATATGATGGCAATATAGAGTTTTCCTGCTCCTCCTCTCATCCCTTTCTTACACACTCCACATCCCCTCCCTCCCATAGCCGTAACTTCCCATCACGTAGTTTGATCTACCTTATCTAGTGGGTTTCTTTCGTCCCCATCGTTCACCCAATCTCTACCTTCTTGTTCTGGGTGATTTAAGCTTGGATCAGATGCGCAGTGGTTAAGTATTTCAGTTTTGAGACGTCCCAAAACTAAACTACCCACCCCTCTACCTGCTTGTTTCCGGGTGACTCAGGTTTGGGTCAGAGGAGCAGCGGCACAAGTGGCTGCCTGCTCTGGCAACGATGGTGGGTGCACCTCTACTCTACACCCCTTTCCACCGCACTGCACCGCATTGCACTTCGTTGCAGTGGCAGTCTGGTTTGAATCGGAGGCGCAGCAACGGCGCAAGGGTCGGTCAGCTTAATTTGGCAACCATGATAGTTGCACCACCTTTCTACCGCATTCCACTGCACTGCACCACGTTGCATCGCTCTTTGCACTGTTCTTTGAACTGCACTGCTCCGAGTTTTACAGGAGCACCGCAGTGTACTTGTGGCTTGGATTGGCGGCAAGAGCAGCGGCGGCACAAGGGGCTGCCTGCTCTGGCCGGCGGCCACAAGGGTGGATGGGTGGGTGGATGGGCCGGGCCCCTCGTGTCCTCTGGTCGGAGCAGGCAGCCTCTGCCCTGGCCACAAGGGTGGGTGCGTGCGCTCAGAATCGCGGGCATGACGGAAGATGATTGGAGATCTTACTCGTTTCCCCACAAAATATCCCCAATATCACCATCAACAATTCTTGAGGCGCCTCAAAAATTATCCCCAATATCACCATCAACAATTCTCTCTACTGAGAAACGGCTAGGTAGCAGCAAGCTCGGCAGCTGCCAGCTCGGTAGCAGCAACATCCCCCCGTCACCATCACCATCACCATCACCATCACTATCACCCTCACCATCACCCTCACCATCACCATCACCATCACCATCACCATCCCCATCACCATCACCATCACCATCACCACCACCATCACCATCACCACCACCATCCCCATCACCATCACCATCACCATCACCATCCCCATCACCATCCCCATCACCATCACCATCACCATCACCATCCCCATCCCCATCACCATCACCACCACCATCCCCATCACCATCACCATCACCATCACCATCACCATCACCATCACCATCACCATCACCATCCCCATCACCATCCCCATCACCATCACCATCACCATCCCCATCCCCATCACCATCACCATCACCATCACCCTCACAATCACCATCACCATCACCATCACCCTCACCATCACCATCACCATCACCATCACCATCACCCTCACCTCACCATCACCATCACCATCCCCATCACCATCACCATCACCATCACCATCACCATCACCCTCACCATCACCATCACCATCACCATCATCATCACCATCACCATCACCATCACCATCCCCATCCCCATCACCATCACCATCACCATCACCCTCACATGTCCAGTCCAGGATCTCGCCTCCCCCTATTGCATCACAGAACCAGGCAGTAGCAGTGATGCAATCATGCAATCACATGCTCCCTACCGAAAGGGCCTTTCTTGTTACAATCACACTGCACCCCCCCCCCCCCATCACCATCCCATGCGTTCAGGAGTCTATTTTTGAGGCGCCTCAAAAATAGACCCCCCATCACCGCATGATAGAAGTCTAGTTTTGAGGCGCCTCAAAACACTGCAACCACCCCCCCGCCATCACCATCCCATGCGTTCAGGATCTCCTCTCCTCCTACTGCCTCACAGAGCCTGGCAGCGGGAGTGATGCTGCTGCTCTCAAGGTGAGACTTTTTTTATTTCTTTTTTTTTGTTAATCTCTTTCTCTCCTGTTGCGCTTTCTACTTCATCCGAATATCAGAATCACTTTGTAACGCATGGAGTCTTTCTGCTACATCATTGTGCTGATGGCTGTTCTATGGTCTCACTTTCACAAACGCTCCCTCTGTCATTTACTGCGCACTGCCAGTATGGAGAAGAATTGCCCTTTCGACCGTTCCAATACTGACAATTGACTTGTAACCATTAAGCGTTAGGGTGGGCTGCAGCGAAGAGGAAAGCTTTAGCAAAGAGAGTAACAGTAGGTAGAGATACCCCTGTTTAAAGTGCGAGAATTTGAAGTTCCGAACTCAACTCCACTAGAAGATTAAAACGCAAACGCTCCCTCTGTCACAAACGCAAACGCAAACGCAAACTTTCACAAACGCTCCCTCCGTCATTTACTGCGCAGTGCCAGTATGGAGAAGAATTGCCCTTTCAACCATTCCAATACTGACAACTGACTGACAGCGCCCTTCCTTCCACCGATCGTGTCTGCTGTCGTCCATGGTTGCGCAGACGACAGCACGGCAGGCACCTGGATCAACCGTCTACATCCTCAATGGCTCCAAGGTAGGCATATGCTAAGCTAAGTTTCATGTAGTTCTCTTTATAGCGAGGTTTCATATGTGCTGTGAGTCGACTCAAAACACACCCGGCTCCAAGGTAGGCATATGCTAAGCTAAGTTTCATCAGGTTCCCTTTATGGCAAGGTTTCATATCTCATAAAGTTCACTTAGAAGCGACTTTCCATTAAGTTCTCTTTATAGAGAGGTTTAATGTAGTTCTCTTTATAGCGAGGTTTCATATTTCATAAAGTTCACTTTAAAGGGAGGTCTCATTAAGTTCTCTTTGTAGAGAGGTTTCAGATAGTTTTCTTTATAGCGAGGTTTCATAAGTTTTCTTTATAGCGAGGTTTCTCCCCACCCCTCGCTCCTTCTCGTTCCTTTCCTCCAATCCTTAACCCCCATTCCAGGCATTCATCAGTGGGGCAATGGTGGCTCGTGTATTTTGAGGCGTCTCAATCCTTAGCTCCCATTCCAGGCGTTCATCAATGGGGCAACGGCGGCTCATGTGTATGTGGTGACAGCACGGACGCATGGGGAGGGTGCCTCTTCCCCTTCCTAACCCTTCCTCACCCTTCCTAACCCTTCCTAACCTTTCCTCACCCTTCCTCACCCTCCTTCCCTCCCATCCTTAACTCCTTCCCAGGCTTTCATTAGTGGGGCAACGGCTGCTCATGTGTATGTGGTGATGGCACGGACGCATGGGGAGGGGCCCAAGGGGATATCCTGCCGCTTCCTCTTTTCCCCTTCCATTCCTCAACCCCCCTTTTTGAGTCGACTCAAAAATCGACTCTTCCCCCCTTCCGTTCCTCAACCCCCTTTGCCCACTCCCCCTGATCTCTCACGCAGGCATTCATCAGCAGAGCAACAGCTGCTCATGTGTATGCGGTGACGGCACGGACGGATGGGGAGGGGCCCAAGGGGATATCCTGCCGCTTCCTCTGCCTCCCTGCCGTTCCTCACCCCCCTTTACCCCCCTTCCCCCCCTTCCCCTGACCTCTTGCCCAGGCATTCATCAGCGGAGAAACGGCTGCTGATGTGTATATGCAGTCCCCCCCCTCCCCACCCCACCATCCGGCATCCTCCCTCCTCTCCCCCTCCACACCCCACCCTCCCCTCCCCACTTCCGCTGATCTCTCGCCCAGGCGTTCATCAGCGGAGCAACGGCGGCTGATGTGTATCTGGTTATGGCACGGACGGATGGGGAGGGGCCCAAGGGGATATCCTGCTTCTTGGTGGAAAAGGTGGGAAGGAGGGCGCGTCTGGGGTTTTGGGGAGATTTCATAATTTTCCATCCTTGGCGCATTGCCTGGTCGTGCCACGGACGGATGGGGCGGGGCCCAAGGAGATATCCTGCTTCTTGGTGGAAAGGGTGAGAAGGAGGGCAGGGGGCTGAGCTTTGAGGGGGATGCATTATCCCCATAATGGTGCATCACGTGGTGATGGCATCATGGCACGGACGGATGGGCAGGGGCCGAAGGGGATACCCTGCTTTCTAGTGGAAAAGGTAAGGCGGAGTCGAGGGGTTGGGAGGTAGAGGAGGAGGAGTACGATTGGCTCGTGAAACTGCTTGCTTGTGCATTCGGGAGGACCCACCAGAGAAACGCGTGCCCTTGCACATGCCCATGCCCATGACCATGCCCATGCCCGTGCCTGTGCCCGTGCCCATGCCCATGCCCATGCCCATGCCCATGTTTGCTTCTCTAACAGGACATGCCAGGGGTGTCCTTTGGTCAACTGGAGAAGAAGCTCGGGTGGAACTCACAACCCACGGCTGCGGTGAGAGTGAGGAGGAATGAGGGTTGTAGAAATCTCAGAATCTCACAAAAGGTGCACTGTGCGTAGTACAAAATCTCTAGTTCTGCATTGTGGGGTTCACCCAGCTATAGATTTTTCTAAACTTCCAAAACATACCCGGATGTGCTTTTCGTTCTCGCTTTCTCAGTTTGTGCTTTTAGGAAGGCGTGTGGGATTGCCAGCAGCAAACCTCCTTCCTTGGGGGTTGCATGGCTGACTTTTGGAGAGTTCTCAGAAACCTCCTTGGTGGGTGTATGGCATGTGATTCACCTGAGAGTTTCCTCTTCACCCGCCATCCACCCTCTCTTCTGCGTTCCCTCCAACCCTCACATGTGATTCTGGAAGACGTGAGAGTGCCAGCAGCGAACCTTCTTCGAGGGGGATCGCAACAGTTTTTAACCAGCTATCAGTGCACAGATCAATGTTCCTCCCCCCTGCCCCCCTCTCAGGTCATTATGGAAGACGTGTGAGTGCCAGCAGCGAACCTCATCGGGGGGCGGGGGGGGATCGCACCAGTCCCGAACCAACTATCAGTGCACATAGGTGTGTTTCCCCAGTCACCCTTCCTCCCCCCTCCTCTCCCCCTCAGGTCATCCTGGAAGACGTGAGGGTGCCAGTAGCGAACCTCATCGGGGGGAGGGCAGCCGCAAGTCCCAAGTGTGCTTGAGCCCGTTGTAGCGATTTTTGAGGCGCCTCAAAAATAGTAATCCAATGGAATCTCGCCGTTCTATCCCACCCACCCGCCCCCTCCTCTCCCCCTCAGGTCATCCTGGAAGACGTGAGGGTGCCAGCTGCAAACCTCATCGGGGGGCGGGGCAACGGGTTCAGGATCGCGATGACTGGGCTGGATGGGGGGAGGGTCAACATCGGAGCATGCAGGTGAGCACATATGGGTGTATCTGGGGAGGGTAGACCTGAGAAGCAACGGGTTCGGGATAGCAGTGAAAACGGGTTATCCCGAATGACTTGGCTGGACGCCGGAGGGTGAACATTGGAGCGTGCAGGTGAGTACGTATGGGTACATCTGGGGAGGGTAGATCTGAGGGGCGACGGGTTGAGGATGTGAAGCTATTGTCAGGTCAATGGCGAACCAGGGGGTGGTTGATCTGAGAGCCAGTGGCTTTGGAGAGCTAACTTTGAGTTCTGAGACGTCTCAAAGCTCCCCTTTTCTCTATTTTCCTTCCATCTTGTGCGGCCTGTGAAGTGTGGGAGGGGTGCGGCCTGTGAAGTGTGGGAGGGGTGCTGCCTGTGAAGTGTGGGAGGGGTGCTGCCTGTGAAGTGTGGGAGGGGTGCAGCTACGTCTCGAGTATGCCCAGCAGTATGCAACTATTCTTGAGGTGCCTAAGAAATCTCTCCCTCTCCACCGTTCTGTGCCACCTCTGCAGTGTGGGAGGGGCGCAGTTCTGTCTCGAGTATGCCCAGCAGTATGCAGCAGACAGAAAACAGGTGAGAGACAGGCACTATCAAGGTCAGGCCGCATATAGGTCAGGCTGTATCAGGGTCAGGCTTTATCAGGGTCGGGCTTTATCAGGGTCAAGGTGAATCTGAAACAGGGGGAACAGGCTGCTTCTGGGGATAGGCTGTATCTAACCGGCAGACATGGTAATGGCAGTGGAGGCAAGTAATGGCCACCGACCCCCCATTCTCCCCCTCTTCTCCACAACTGCAGTTCGGCAAGCCAATCACGTTGTTCCAGAACACGCAGTTCCAACTCGCAGACATGGCAACATCGGTGGAGGCATCTAACGGCCTCCTATGCCTCATTCCCCCTCTCTTCCCTTGCCTTACCCCTACAACTGCAGTTCGGCAAGCCAATCACATTGTTCCAGAACACGCAGTTCCAGCTCGCAGACATGGCAACGGCAGTGGAGGCGTCTCGATTGATGGTTAGAAATGCCGCCACTGGCATCGATATCAAGGCGCCATGGGCCACCACAGCTGCTGCCATGGCAAAGAGGTGAGTGCCGGGTGTGTTGGGCACTTGGGTTGGGTAGGAGAATATCACCTTGTCCAAAACCCTCCTAGGCTTGTTGTCAAGTCTCTACCTATTTTTGTAGCTCGTCCATCCTCAAGCTTTTTTCTCATTCTCACTACATCTCTTGTTGATTTCCCTTCCCTTGCAATCTAAGGTTTGCAACTGATAACTGCTACCAAGTAGCCAACCAGGCATTACAGCTGCTTGGCGGCTATGGCTTTCTTCAAGATTACCCGGTACGTTTGTTACACGATCCATTATTTAGATGCTCAACAAGCTGCGTAAAAACCGAGCCACTATGCTGTACAGGATTGTCTGTTGGTACTTCGATCTCATGCCAGCCTGAATACTTGCCTATTTGTACTTGTGTACAGGTGGAGCGATATGTGAGGGACCTTCGAGTCCATACCATTCTTGAGGGAACAAACGAGATAATGCGCCTCATCATAGCACGTCGACTGTTACAACCTTGACAAGGACCTCCACCTTTCCCCCCGTTGTAAATATTGTTGTTACTTGTTTTGTGACATGCAAGTGTAAATATGTGTGAAGTGCAATACTACTTGCAGGCTTTAGGGTGTTAAAACGATTTTTGCTGCATTCTTTGTATGAGCAGCAGCTGAGTGCTCCATGTCTTGTACCCGTACTGTACAGTATTCCAGTCCGATTTCCCTTCCCCACCATATCACACCAGTTCGAACCAATCCCAAGGGCGGATCAAGAGTGGAGAAGAAACCGAGAAGGTTTGAATACATGTCGATCAAATCTAGACTGGCCACGGCGGGGAAAGGGAACCAAACCCACACGCCACAGTTCAATTCAAGCCATGCTTTCTCTGTTCCACCTGTTGCTCAACTCGAACTCTGGGCGGGCTATTGCGGCGGACTCGCGAATTTGGCGATCCCATCCAATTCGAATCCAGAGGCACCACCTCCACGCGAACTGTTGAAATGGAGCGTTTCGTTAGGAAAATCGGTTCTGAGATTTCCCAACCAGCGTTCGCGCTTACACATGAAGTCCTTTTGAGGCCCAGTTTTTTTTCGGGCGGGTGCTCCAGAGTCGAGCGCCTGACTTTCACTGGCGAATTGGGCCAGTATAGGGTAGTCTGGTTACCTCGTTGGCATTTTCCAGTCTAAATCGGGTGACCATTGTTGTTTGTTTTGCGTTCCTCGGGCAACAGTCTAAGGTTTGAGAACGTCCCGTCTGCACGTTTGGAGGTCTCCGTATCAGATGCGGTATTTGTTGCAGATATTTGGTCTTGTGTTTTTTGGGCCGTTGCCCGTGTGTTAGTGCCAATAGTCCTGTAAACAAAAAACGTAGCATCAAACGATTGGCTGGTTCACTGGACGTCAAGTGTAACCTGCAAAAGCTGGTCAATGTGCCCGAAACAAGGAACTCGTCGTGAGCTGTAAATCCTTTCGCCACGTTTTCGCCAGGCTTGCGATTGACCCATCCCACAAACCAGCCTCGCGAAGGCTGGCCAATTGGAGAGTGGGCCCTCGTCAATGTTCGCTAGCACGACGAGCTCCAACTTTTCGCTGTAACGAAACAGCTCTGACTGGTTTGTTCCACCGAAACCCAATCCCAATTCCCAAATCCCAATTCCTAACCTCATCTCCACTCAGGCGAAACTGGATGGCTCAAGGTTACACTCCCATGCACTGTTCCGCTCACGCGCGACTTTACGGAATGAATAGCCACCTCCCGTTGACCTAGAAGCACATGTAAACTCTGTTAGCAGTGGAAGGCATAGGAAAGGTTACTGTTACTAGGACGCTGTGCACTGTAGTCACGGTTAGCGCATCCGGAGGGGGATTTTGTCCCGTTCTGAGCACTAAGGGGCAGTTTAGCGTTCCTACTAGCAATTGCGTTTCCGATAGGAGCACTTGGCACAATTTCATTGGGTGTGACGTGTACATATCGGGCTGCAAATTCGCCCACACGCGTCCTTGTTTTTTCCACCGTACTCACAGATCATACAGTAGGGATCAAATTGGCGCAGGGGTAGTTAGCACAACATATCCTGCTAGTTTTTTTTCTTCTGCTGTGCCCCCACTGGAAAAGTAATATGCGTTCTTTTCCATCCATGGATGCCATCACCTCTGCTGGTTATGCTGCTGCTGCTGAGCTGGCACACTGCTGGTCCCTTCTTGGCCCCACCGGATTGGTCATCACGTGCCGGATGAAATGCAACCGTGGTGTAAAAAGCAGAAAGCCATCGCCCGCATAAATGTCGACTAAAATTTAGACAACAATGCTCCCTTCGACTAGCCTACCGACTACTCACGACATGTCCATGCATTTCCCCCCGAACCAATAGAGAGATACAACGAGCGCCGCAGCTAATACTCTGCCTGTGCGTCACTAGGCGCTTTTTACTACCTCCAACTGATAGCACTTCTTATCGCGCCGAACGGAGTATAAAAATAGTAGTAAGTTGCGGCTGGCAAAATTGTTCCGATTCGGAGTCGGATTCGGAGGCCGCGGCATTCTCGGGCATGGCAACGGTCCTAGAGCATGACTCATGCGCGGCGGATGACGCCGATGCCGCCGGAATCGCCGCCATTTTCAGCGCCTTCGCGCTTCCCTTTCCGTCATCGTCGTCATTCCCGTCGTCGACGTCATTTTCGTCGCGTGACCGGCGTCGGACGTCCCTCGCCGCCGACTCCGAGTCGGACACATTGAAGCGTCGCGGTTCGACCGCCGCCGCCGTCGCCGGCGCCGACATCTCATGCGATGAGATCATGTCAGCCGCCGCGGCGACCCACCTCCGCAGCAGCGCAGCGGCTGCAGGTCATGATGATCATGGTATCCTCAACAGCTCGCCGGCGTTCTATCGCAACCACCGCCGCGGTGCCGGTCGCCGCCGCGGTGTCTCTCTCTCGTTACCTCGATGCGCCGCCGTCGCCGCCCGCCCCTCTCTCGACCATAACCCGCGCTCACTACCACCCGGCGGCGGTAGCGATTCACTGCCGTCCGTCGGCAGCAGCAGCAGCAGCGGCGTCGCCACGGCGGTCGCCACAGGCTCGGTTTCGTCGCCGTCGTTCTTCTCCCCGTCGCACACGCGCGCGTCGATCGCGCTCTCTCGCACTAGCAGGCTGAGCCTAAGCAGAGGCAGGCTCTCGGGGGTGTTGGACTCAAGCTGTGACTCAAACTATGACTCCAACGCCGCATCGACTTTCGACGCCCGACGAAACCCTGACGATTGGAGGCTCTCTTTTGCGGACCCCGGGGTTTTCGCCGCAGGCAGCGGCCGTGGCAGCGGGGGGGAGCAGAGGGATTCAATGGACTTTTTTGCGTCCTACTACGCCGAGAACTGTGATGGACTATCAATGATGGAGTCCGAGAGCGATATTGGCTTCTTCTCCCCAACGCACCGGCGCTGTTCGTCGGACACACTGCGTCTGATGCCACCTCGGCTCGACTCCCAGTGTAACGCCCCACATTCAGGCGACCACCCTGGGTCACCCAAGGCCTGGGGCACGCCGAGCCAACAGAGCCATCAGAGCCATCAGAGCCATCAGAGCCATCAGAGCCATCAGAGCCATCAGAGCCATCAGAGCCATCAGAGCCAACAAAGCCCTTCGGTTTATGCCGTCAGAGATTCCGCCGCCACCAGTCTTGGCTCTGATGGTAGCACAAAGGCTCCAACGCCAGCTGCTTTACCGATTCGGGCTGCGACGGGTGGTGGGAAGAAGGGAGGACGAACTAGCAGGGCGTTGTCGGACCCATGGACGTACTCATCGGGGCAACATTACCCTGACTTGTGCTCCTCAGGTGATTCCAAAGCTGCTGAGGGTGGCGAGAGAAGGGAAGGCGGCACAGCGCCTCGGCTTGTGCGGGATGCTGCTGTGGCTGCTGCTTTTGATTCCACAATGGAAGCAGGTAGTGCTGTGACTAGGGAACATGAGTGCGGTACCTTGCATGCGAGGAGCACATGGGAGGCCAGCTCCAGCGAGGGATCACAGGATGGGGCGGCACGTCCAGTCATCAGGGCAAGTGGAGACCTCTTTGGTCCCAGTCATGCTGACGTGGCAGTCCATGGCGTGGCAAATGTGAGGCTGGATATGTTGAGCTCGTGCTCCACGTCCTCCTCTCGTTCGAGAAGCCCATCATGGAAGGGGAGCTCTCCAGGATTTGGTGTGACGAAACGTTGGCCATGGAAAGCCCGTAAGGCAGGAGGCAGTGTTCGTGACATGAATGGTGAGGTCCGGGTAGGCTTCAGTGGGCTTTGCTTGTGTAAACACGGCCTTAGGAAGCTATTGGCACCCCTAGCTAGGAGATAGTGTCAGAAGCGAAACATGAGAATGTTGTAGACAGAGGACGCCTAGGAGCACGATTCTGAAACGCGTGATGTGATGATTTGCATGATTTTGAGGTGTGCACACAAAATACGGACCAATTTAGTTTCTTCCATTTGGATTGTCCATCATCGGAAGTTAGTCGATTCTCCTCGTGAAACAACAACCTTCGAAACATTTCCGAGTCGGTCTATAACCACATTCGAGGCGAGCTAGTTGGCTGCTGACAGGTAGGGACATGTGCGAGAGTTCGGCCAATACCGAGCAGCCATTCATTCCAGCCCCCAATCCAGAACGTCCAGCCTGTACTGTACTTGAAACCAATTCGCCGTACAGTACCTGGTTCCAACACCATCATTCCCCAAGCAGCCACGAGATGAGGTGTATGTGGCAGAAAACTGGCTGGGGCGACACGAACAATTACGGCATGCCGTGTCCTTTACAGCTGTCCCTGCCCTCATTGGACTAGGCAGGCTAGTGGAACTTCTATTTTCTGTTTTGGGTAACCGTTTCCGCTATAGGTGTACGTAAATTAATACATTAAATTACTGCTAGGTCGAACATGCAACAATGCTCTCCTAACAGTTTATTATCCCGGGAGGGATAGAGGCAATGTGCAATTTTCGCAGGTCTGGTCCAGAAACGCAGTGACAGTAGTACACCCTTCGTTCGACTCAACCCTCAATTTCCCCTCCATGTACGGCATATTCGGGGGAATTACTACCAGTCAAAAGAATCAGCGCAGCTGGGACACTCCTCGTTGGCTTGGCTGACGCCAGTGGGAGCGAGGGCCACCCTTGGAATCTCATCGCTGCTTTGGTTTATTACAGCAGCCCTAACCTACAAGAGATGCCACATTGCACCCTCAACTCTTTCTGTTGAGGCATGGCACGGAGTAATTGCGCTGGAGGTGGGTGCTAAAACTCAATTTGATCTGGATTTCCTCAGTTGCATCCTCGTCCTGAGGCAGTCATACATTTGACATTGGGGAGGGGAGGCAAACTCGAAAGCAAGGCAGCTGACGCAGAGGGCAGACCCGCTCGCTAGCATGCGGCGGTGGGGTGTGTGTGTGGTGTTGGTGTGGGCAAGCGCTTGCCTGCTGCCGGATAGAGTTCGGCGAGGAAAGGCGGTGGCGGGAATTCCAAGTACTGCACAGTAATCGAAGAAATCCGATCGAGCTAACCAGGGCGAATTAGAGCGGCGAACCCGGGGCAGTGCGGCGCTTTTTCGGTTGTCCCATCGCCTCACGGAGAGTCAGACTAAACGTGTGGCTGAGCTGCATTGGCTAGTGTGGTGGAATGGTTTCCAGATGTCCCGTCAGGCAGAGCCCCCCCCGCGCCGCATAAAGCCTGATGCTGCCTTGTTAGGACCTACGTCGGACGCATGCGATCTTAGATTCCCGAATCCCCATTTCCGCGCGCTTGCCAAAGCCACAGCCGCCACGTGCACCGGATGGCTGTAGGAGATTCAAAGGACGCATCGCCGAAGTTTGGAGCCAGCGACAGGGATGTGTGGTAGTACGGGACGCGCACAGCTATCTGAATTAGTTGTCAGCGTATCTGTAGAGTGCTCGTACCGTCTTCTATCTCGCCTGTGACTTTCTACCAGGAGCCGTCCCCGGGGAGTGTCAGCTCCTGAGCCCTTGTCAAGCTCTTGGATTAGTAACGGGGCATCGCAGCAGTAGTTGGTATCTATTTTTGAGGCGCCTCAAAAATAGGCTCTTGGATTAGTAACGGGCCATCGCAGCAGTAGTTGGTATCCATCCAGCAACCATAAAGTTTTGGTCAATGGGAAGCGGCATGGCAACCGCCGAAACCGCCAGCGATCGTCAGTCTCCTCACTTTCTCTCGTCCCTAGTCTCGCCGTTCGCGATCCGAAATCAGACGCTATCGGAGAGCGGAATAGTAAGCTCACGGAATAGCCCGAGCCTAGCGCAAAACTCGCTGAGAACCCGCCGCCTTCTTCCCAAGTCGCACTCGACGTCATCACAGCCCACTTCATCGCTAGCATCCGCCGCTGAACCTCTCGTCGTATCTCAGCCGTCCAGGTGGGCTCAGTCGATCTCCGCGTTTCACGGCGGCTGCTCGCGTCTCTCTGCGCCGGAGACGTCGCCTGTTCTGCAAAGCTCGCGGGGTATTGGGAGCTGCGACGGGCATGGCGGCGGTAGAGGGGAGTCGGCGATGGAATCGCATCCTGAGCAGCTGTCGCCAGGGTTCGTCGCGAGGGAGGCTTCAGCGACCGCTGCGACGGATGCGCGCGACGCGTGCGACAGTCGCGCAACCCGTCGTCGCTGCACTAGCAGCAGGGGCGCAGTAGTACTAGCGCACGAATCGCGGCAGCCGCCGCCGCCGCCGCGGCGCCGCCACCACCATTGCCGATCCGTTTCGCTCACAGATGTCATGATCGCTGAAGAGCGCGACTCGCGGGAGCGCGAGCGGGAGGGGCTACTAGCAATGTCATCGTCCAGCCCTGACGCGCTTCGGGCTTTACGGAATAGTAAGGGAGGGAAGCTCAAACGCGGTACTACTTTTCCGGATCTCAATCCCCAACCCAGCGTTCCCGCCGCCGCCGCTGCCGCCGCCGTCGCCGTCACCGTCGCTGCCACCGCCGCCCCTGAGTTCGGTGCTTCGACCAGTCAATACAGCGAAGCTGCTGTACGCGATAGAAGTGATTTCTTTTCGCCACAGTGTTGCCCCGAGGATGATGCGTCGGATGCATCGCTTTCTGAATCGTTCTCCTCCTCCGCTTTCGGAAAATATGCAGCACTGATGAACAGTAGTAACACCCCCGTTAGTATCACGTTCCGGCGCTTCCCTTCGTATCGCGGTAGATCCAGCCTCGATAATGGCAGTATGACGAGCACAACGAGCGTCGCCACCGTTGCCAGCGTCGCAAGCTCGTTTCTCCCTGGTAGTGCGGGCGACGGCTCGCGATCCTTCTTCTCCCCGTCGCACACTCGTGAGTCCATTCGCGCGGACCACGATTTGCGACTGTCGCGAATGAACAGCGACACGTGCGCGAAATTCGCAGCTGCGGGCGAATTTATCCTGGAGGGTTACGCTAGAGGAACCGCTGCCACAGCGACCCGGAACTTAGATTCGGATATTCGCGAAGTTGCAGAAATCGCAGTGGCAACAGGGGAAGCGTGGGGGGAAGCGCTGGGGGAAGCGGGGGGGGAGAATGGGGGGGAAGCACGGGGGGAAGCGAGGGGCGGAGCGACGGGGAGAGCGGCGGGGGGAGCGGCAGGGGGAGGAGCTGCGTGCTTGTTTAGCGAAAACCGCTGGAGCACGCCTGGGGAAGGAAGGGTTGCGGAGCCGCTGGGGGAAAACTCGGGTGCGGCGGCGGCGCGTCTCTCGCGCCAGGCGGAAAGCATGAAAGCGCGCCGAGCTGCGTACGACTATTTCTTCCACAATCCACCCGCCCAGCCCGTTGACTCGTCCCTTGAGCTGCCCGTTGACCCTTCCAAATCACGCGCCGTCCTGCCTGCGTGGGACTCGTTTAATCCGCTCTTTTCCGCCGAATGGCGGCTCCACGCAGGCGACGCCAGCGGCGGCGGCGGCGGCGCAGATTGCGCCGCGAGATTTGGGGGGGAGGGTTACAACTGGGACGGTTACCACAAGGAAAGTTACCGCGGGGAGGGTGACGAGTCGTCTGGGTTTGGCGTGTTCTCGTCTCGCAAGGGGAGAGGTAGCCCGTCTTTCTTCTCCCCTCCCCGCCCGTCTTCAGCAGCGGGACTGACTGGCCGTCAGGGCTCTTTCTTCTCCCCTCCCCGTGCGTTTCACATGACGGGCCGTCAGGGCTGCGTCTTCTCCCCTCCCCGCCCGTCTACAGCAACGGGCCTGACGGGCCGTCAGGACAGCAACAGCAGCAGCTCGGTCGTTTCCCCTCCCTGCGGTGAGAGCAACTCGCAGGGGCAGAGGCAGCAGCCCCAGCAGCAGCAGCAGCAGCAGCAGCAGGGGGAGGGGGAGGGGCAGGGGGAGGGGCAGGACGAGGGGCAAGGGGAGGGGCAGGGGAAGGGGGAGGGGAAAGAGAGGGAAGGGGACACACCAGCTAACGAGTTACAGCAGCCACAGCAGGTTCACCAGCATTCGGATTTTCCCCAGAAGCTTATACCGAACTGCTTGTACTCGTTTGAAGCCCCTCAGCCTGGTCCCACATTCCCTGATATGATGCCTCCAGATCATTGCATGACTGCTACATCCGAAGCTGCATCCGAGGCTGCACCCAAAGCTACATCCGGACCAGCTACCGAAGCTGCATACGGAGCTGCTGTCTGTGTGTACGAGCCTGCTCACCGAATCAGCCCTGAGCCCGAAACCGCAGCTGTTCCCATGCCCGTTCAGCCTGGAAGCAAGCTTGCTGTTGCTGCCGCTGCTGCTGCTGCTTCTGCTTGTGCTGCTGGTGCTGCTGGTGCTGTTGGTGCTGCTGCTTCTGACTCGCATCCTCAAGCGAGAGTCCGTGTGCAATCCTGCAGTGCTGTTGCCAGTTTCCCAGCTCAGTCTTTCTTTTCTGCTGGTGGTGCGGCGTGTGGTACTGCTGTTGCTGCTGCTGGTGCTGCTGCGCCTGCCACTGGTGCTGCTGGTGGTGCTGCTACTCCTGACGGGCGCCCTCAAGGGAGAATCTGTGTGCAATCCTGCAGTGCCATTGCCAGTTTCCCAGCTCAGTCTTTCTTCTCTGCTGGCTCTACACCCATCAGCGGACTCATCCCCTTATCCAGTTCCTGTGCTTCTGACGGGGCTGTTGCTATGGGGGATGGCAGCAACACCAGCCACAGCAGCAGCGCACGCAGTGGCAACGGGAGCAGGAGTGGCACTGGCAGTGGCAGCAATCGAAACAGTAAAAGGCGAGGGACGGGCACTAAGAGCAGCACCCCGAGAGACGTGCTGTTTTATGGTATCAGCCCAAGCAGCAGCAGCAACATCCATAGTAGCAGCAGCAGCAGGAGGAACAGCAGCAGCAGCAACTGTAGTAGCGGCAGTAAGGAAAACGGCAAGAGTCCGTCACGCCTGCCAGCCGCCACGAGCGGAAGAGCACACGCCTACTGCAGCGGATGCTCCCCCCGCGATGTAGTGAAAAGGCTTTGGAAAGGGGGAGCTTGGGGGGAGCAGGAGGTGGGGCAACATCGGGCGGTTGAGAAAGGAGAGGAGAAACGAGAGATGGAGATGAGGGGAAACATACTAGTAATAGGAGGCATGGAAGGTGAGGAGGGAAGGCAGGGGGTCTCATGGCATGGGGCAACAGACGCTCAAGAAGCAATTGCAGGTGGTTTGAGGAATGGGAAGCCTGGGCATAGATCCAAGAAGTGGATGTGGTTCAAAAAGAAATGAGCTGAGTGAATTGATATCCTTTTTACAAAATGTTACTGCCGAGCCGAGGGAAACCAATAACATCGGTATGACAAACAGCAATGCTCATGTGATCTATTCATTAAATCCGAAGTCATATGCACATTAGTGCACCACATCACGCTAAACAACAACTGCCATCAAAACCTTGCTACAACACGGCAAATCAATCAAATGCAGCTTGTTTACAGGGGGGTGAGCACAGCACAGCCCTACCCAGATGTGTGTGTCAGTGACTCAGTGTGATGAGCGTTAACGTAGAAACGAATGATTACTAGAGGTGGAAACCTAGAACAAATACTAGTTGGTTGTACTCACTAGAAGCATACCTCAGTCTAGCCTATAACTTCTACATAGATAATATGTATAAGTTGACACACCCCCTAGGCTAGACAAGGGGTGAAACTAAACAAGAAGCAAACAGCTCAGGGCGGCACTACTAGTCCAACCACTGAGGCAGGGGTCTGGAGACCAGTCAGCAAGAATACAACCAAAACTGAAGCAAGCCAGGGTGGCACTACTAGTCCAGCCACTGGAGGTAAGGCCACAAGGCCAGTCTGACAAGCATATATAATAGAGAGTACACAATCAGGATCCTAACAGGGGAGCAGCTATAGGAACAAGACCAAGCTGTACACAGTGCCGCTGATGATCTTTAGGCGCAAGCGCCTTAGTAAAGATATCAGCTGTGTTGGCACCTGAGGCCAAGTGAACTACGCGGGCCTGGCGGCGCTGCTGTAGCTCGCGCAGGAGGAAGTACCGCAGCTGGATATGCTTCGCTCTGCCCTCAAGCCGAGGCTCCTGACACAGGAGTATCATGGCCCTGTTGTCAGCGTACAGGACCGGGGCAGAGCTAGGCCGCTCACCTAAGTCTGTGAGCAAGAAGGTCAGCCAGCGGAGCTCCTGTGCCGCCATGGCACCAGCGTAGATCTCAGCCTCACAGCTAGACTGAGCCACAGACGACGAGCGAGTGGATCTCCAAGAGATAGCACCCGAACCAAGGCTGAAACAGTAGCCCTGCGACGACCTGAGCGTCTCAGCGTCGTCTGCCCAAGAAGCGTCTGTGTGCCCAGTAAGGACCACTGGCCTGCGTCCTCCTAGCACTAACCCCATGCCTGATGTACTAGCAAGATAACGCAAAACCCTCTTAGCGGCAGACCAGTGCTGAGGTCGGTGTCTGCCTGTAGCCACAAAGCGAGCCAGGATGCTGAGAGGGTATGCGAGATCTGGGCGAGTGCAAGTCATCAGGTACATGAGGCAACCCACCAGCTCTGCGTAGGGGCCACTGGGCTCTACTGGCTCCTCAGGAACGGGAGCAGAGAGCCCATGGTCTACGGGTAGAGGTGTGGGCTGTGCGGAGGAGAACTGAAGACCGAACCTCTGAAGGACCTGACGCACCAAGTGTGACTGGGTCAGAGTGATAGTGCGTGCTGCTCTGTCCCTAGAGATCTGCAGGCCAAGATAGCGACGCAGCTCTCCAAGGTCAGTGCAGGTGTGTCTCTTCAGCAGCTCAGCCTTCACAGAGGCCAGTGCGTCCCTGTCAGGAGTAGCGAAGACCAGGTCGTCTACGTAGACAAGGATGTAGAACGGAGTCTGGCCGGAACGCACAAACAGTGAAGGGTCAGCAGAGGACGGAAAGAACTGCAGGTCTGCTAACGTGGCACGTAGCGTGTCGTGCCACTCGCGGGGAGCCTGACGCAGGCCGTAGACCGGGCGCCTGAGAAGCCACTGGGTCCCAGGAGGGAAGGTACCAGTGAAGCCCTGTGGTCGGCGCAGATAGACCTGCTCGTGTAGGCTGCCCTGAAGAAAGGCAGTAGAGAAGTCGAGAGAGTGAAGCTCGTAGTCACGCTGTGCTGCTACGTGTAGCAGCGCCCGAAGAGTGGTCATCTTCGGGGTCGGGGCGAAGGTCTGGAAGAAGTCAACCCCCTCGCGCTGACTGAAACCTCTGGCCACGTAGCGCGCCTTGAAGACAGGCGGCTCTCCAGGGGGGCGCTTCACCTTGAAGAGCCACCGACCATCGACTACGTTCACCCCAGGCGGGGGAACTGCGTCGACGTAAGTGCCGGTGGATCTCCAAGATGCCATCTCCTGCTCCATGGCAGCTATCCACTGAGAGGCCCAAGGTCCCGAGGTGGCCTCAGCGTAGGTGCGAGGGGTCGGGATGTCGAAGGCGTCTGGGTCACCCTCAGGGACTAACAGCATGGAGCAGAGATGGGGAGCAGCCTCGGAAAGGAAAGCCAGCTCGTACTGCCTGTCCTCTAGGACGTCACTGCCAAGGGCAGGAGCACCCCCGACGGACAGAGGACGGGCAGGGTCAGAGACCAGAGCGGTAGCGTAGTCAAGGCGGCGGGTAGAAGCGAAGTCAGCGACAGCAGCGACAAGCGCGTCAAGGCGCGAGACACGAACAGCAGGGTCGGTAACAAGAGAGGCAAGGACCCGAGGGACAAGGGGACGAGCAGCACGGAGGTAGTCAGAGAACGGAGGAGGTGCAACAGCAAGGGACGAGGGAGGAGGGGACGGGAGGAGGGGAGGACGAGACGAGTGGGAACGGAGCAACATAGGGTGGGTGGGCAGGACAGGAGAGACGGGACGAGCACGGGAGGGACGGCGAGCCCAAACGTGAGACGGAGGGGTAGGGTCAGGGGACAGCGGAGGAGACACAGGAGGGGAACGAGGAGGAAGACGGGCCGGAGACGAGTCTGGCGGCGGGAACACAGGACCGTAGACAGGGAGGTCAGGAGGCGGTGGGGGAGACACCGGCGCGCGGTCCGGGGAGGGAAGGCCGAGCAGGCGGAGAGCGGAAACCGGCGGCGACGGCTGCTGCGGCGGCGACGACGGCTGGGCCGGAACTCTCGGACCAGCAGAGGCAGAACGACCGTCGGCAGAACACTCAACAGCAGCACCCCCAGAACCAACACCCCCAGAGCGAGAACCCCCTCCAACACCAGCGGCACCCCCAGAAGCCGCAGGACGAACACCCTCCTCCACACCAGCACCCCCAGGGGCCGAGAGCAGCGGCGGCAGTGGCGGCAACGGCTGCGGCGGCGGCGACAGCGGCGACGGCTGCGGCAGCGACAGCGGCGGCGGCGGCGACGACAGCGGCGACGGCTGCGGCGGCGACGGCGACGGCGGCGGCAGCGGGGTCGGCGACTGCGACAGTGGGGGCGGAGGCACCGGGGAAGGGGGACGCGGCAAGGACGGACCGGGGGTACCACCAGAGTCAGCAGACTCCTCAACGGGGACAACCGACGGGAGGGGAGTGACGTGGGAGACACCAGACGGGGCAGGACGAGGCGGGAGAGGGGCAGGGGCTACCGGGGGAGAGGGAGCAAGGAAAAGGGGGGGGGCAACTGGGAGACCTCGGTGAGGGAAGCGGCGGTAGAAGGAGACGGACTCGTCAAAGGTGACGTCACGAGAGTGGAGGAAGCGGTGAGACGGCGGGTGGTAGAAAAGCCAGTCAGACGAGTCCAAGGGGAAACCGAGGAAGACACAGGGGACAGTGCGGGCAGTGAGCTTGTCCGTGCCAGAGGCACGAACGTGAGCAAGGCAGCCCCAGACGTGGAACGCAGACGCGTCACCGGGGGACCCGGTCCAAAGGAGGGTCGGCGAAACCTGCGGCCGCTGGGAGCGTGGCCACAGGTTAAGCTGGTGAGCCGCGTAGCGAACAGCGAACGGCCACAGAAAATGGGGGGCATCGGCATGGATCATGGAGGTACGGGCGACCTCCATGACCAAGCCGATGCGGCGCTCAGCAACCCCATTCTGCTGTGGCGAGTCCGGCAACGTGTACGACTGGGTGATGCCCTCCGCACGACAGAACTGTCCAAGCCGACCAGAGGCGAACTCGCCGCCACGGTCGGAGTGGAGACACAACACGGGGAGACCGCGGTGGAGACGCGCAGCCACAACCCACGGGAGAAGAACGTCGGGCACGTCGGCCTTCCGCTCCAGGGGAAACACCGTGGTGTAGCGCGTGTAGTCGTCGACAAGCACAAGGAAGTAGCGCTCACCGCGCGGTCCGGGGACGGGGGCAGGGCCCCAAACGTCCAAGTGCAGGGTCTGAAGGGGGGCAGTAGCAGGACGCAGCGAGGAGGAGTGAGGAGCACGGCGGAGCCGACCCTCGACGCAAGGCGTGCACGGTGGCGCAGTCGAGGGAGGAAGGGCAGGGAGCGACGTGGGGAGACCTAAGACAAGACCGTGCTGGGACATGTGACGCAGACGCGGGAGAGCAGGGTGACCTAAGCGGTGGTGCCAGAGAAGGGAGGGGTGAGTGAGGGACCGACACGAGCAAGCTGCAGCGACCTGGGAGGACGCACCAACCGGGGGGGAAGCGGTGTGTAGGGTAAACAGACCGGACACCGGGTCCCGGGGGAACGTCGCAAGGGGGGAACCTGAGACAGCCTCAGAACAGACAGCGAACCGCTCGTGCCCGGGGAACGTGGTGGTGACGCCGAGGTCCTGGAGACAGCCGACACCAACCAGGTTCCTGGAGAACGAGGGAACGTGGAGGCCAGTAAGGGAGCCCGAGGGAACTGCCGGACAGGGAAGGGACGTAGAACTGCGCGCGACGACCGGACCCGCAGAGGGGTCAGCGAGAGAGACAACAGCAGGTGCAGCAAGCGGCGTGAGCGTGGAACGGTCGCGGAAGAAGCAGGCAGAAGCACCAGAGTCGAGAGTGAAGGACAGCGACGCAGTGGCGGGGGCCGGGGACGGAGCCGGTGCAGCGACTAGACTAGGCAACCTAGGCAGTCCTACGCCTGTCGCAGCAGGGGAAGCTAAGCTACACAAGGGTGAAACACCTAAACTAGAGTACACAGGGTAGTAAGATCCATCAACACTAGAAGCGTCAGCATACAAAGCATGCAAAGCAGCACCTATCTGATCGATGTCTAACTCAAAGATCGGCACGCCCTGGCGGAGCAGGCTGTGCCAGTCAGGGAGGTCCGGGGCCGGGCCAAAGCGACGACGAAAAAGATCGTCGAGGCGGCGGAAACAGCGGGCGGTCGGGTGCGGGCGGCGGCACAGAGTGCCGCGGAGAGGCCCGGTCTGAAGCTGGTACTGGCAGGTCACAGCACTGGAGCCGCTGGTAGACGCCAAGCTGCGCGGGCCGCCACCACGGCCACCGCCTCCGGAGGTGCCGGGCCAACCAGGCGGGAGACGAGCCCACGGCTGCGGCGGGTGCTGCTGGGACGGCGGCTGCGGCTGGGGCTGGTCCTGCTGCTGCTGGGACTGCTGCTCCTGCCCACCGGTGGTAGTCCCCTCAGGCGGACTACCGTCACCACCACCACGACCACTACCACCTGCGTCACCACCCCTACCTCCCTGGCGGCCACGGCCATCGCGACGCGAGCGCTGCTGCGGGTGGACAGCAGCAGCCGTCTCGGTAAGAGGGGTCGCCGTGGCGACCGCAGCCGAAACGTCAGTGAACGTGCACGGGGATGGGGCACAGCCGTGAAAGATAGAGACTGGCGGCGCACCGCTCGACTGAGCGATAGTGCGCTGGCGAGTCTCGATCTCAGTGAGGGTGTCGACAAAGGCGGTCAGGGTGAGGTCACCCGGGTGCTGGCTAAGAAAGTGGTCGCGAGCACTAGCGAGGCGGTCTGGCAGGCGCATAGCGATAAAATAGAGCGTCATGCAGAAAGGAGGGGGGAGCGCAGTGAGATGGGCAGCAGTGCTGGCAGTGCGATAGCGAGTCTCTAGGGCACGCAAATGAGTGGCAAAATCTGCGACAGTAGGGAAGGCAGCCAGGTCTGGGAACAGCATCGGAAAGAGCAAGCGGCCAGCAGAAGCGGAGGCAGGGGTGGAATAGCGAGCAATAACGGCGTCTAAATAAGCTTTGGCCGTTTCAACAGTAGCAAAACGCGAGCGCTCAGACACAGGGAGGGCGTGACTAATAGCAACCTGAGCTACTGCATCGCGTGAGTCCCAGATCGCACAGGCCAGCGCAGCAGTAGAGAAAGCCTCACGGTCATCAGAGGAGGGGTCAGCAGGGAGGGGAGTAGGTGCAGGGGGACGGGGGAGCAAGCCATCAGCATGGACAACCAGAGAGTGGCCATCCTGGCGCTGACCTGTAAGCTGGCGACGAAGATCGGAGAGCCAGGCGGCGAAGTCAACCGCGTGGCCCTCAGCGTCCAGGCGGAGCACAAAGTCAGCCATCGTGCAGGGTCAGCGGCACAGCTCCTCAGCGACACAGCGGCACAGCAGCACAGCTCCTCAGCGGCACAGGAGCACAGCGGCGCGGGGACACGGCGGCAGCACTCTCCAGTAGGGCAGCAGCTAGGCGTCCCAGCGCAGGCAAGCAGAAGACACAGGGCCCGAGAGGACACGGCAGGCCGAGCAGGGGAGGCGGGCAGGTGCTCTGGGGCCGGGCTGGTGCTGGGAGGGGCCAGGCTGGTGCTGCTGGGGCCGGTCGGGCACGAGGAGGGGCCGGGCAGCGCTGAGGAGAGGCCGGGCGGCGCTAGGAAGGGGCCGGGCGGCACTAGGAGGAGGCCGGGCGGCACTAGGAGGAGGCCGAGCGGCACTAGGAGGAGGCCAGGCGGGCGAGCGCTAACAGCAGGCGCGACAGAGGCCAGCGGGCGCGACGGGGCCTAAGGGGCGCGACGGGGCCCAGCGGGCACGACGGGGCCCAGGGGGGGCGCGACGGGGCCGAGGAGGCGCGACGGGGACCAGCGGGCACGACGGGGCCCAGGGGGGCCGCGACGGGGCCTAACGGGCGCGACGGGGCCCAGGGGGGGCGCGACGGGGCCTAGCAGGCGCGACGGGGCCTAGGAAGCGCGAAGGGGCCCAGCGGGCGCGACGAGGCCTAGGAGGGGCGCGACGGGGCCGAACGGGCGCGACGGGGCCCAGAGGGGGGGGGACGCGACGGGGCTTAGGAGGCGCGACGATGCCTAGGAGGCACGACGGGGCTCAGCGGGCTCGACGGGGCCCATGGGGGGCGCGACGGGGCCTAGGAGGCGCAACGGGGCCCAGCGGGGGCGCGTTAGGGCCTAGGGGTCGCGACGGGACCCAGCGGGCGCGACGGGGCCTAGGGGGAGCGCGACGGGGCCTAGGAGGCGCAACGGGGCCCAGCGGGCACGACGGGGCCCAGGGGGGGCGCGACGGGGCCTAACGAGCGCGACGGGGCCCAGGGGGGGCGCGACGGGGCCTAGGGGGCGCGACGGGGCCTAGGAGGCGCGACGGGCGGAAGCGGTAGGCGGGGGGATCCTAACCTAAGCGTGATACCATGTTAACGTAGAAACGAATGATTACTAGAGGTGGAAACCTAGAACAAATACTAGTTGGTTGTACTCACTAGAAGCATACCTCAGTCTAGCCTATAACTTCTACATAGATAATATGTATAAGTTGACAATGAGATCCAACCTGAACCTTCCAAGATTCCAGATTCCACACAATTCTCTAGGCGCATAAAGAAGGTTTCTCTCTGCCTTCAAAAGTTTCCAGGCCAGCCACTGTTGCCCATATTAGGCCGGGGCTTTTGAGGCGCCCCAAAAGTTGCCCATATTAGGCCGGGGCTTTCGAGGCGCCTCAAAAGTTGCCCAAATTAGGCCGGGGCCTACCTACCTGTCTAATCAGTCACTGCTGACTTGGGTATCTAAGTCTCATCAGTCACTGCCGCCACCTGTCTAACACGATGGGCTCGCAATACATTCAATCAAGCTGGTTTCCTTTGTTGAAGTATACTCGGCAGAGTTACCGTTCGTGGTTTACTTCAATACCCCCCCCCCCCCCCCCCCCCCCCCAAGCTTTCCACATTGCCTGCCTTTGCATTCAAGTCAAGCTGGTTTCTTTCCCAGCCACTGCTGCCACCACTTGGGCTTGGCAGCCCCGCCGAACGCCCCAGGGCTCCCCCCCGGTACTTTGCCCTTCTGTATAAGCACAATGCTGGAGAGCGTCCGTTTTAGGAATGCCGCCTTGTTGTTTCTGGCACAACCTGATCTACCACCCATAGCACTCCCTTCCATGGCTCCCCCACCCTCCTCATCCTCGTGAAGAGCGGCTTCTGTACAGGTTGTAACAGCAGTTGGAGTGAGGCTGTTGCTTACAAAGCACATGTCATCTGCACTGGCGGATGTTTCCGAGACAGGAACGAAAGCAACCCCCGATGCTTCTGCTCCATCCCTGCACTGCTCTTGAGTCAACTCAAAAGCAGAAAAGTCCTCAGCGCTTACGAAAGTGTCAGCGACCGGCACAAAAACGACCCCCGACGCCCCATCTCTGCATTTCTTCGTCCGCCCAAGAGCCCGTAAAAGAGGCGACCCTAGCGCCGACGACTCTTGCGTCGAGGACTCTTGCGTCCACGACTCCCGTGCCTTCCGAGCCTTCCTCGAACGAGGGGAGTGTGGAGCCGAGGTTGACTCGGAGGCGTTAGAGACAGGGATGAAAACCATCCCCGACGCTCCCTCTCTGTACTTCTTCGTCCTCGCAAAAGCTCTTGTTCCTGCCGCTGCTGCTGTTGCTGCTGGTGCTGCTGCTGCTGCTGGTGCTGGTGCTGGTGCTGCTGCTCCTGCTGCCATTGCACCAGAGCTGAATCCAGAGCTCACGAACCCATCTCCACCCTCAACTTGCCCCCCCTGCGGCGGCGGCGGCGGCTGCTGCTGCTGCTGTTGCTGCTGCTCCTCCTCCTCTGTTCGTATGCTGCCATCCCCCCTGGGGTGTGAAGCCACATGCAACTGCTGCTGCTGCTCCTGTTCTCTCTCCTCTTCTTCTTCCTCCTCCTCCTCTTCCTCTTCCTCCTCCTCCTCTTCCTCTTCCTCCTCCTTCTCCTCCTCCTCTTCATTCTCCTCGCCCTTCCCTGTTCTTATCCAGCCATCCCCGCGCTTCGGCCGGTTGCGCGTCAAGTCAACAGGGGTCTCTCCGAGCCTCTCTCCGAGCCTCACGCCATCGCTTTGGTAATGCTGCTGCTGCTGCTGCTGCCGAACGTAGTGCTGCGGCTGGTGATACGCGCTATAAAACCGATGCGAGTGGTGCCAATCAACCGCTGCCACGTCAATCCCATCACCATCCCCACCACTACCGCCCGTCCCATCCTCCGCCTCGCTCCACCGCCCGTGCTGTAACGAGCTGGGCTGGTAACTGAAGCTTCGGCGAGATGGCGAAAAGAATCCCGGGCTTGAGCTAGAGAGACACGGCGAATCAGGAGACGAGGATACACCACCCGTCCACGTGTCACCGCCATTTCCGCTGGAAAATCCGCCGTCACAGCCGCCGCCGAGTCTGCTGCTCGTTCTCTCGCTGCCCGCGGTCTCGCTGCTGAGATGAGTAGCCGTGGTGCTCCACGTGCTGTTCGACACGTGGCTGCCGCTGCTGCTGCCGGTCGACGTTGACGTGGCGAATCGCGCAGCGGCGAGGGCCCTGCTGGTTACCTTGGCTTTCGCAGCAGAAGCGACAAGCGACGGTTCAGCTGCTGCTGACGTGGCATCAGCCAGTGGTTCCGCAGCGCAGCAGGAAGCTTCGAGGAGGGCAGTGGCAGCGCCGTCGGGGGGAACAGCTGCTGAAGCGGGGGATGCGGCGGGCGATGCGGCGGTCGATTCGGCGGGAGAGGTAGAAGGGAGATCGCCGAGCGACGCGGCGATTGGATTCGTAGCAATGGCAGTGGAATCAACGGCAGGAAGGGAGGCAACGGATTGGGCACCTAGAGGCGAGGCGGTCCTAGCGATAACCGATATAGAGCTGACGCGTTGAAGAGGGATGGTATTCTTATTGTCAAAAGGAGTCGGATGGATTTGAATCCTCGCATCAGGGTGATGCGAATAATGGGTTTGCCTATAGGGAGGATGGGAGAGATGGGACGGAAAGGCCGGAGGTCGTTGCGAATCATCATTGCTAGGATCGCTCACCGCCGCCCAAAAATCTTCCTCGGTTATACTCGCCCGCCCAGTGGTGCCGCCCCTGCCGCCCTGGCTAGTACTAGCAGCACCCCCGCAGCAGAAGCTTCCGCTTCCGCCGCCCTTAAGGCTTCCGCTCCCCCCGCCGTTAAAACTTCCGCTCCCCCCGTTAAAGCTTTCGCTTCCGCCACCGAAACTGCCGCTGTCGCCGCTGCCGCTGCCGCTCCTCCCGAGGACCCCCCTCAAGCGAAACAGGTTACCAAAGGTTTCGCCAGTGGAGCCTTTCGTAGGGACGCGAAAGAAGCTCCCGTCGTCGCCGAGGTCGCACGAGCCGTCGCTCAGCAGTCCGACGCAGCCGTCGCTGCCCTGTCGCTCAAACGAGAAAAACGAGTCGCACGCCGCCGGCGCCGGCGTGGCTCGCGACGGAGAGAAGAACGAAGGAGAGTCACACGACGACGCCGCGGCAGCAGCTTCGATCTTCAGTCTCCTAAGAAGGTCGATTCGCGGGGATTGGCTCGTCAGAAATGCCACGTCAGCACCGCCCCCGCCGAATCCATCCGTGAGCGGGAAGTCCCCCATACCAACCGCGCCGTCGACGCTTGTTCCCGGCGGCAGCGACCAGCGCTGCGCGGAAAGCCGTGCGCCAGTCGCCGTGCCGTCCCTCCGGACGAGAGAATCTCCGCCGCCGGCGGGGGAAGCGCGGGAATACTCTCCTCCGCCGGGGGAGACCGTTTCCGCGGGGTCGCTTCGGAGCCCGCTGCTGCGCGGGCTGCTGGAGGCGAGGACGGTGGAATTAGCGGGGGGAATGGGAGCAACTGCGGGGGGACTCGGCGCAACGGCGTAGAACGAGGGGAAATCTCCGGAGAAGGAACGGGAGTGTCTATGCCGCGGAGCGCTGCGGCGCTCTGCGCGCGTGCGCGGATAACAGGATGATTCGCGCGGGCTGCAGGCATTGGCGGGTGGCGCGGCGTCAGCAGCGGCGGGGGATGCGGGGGGGGATGCGGCGGGTGATGCGGCGCATCCCGTGGCAGTAGCAGCGGCGGACGAGCGCGAGAGGCGCGATCCCCCGGCGGTGGAGTGAAGGTGGTGCGATGCGGACATCGGAAGCATTCGCGGCGCAGTCGCGCGCATCACCTGCGGCGACATGGAGCGGGGACTAGGGCGGAGGGGAACAACGGATCCTGTACTGAACGACCCGTCGGGAACAACAGCGCCAACAGAAATTGGATATGGGCTAGCGTGGCGTTGGGAGCAATGGCGTCAATAATCAACAAAAATCGGTCCTCTGATTTGCGAGAGGGCTATTCTTTGCCCTAGAAACGGAAAATACGAACGCCCGAATTAGCTGGCTTCGTGGGATGACATGGTTGCGGAGCTAGACTATGGTTGGAAATATCCTAGTATTCTAACATTGGCGCTGGACTAAAACCACCAAGACCTAAGTGGTAAGGAACAGCTTTCAGGTGCATCAGCAGCCTTGTGCTTGAGAATAGTCCTGTTCAGAATCTTTCACAATTGCTGCAGCACTTGAAAAAGAGAGGCGGGAACCAGCCAGCGGGCGTGGTCCTTGTGATGGAAACACGGATCGCGAGATCGCCGTTCATGTGATTTACCAAAAGAGACTTGGTCCTGAGGTACAGGACACTCTGTACTATTTTGAGCACACTCGAAGCGACGACCATGCAGGAGAGTGAGCGAAAGGGGGAGGGGAGGGAAGGAGAGGGAGAAAGAGAAATGGAAGGACGAAGGGAACAAGGAAAGAGAGGGAGTCCCTACGACCAAGCCGAGCGAGGAGGACCCAGCGGTGACAGTGGGGAGAGTGGCAGAGTGGCAGCAGAGCTGCCGTGGTGCACGCAGCGCAGCAGCAAGACGACAGAGGCGGAGGACGAGTGCAGGGCTTCCCTTAGGGTTTTTCGTCCACACGGCAGATCCGGGTATATATTTCGTAGGACCTGGATAAACGGGTGTATGGGAAATGTTACTCGTAGAAATCCAGGTAAGAAATAAATGATACTGCAGTCTCGGGAATTTCCGTTATGACAAACGCTCTAACGAAAAGTTCCTGGGTTCTACAAAGGGCACCACGTTAAGCACTCCTCTCCGCCCCTATAATTCTATCTCTGGATATTTGTTGCTGTGCTGATTTTCCCCGGTGTGAGAAGTTCCAGTATCCGTGTTTGCCAAAACCTAACACGTTACTTCACGGATTCTGGTCGAAATATACCCATGAGAATCCGGGTTTCATGAAAATCGAACACGTCGCAATCCGATTTTGGTCGAGAAATCCCCCGCTATTTTGACAAAATAACGGGTGATTTTTCGACCCGGATATCTACCCGGGGAAAAATAAGCCCTGGACGAGTGCAATTCAATTCAATCTAGGGGCGAAATGAATGACTGGCGCCCACATAAATGTGGGCTGGAGAAGTTCAGTACACCTTATAGTCGAGACAGGAGGTATGGATGGATGGTATATCTGTCCGATACGCATTACGGTCCTCCTAGTCCAATTGTCGTGAGACAGACACAGCAGAAGCTACGCTTGCCAACCAATGGAAAGCGATTCATGCGTGGACAGAGAACAATTCTTTTTACAGAAGGCCATACACGTAATAACGTGCATACACAGCTGGGACCTCATCGTGTTTCAGCTTGTGTTGACATAATGCACGTCTGGTGCATTTACGGAACCTTTTTGAAGGTCCACGCTACACACTGTACACGGTGCCTTTTGACGGTTGCACCGCCCACAGGTGGATTCTTCAAGGTCGATCTGCCGGTCAAATTCGAGGTCGCGCGAGATTGGTCCCAAGCCCATCCAATCAGAGCTCGTCTCACGTGTGCATAAACGACAGTCGGGCAGGTCTGATGATGATAACCCACGCTCTGGGTACTGTCCTTGTCAGTTTTGACGGAGGGCTGGAATTCGTCAGGTGAAATAGATTGTGCAGCAGGATGCAGCGAAATAAGGACTTTGCAAGACAGCCTATTGGCCGCGAAAGGGCTGAAACAGGGTTACATCCAATGCAACAAAAAACCTCCAGCTACACCTAGTTCTACAAGTCTATACTGCATGATCCTCAGCAACACGCGTCAATGTTACGTTTCAAGCAACCAATGACACAATCGGAAACCACTGACATCATAAATAACATGGAATCTGACGGCGACCAATCCTAGTTACAATGGGCACATCCAAGACATTGCCAGAACAAGTGTTTTCTCGTACAAAGTGGGCATGTGCTTTAACCTTCAAGCTTTGAAGGAAAAACTCAGGCTAAAGGGCGCATTCCTACAAAGTAGGATCAGAATCAGAAATGCGAAAACTATTATTGAACCACCTTCCCGTTCTATTACGGAGGGATTTGAAACCAGGGCGGCCACTCAGCGTCGCAGGAGGAAGTTGATTGGCTGTCTACACAAATCCACTCGCAACTGCACAACGTGCAGCGACCTGGGAAGGCACTCAACGGGCACAAAAACGAGAGGCACTTGCGCGCCACGTTTGTTTTGTGGCTCTGGTCGCGGGGGGTGTACACGTAGGATCGTGCGGGGCTGGCAGTGGCGTCGCCGAAACTAGCAGGCGACAGATTTACAGGATTGCTGAACTGCTGGTTGTAAAACGGCAGGTTCAGAAACATTGTTGATTCTGATCCTACTTTGTAGGAATGCGCCCTAAGCATAACCATAATCCGCAAGGCATTGTCCAAATACCACCTCATGGCACGAATGGCTACAACAAACTCACACCATCACTTAGCCGCTCGGGCCAATAAAGAACGTCTCTGAGATAGTGGCCTCAATGCTTTCTGGAGTGTACACAAACATCTTGCTTGATGTCAAGTCATCCCTTTGAATAGGCAACATATTTGAAGAGGGAGAGGAGCAAATGGGATGGAATGGAAGGGATTCGGCAGGGAGAAAGCGGCTTGAGTTACGAGTGTTGTCATCACCTGCTTATACATGCTCATTTCAAAATAAGGATGCATTACACACCGACAAATAAACATGCACACGCACGCACGCACGCCTCAAGTTAACTCTCGAGTCAACTGTATACACCGTCTGTCGCACCGGAAGGGCAGCAGCATCTTGCGGTGTCTCTCTCTTACCACCGTTGACCACTTGGCCTGTGCCTATCAAGTCAACTCATGTCAACTCCAGTGAACTCCAGTCAACTCGAGTCAACTGTATACACCCACTGCCGCTCACCAGAAGGGCAGCAGCATCTCACAAGAAGGGCAGCAGCATCTTGCGTTATCGCTCTCGCAGCACCGTGGACCACTTGGCCCATGTATATTGAGTCAACTCAAGTCAGCCCGTGCCTTCAAGGGGTGCATCTCACCAGAAGGGCAGCAGCATCTTGCGGTATCTCTCTCGCAGCACCGTCGACCACTTGGCCCGTGTCTTTCTCCGCAGCTCACCATCGGGGATGCACCACCTCCGCTGCCGTGCCACCAGGGTCTCAAATGCCAGGTTGAAGCGACGCAGCCTGGGAGCGGGGAGCGGGGGGGCGGAGCGTAGGGACGGATGGGGGAGGAAGGAGGGAGGAAAATAAGGCACACATCTTCCCATGGGGAATGCACCAATTTTCAGTCAAGATTGAAGCGACGCGATCTGGGAGACGATTGGGATGGGTGCGAAAAGCAGAACAGGAGAAGGTCAGGAGGAAAGAAAGAGGACGCATCTCCCCATCGGGAATGCACCACCGCCGCTGCCGAGCTACCAGCGTCTCAAAGGCAAGATTGAATCGAAGCAAAGCAGCACAGGCAGCCTGGGATATGAAAGATCAAACGCAAGGGGTGGTGAGGAAACTAAGGTGAAAGGAACGGAAAAAGAGCTTACCTGTTAAGCCTGAGCTTGACTGAGTCAGGTGTGCCTCGGGGAGGTTCATCTGTGAGCGCTGCCATGACCTGCGGAGCGAGGAGGAAGGGGCAGGCAGAGGCAAGAAGAGATGTGCATCAGGTGAGCCAAGGAAGAGTCAGGTGTGCCTTGGGCAAGAGGGATCAACGGGGCACATTGCTCTCCTCTCTTCTGCCATGAGAGGGAGCAGCACAAGCGAGCGAGTCAGTGAGTGAGTGAGTGAGCAAGTGAGTGAGGGAGTGAGTGAGGGAGTGAGGCACGATGGGCAGGCAGGAAGAGAACATGCCAGAATGGTGCCACAAGTCTAAGCCCAACTGCTACCAGAGCAAGAGGGGCTCTTGCCAGGCAAGGCTGTGGGCATACATACATGATACAGCTGCTGCACGATGTGGCCATCCATCAGGTGGCGCACCTGCTGCTCTCAGCGCCCTTCCCTTCGTGCCACGCGTCTAGGCCTTACTCCTCACCTGAGCCAGCGCCTGGCTCTGGAAGGCCGTGGCATGCAGCTGCACTATGTGGCTGCCCCCCAGGTCGGCAATCCCATGGCTGCTACCACAGCGAGCAGTGTGTCCACCTCCCTCCCACCCCTGTGCACCGCACGAACCCCCCCAAGGGCTCACCTGAGCCAGCGCCCGGCTCTGGAAGGCCGTGGCATGCAGCTGCACTATGTGGCCGTCCCGAAGGTCCGCCATGGCTGCTGTGAGGTCCCTGGCGCCCTCCCTGATTGGGTGGGGGATGAAGCGACGCTTGAGTGAGTAAGTGAGTGAGTGAGTGTGCATGTGTGGCCGTCCCGAAGGTCAGCCATGGCTGCTGTGAGGTCCCTGGCGCCCTCCCTGGGGTAGTGAAAGGGGGTGGGGGATGATGGGGAAGGATCCAAAGAATGGAACAGGAAACATCCCCCCCCCCCCCACCACAAAAAATCATTGCAGTTGTGAGGTGGCTTTGAGGCGCCTAACCCCCCCCCCCCCCCCCCCAACCGCCATAGTTGTGTGGTCCCTGGTGCACATACTTGGGGAAGAGCAAAAGGTTAGGGAGATAGTAATTTCGTTTTCAGTCGACTCAAAACGAAATTACTATGACACTGTATTTTTAAGAATTCTAAAAAATACACTGGTGCAGATACATATGACTTAAAGGTTGGGGACGACGAGCAAAAAGGATAGGAAACAAAGAATTCGATCAAAACGACCGTGCATTCGAGAGAATCTACTGGGAAGCTCTCAAACGGCAGAATTTCTCTCAAAGGCACCTCGACCAAAACGACCGTGCATTTGAGAGAACACGGCTCGACATTCTGGGAAGTATTCTGGGAAGTTTTCACACGGCTAATGCATCAACAGGACAAAGCAACGGGTGCGCTTACTTGCGAGCTTGTGACAGTGGCTGATTCAAGCTGTCCACGTGCCACCGGTACCAGTCAGCTCTGATGCAACAAGGCCACAAAGGCATCAGGGCAGAAAGGCACAAGGGCACAAAGGCATCAGGGCAGAAAGGCATCAGGGCAGAAAGGCACAAGGGAGATAGAGCGGTGATGGGGAGAGAGATGAAAGTCAGGGGAGGAGAGGATAGCTGCCCACGTGCCAGCCACCCGTACCAGTCAGCTCTGCAACCACAAGGGCACAGAAACAGGTGCTGCAGCTCCTCCTCGCGGTACAGCTCCTCACAATGGGGGGGGGGAGAGGGGGATGGGGAGACACTCATTACATGCACACATGGCACTGCGTGAGGGTGTGAGTGTGTGAGCGAATGAGTGTGTGTGTGCGCGTGTGCGTGCCACATGCACACTGCTCACACTCACTCACGCGGACTGCACGAGGTAGTGAGTGTTTTTCATCAGGAACAGCAGGTGCTGCAGCTCCTCCTCGTGGTACAGCCCGCCCCGCGCCTCCAGGTTCACCACCAGCGCGCTCAGCAGGTGCGCCCAAGGTCCCACGGGTGAGTGATTGTGTGTGAGCCCGTGCGCGTGCGCGTGCAAAGGAGGCACAGGGGGCACAGGAGGCGCAGGAGACACACGAGGCGCAGGAGGCACAGGAGGCACAGGAGGCGCAGGAGGCACAGGAGGCACAGGAGGCACAGGAGGCACAGGAGGCACAGGAGGCACAGGAGGCACAGGAGGCACAGGAGGCACAGGAGGCACAGGAGGCACAGGAGGCACAGGAGGCACAGGAGGCACAGGAGGCGCAGCAGGGACAACAGGGGTAACAGGGGCAGCAGGAGACTCACGCAGGCTGCACAAGGTAGTGCGTGTTGTTCATCAGAAACAGCAGGTGCTGCAGCTCCTCCCATGGCACTGGTGGTACATGTTAGTTGTAACCCGGGCACAACAGCAGCAGCTATGACTCCCCTTACTCACGCGGACTGCACAAGGTAGTGAGTGTTGTTCATCAGAAAGAGGTGCTGCAGCTCCTCCTCGCGGTACAGCCCGCCGCGCGCCTCCAGGTTCACCACCAGCGCGCTCAGCAGGTGCGCTGTCTCGCTCTCCGCACTCTGCCCCGTCCGCCACTTCCCCACCGCCGCCTTTCCGCCCCCGTCACCCGGCTTGGCTTTACCGCCGCCGCCCTTGGTGTCGTCGCTTTCCCCTCCTCCTTCTGCCTCCTCGCCGTCGCCCACTGCTCCTTGCTCCTCCAGCAGGTGGAAGAGCGAGGCGAGCACGTCCAGGTAGCTGTTGTGGGTGGAGGGAACCCTGCAATATCCAAGGGTATGGGAGGGACGAGGGGAGGTGGCGGCAGGGAAGGGGGGTGGGGAATGGGTTCGTTAGCTCCTCCAGCAGGTGGGAGAGCGAGGCGAGCACGTTCAGGTAGCTGTGGTGCGTGGAGGGGAGCCTGCGAAGAATAAAGGGGGACCAAGCACATGGGGAGAAAGGGGCAAGTGAGGGAGGGGGGGGGGGGGGACAGAGGGCGCTCCCTGCTCCTCCAGCAGGTGGGAGAGCGAGGCGAGAACGTCCAGGTAGCTGCTGTGGGTGGATGGGACGCTGAAGTAAGGAGTGAGTAGCGGGTATGGGAAGGAGGGGGGGCATGCAAAGAACCCATGGCACATACCGGCGCATGCAAAGAACCCATGGCACATACCGGCGCATGTAGCTGCGGATGTAGTTGGCCACGTAGCTGGTGATGGGATCCACCACCCCCCCTGGCGGCATGACATCCTGAGTGCTCTCCTCGGCTGCTGGCGATGCTGACGTGGTGCTCACCGTGCGACCGAGGAACGGCATTCTGAAATCGGGAGAAAGGGGGTAAGGAAGAGGGCAACAGGGGTAAGGCATGGGGAGAAAAAGGTGGGGACCACCATCCCCCTAGCGGCATCACGTCCTGGGTGCTCTCCTCTGCTGCCGGGGAGGCTGAGGTGGTGCTCACCGTGCGACTGAGGATCGGCATTCTTGGGGATTGTGTGCGAAAGGAGTGGCATGGTCGCAGAGGAGGGGGGGGGAGGGATATGAAGAGGAAGATATGAGGAGGAGTCGAAGGGGTCTGCCACACTCCCCTGGCGGCATCACGTCCTGGGTGCTCTCCTCTGCTGCTGCTGGCTGAGGTGGTGCTCACCGTGCGACTGAGAAACGGTATTCTGTGATCGGTACAGGAGGAGAGGGTGGAGAGGGTGGGGGGGGGGGGGGGGGGGGGGAGGGGAGAGAACGTAAAAGGACTTTCTTTTGCCCCCTCTCCGACTTGACTTGCCGACTAAAAAATCACCTGAGCTGTCGTGTGCTCTCCTCTGTTGCAGGTGAAGGGCAGCTCTCCTCGTTCCGACCACCTTTTTTTGAAGCGTCTAAAAAATAGACTCCTCACTCATGGAATTCTTTAGGCGCCTATAACACAGACTCCTCTCGTGTGCTCTCCTCTGCTGCTCCTAAAACATAGTCTATGCTCAGCTCTCCTCATTCCGGCCGTCAACTGCTCACTCTACACATAGTCTGGGCATACCTACCCTCCACCTTTCAGCAACACTCTATCCCACCTGAACAGCTTTCCCAGCGAAGCCTTCTTCTCTCCCTCCCCACCCTCCCCTCCTCCGCCCCCCGCCCCTCCCACTCCCTCCCCACCACCACCACCAGCTGAACCAGCAGCACCAGAGGCAGACGCGGACGGGGAGGCGGAGGAGGAGGAGGAGAGGGGAGGGGCGGCGGCAGCCATGGCTTGGGCTGACTTGGTGGAGGTTTCGAGGAGCGCTTTGAAGCGGTCGAATGTGTCGGCCACTGCCTGTGCGATGAGCAGAGGGAGGTGCTGGCAGGCCGGCCATACCATTTCCATCTTGAGGAGGTTGAATGTGGCTGAGAGCTGGGAAAAGCAGGAGGAAGGGGGAGGGGAGGGAGGGGAAGATAAGAGCGCTTGAGCGAAGAGCAGAGGGGGGTGCTGGCAGGCCGGCTACACCATTTCCATCTTGAGGAGGTTGAATGTGGTTGAGAGCTGGGAAAAGCAGAGGGGGGAACAGTGGGAGCAAGCAGAGGCGGGGCATAGAGAAAAGCAGGGGGGGGTGGACTTGCTTCAGGCAGGCAGGCAGGGGGGGAGGGGGGGTAGAGGGAAGCAGGGGGGAATGGACTTGATAGCAGCAGCACCAGAGGCAGTGCTGGCATGGAGGCCGTACTATACTGCTTCCATCTTCAAGAAGGTTGAATGTTGCTGAGAGCTGGAGCAAGCAGGCGGGGGGAGAAGGGGGGGGCGGAGAGAGAATGGGAGTGCTCATTTTTTGTACAAGTTTTGAGATGCTTCAAGAATGGGAGCACTCTTTCGTACAAGTTTCAAAGACGGTGTTGACGGGGGGAGGGGATGGGATGGGTTGGGGGGGGGAGGTAGAAGGGGTAGATTGCGATGGAGTCAGAGATCCAGGGAGTCAGTGGGGAGGGAATCAAAAGGAGGAATTTTCTTTTTGAGGCGCCTCAAAAATAGACTCCAAAAAAGCAGACTTCATTGAGGCATCTCAAACGTAGAAGGGGTAGATTGCGATGGAATCAGTGGGAAGGAATCAAGAGGAGGGATTTCAACGGGTCTGCTTTTGAGTCGACTCAAAAGCAGATTGCGATGCAATCAGAGGGCCACCAGAGCGTCAGTGGGGGGGAATCAAGAGGAGGGGTTTCAGCTTGAAATTTTCAAGGGGTTGTAACTCCACGTTTACCTCTGGCATGACTTCTTGGGCTGCCCGAAAGGCGTCGAGCAGCGAGAAGAGCTGTTCGGGCAGGTTTCGGGCAGTGATGGCGCGGAGGATCAACGCGTGATCCGCTATGCGCTTGCCCATGCCGCTGTCCTCTAATATGGCTCTCAGTGCCCCCCTCTCGTGCACCTGATAGGTTGTTATGCCACAGAAAGGAGGGTGAGGGGAGGGAGGGGTGGAGGCGGGGGGAGAAGGGGGGAGGGGGGGGGGGCAGGAGAGAGTGGGTATGCTCCGCTATGCACTTGCCCATGCCGCTATCCTCCAAGGTGGCTCTCAGTGCCCCCTTGAGCATCTGATGGGAAAAGTACAGTTCAGAAGCAGAGAGAAGGCAGGGGGAGATAGAGGGGAGACAGAGGGGAGATAGACGCTACGCTATGCACTTGCCCATGCCACTCTCTTCTAATATGGCTCTCAGGGCCCCCCTCTCGTGCACCCGAACGAAAGGGGAGGGTGTGGGGAGGGAGGGAGGGGTGGGGGGGGCGGGGGGGGGGGGGGGCAGGAGGAGAGTGGTGCATGCGCTGCTATGCACTTGCCCGTGCCACTGCCCTCCAAGATAGATCTCAATGCATCCCTTCGCTACCTGCCTACCTGCCTACCTGCCTACCTGCCTACCTGCCTACCTGCCTAGCAGATGGTTGCACACAGCCCCCATGCCCATGTGAGTTCCCTTTCCACCCCCCTCACTCTTCCCCCCCCTTCGCCCCCCCTCCCCCCACTGCCTACCTGCATGCCTCGCCACACAGCCACAGCTGTTCTGCGCTCCATGCCCAGCAGCAACCGGCCCTGGAAAAGCAGGGGATGGGAAGAGGGAGCACAGAGTCGGAGGGTACGAGAAGATGGGCGCTTGTTAAGCGGCTGCCTAACGCCTCCCAGCCATACAGCTGCTGCTGTCCTTTGCTCCATGCCCAGCAGCAACCGACCCTGGAAAAAGGGGAGAAAGAAAGTTGGGGGGTTTGCTGAGCGGCTCCAGCTCCGCCCACGGCATGTCGGCAATCTGCCCTGCTGTCATGTCACCCCTTCCCCATAGCAGCCCCTAACACACACGGCAGCACACTTACCCACCTTCCAAGTTCCCACCACCCACCAGAATGCACATCAACAACCCACCAGAATACACATCAACAACCCACCAGAATGCACATCAACAACCCACCAGAATACACATCAACAACCCACCAGAATGCACATCAACAACCCACCAGAATACACATCAACAACCCACCAGAATGCATGTCAACAACCCACCAGAATGGACATCAACAACCCACCAGAATGCACATCAACAACCCACCAGAATGGACATCAACGACCCACCAGAATGGACATCAACGACCCACCAGAATGCACATCAACAACGCACCAGAATGTACATATCCTGCGTCCACTGCTTGCTGAGCGGCTCGAGCTCCGCCCACGGCATGTCGGCGATCTGCCCTGCTGTCACCATCCACGGCCGCTCCGCCTCCAACCTCTGAAGAGCGCCCTTGAGGCTGTCCACTCGCACAGACCTGAAGGAAAGGTTGGGGGGGGGGGGAAATGGGAGGGGGGAGGGCAGAAGAAGGGCGTGTCGGCGATCTGCCCTGCTGTCTGTCACCATCTGCAGCCTCTCCGCCTCCAATAGCTGCAGAGCTCTCCTTCAAGCTGTCCACACGCACAGACCTGGCGAAGGGAAGGAGGGGGAAGGGGGGAGAGGGGGGTTGGGGGGGAAAACGCAGGAGAGAAGCGGAGGCGGCATCTCAGCAAGTGCCCTGCTGTCACCATCCACGCCCACTCCGCCTCCAACCTCTGTAGAGCGCCCTTCAAGCTGTCCACACGAACAGACCTAACCTAAAGGAGGGAAGAGGGGGGAGGGGCGGGGAAGGGGGTGGGGAACGAGGGAAAGGGCTGCCGACTGAAGGCCTCCACACAGCGTACGCTCTTCCCTCGTAAAAATTAAGCCCACCCACCTGAGCCCACCTGAAGGCACCTGAGCCCCCCTGACGGCACCTGAGCCCACCTGAAGGCCTCCACACAGCGCACGCTCTCCCCTCCCGCCACCAGCCTCGCAGCCGTCTGGTTCAGCCACCGGGCGGCGATTTCCGGCAGCACATGCAGCGAGTCAGCATCCTCCGATTCCCCCTCGTCCAAACCCCCCATCCCCTCCCCACCTAGTCCACTTTCGCCCCCACCCCCTTCCCCCCCTCCCCCTCCCCCTCCTGTGCTATTCCTGCTGCTGCTGGCGCTGGTGCCACCAGTAACGCCGCTTTCAGGGGAGCAGCTGCTCGTGCTGGCGCTGCTGGCAGCAGCAGCAGTGGTGGTGGTGGCAACAGGCGGGTAGAAGTTGCGCTGGAAAATGCGGGAGAGCGTGTCGACTGTGAAACGAGTAGATGCTTGCTGGCTGGCGTGGGGGAAGAGGGTAAGCAACAGGCGACAAAGGAAGGGATGGGCATGGGGACAAGGTGGCAGCAGGCGGGTAGAAGTTGCGGTGGAGGATGCGGGAGAGAGTGTCGACTGTGAAGCGAGTAGATGCTTGCTGGCTGGCGTGGGGGAGGGGATTGGGAAGGGGAAGGAGGGGAAGGAGGGGAATGGGAAGGGGAAGGGGAAGGGGAAGGGGAAGGGGAAGGGGAAGGGGAAGGGGAAGGGGAAGGGGAAGGGGAAGGGGAAGGGGAAGGGGAAGGGGAAGGGGAAGGGGAAGGGGAAGAGGAAGGGGAAGGGGAACGGGAACGGGAAGGGGAAGGGGAAGGGGAAGGGGAAGGGGAAGGGGCAGGGGAAGGGGAAGGGGAAGGGGAAGGGGAAGGGGAAGGGGAAGGGGAAGGGGAAGGGGAAGGGGAAGGGGAAGGGGAAGGGGAAGGGGAAGGGGAAGGGGAAGGGGAAGAGGAAAGTGATGAGGGATGGCATGGAGACAAGGCAGCAGCAGTCGGGTAGAAAATGTGCGGGAAGATGCCGGAGAGGGCATCATCAACTAATCAATCTTTCCATGCCTGCTGACTGGTGTTTGGGATTGAGGCAGGGGGGGTTGGGGGGGGGGGGTGCGGGGGGAGGGGATGGATGAAGGGCATGGAAACAAGAAACAAGGCCCACAGGTGACTTTTGAGTCGATTCTATTTTTGAGGCGCCTCAAAAAAAGGGAGGGGATGAATGAAGGGCATGGAAACAAGAAACAAGGCGTGTGTAATGCCTCAGGCGCCCACAGGTGACTTTTGAGGCGACTCAAAAGAAAGTGATGAGGGATGGCATGGAGACAGCTTTTGAGTCGACTCAAAAGTCACCTACGAGGGGTGAACATGTGGAAACAAGAAACAAGGAGGGTGTATGAGTCGATTTTTTAGTCGACTCAAAAAACAAGGCCCACCAGAGATGATCCAGAACTCTCAGAAATCAGCACCGTCCGCGACATAGTCAGTCAGACCTTTGCATGAACAGAAGAACAGAATGTCCCAGAACTCTTACTCCCAAGTCCTCCACGGCCCACAAAAGACTGCCTGGTTATTCCCAGAAATAACCATTGCCTGTGCCTCATTTCTCACCGTCGCCCGCACAAACAGAATCCCCCTGAACTCGTACTCCAGGTCCTCCATGGCCCGCCGTCTGGCCCCAACAGGGTTAAGGCAGTGCACCTCCGTACCGTATGTATGAGCATACCATCTCACCTGTGCCTGGGCATAACAGCTCACCTTCGCCTCGACAGGATGTCCCTAAACTCGTACTCCAGGTCCTCCATGGCCCGCCGAAGCATGCCGTCCGCGCGCCGCCCGGTCTCCTTGTCCCGTGCCTCCAGCAGCAGAGCGCGCACAGAGAGCAGCAGGTCGATGGCGGGCAGGTACTCGTCCAGCTTGCAGTGCGGCCCCTCCTCTATGAACGCGTCCATCTGGGGCAGAAGCAGGGGTGAAGGAGGGGGGTGGAGGGGGAAAGGGGGGAAGAGGAAGGGTGGGGGGAGAAAGGGCGTGAGGCGGAGGCGCACAGGGCCTCCAGCAGCAGAGCGTGCACTGAGAGCAGCAGGTCAATAGTGGGCAGGTACTCGTCCAGCTTGCAGTGCGGCCCCTCCTATGTAAACGCGTCCATCTGGGGGAGAGGGGGGAGGGGGGAAGGAGCAAGGGACAGCAGGTCACAAAACGGTCCCCTTGTCCCGTGCCTCCAGCAGCAGAGCGCGCACAGACAGCAGCAGGGCGGGCAGGTACTCGTCCAGCTTGCAGTGCGGCCCCTCCTCTAAAAACGCGTCCATCTGGAAGAGGTGTGTGTGTGTGGCGGGGGGGGGGTTGGAAGGGAAGGGAGGAGCAAGCGCAAGGGCCTCCAGCAGCAGTGCCCGCACAGAGAGCAGCAGCAGCAGGTCATTAGCCGGCAGGTACTCGTCCAGCTTGCAGTGCGGCCAAGCCTCTATGACCGCATCCATCTGGGGGGGGGGTAAAGGGGAGCGGGGAACGGGGAGCGGGGAAAAAGGGTATGCCAAATAGCGCTGAGCGGCAGTAGCCGGGCAATGGCCAGCAGGTACTCGTCCAGCTTGCAGTGCAGCCCCCCCTGTCCTATGAACGCGCGGCCATACCTGATCCAGGAGCTCCACCACTCGTCTCCTGGAGATGGGCTCGTCGCCCAACACCTTGGAGTTGTAGTACACATCCTCGTCCTCCTCTTCCCCCTCCTCCGCCTTGGACTCGACTCAGAGCACCTCATTACCTCCCACCTCACCGCACTTCCTCACCTGGTCTAGAAGCTCCACCACTCGTCTCCTGGAGATGGGCTCGTCCCCCAACACCTTGGACTCATAGTACACATCCGCGTCTTCATCCCCCTCCCCTTCCTCCTCATCCTCTTCTTCCTCCTCCTCTTCCTCCTCCTCCTCCTCTTCTTCCTCCTCCCCTTCCTCCTCCTCCTCTTCTTCTTCCTCCTCCTCGTCCCCCTCTGACAACTCCTCCCCATCGCTATGCGTTTGCCTCATCCACCCCTCCTCCTCATACCCCCCTCCACTCCCACCACTCTCCCCATCCCCTCCTCTCTCACTCCCCCTCCTGCCCCTCCTGCTGCCACCGCTGCTGCTGCCACCGCCACTATCACCCCTGCCTCTCCTACCTGTAGCCGCTACAGCCCCGTCTTCAGGCCCTCCGGGGGTAGACTGGGACTTGGGAAAAGCTGCTGCTGCTGCTGCTGCTGCTACACCACCTCTAGAGTTGCGAGCACGAGTGTTACCACCACTAGGGTTACCAAGATATCGTCCCACTGCTGCTCCTGCTGCTGCTGACTTGTGGGAGTGATGATGGTGCTGCTGGTGGTGATGCTGGTGCTGATACGACGGCTCCCTCCCAGCGCCCATGCGCCGTTGCTGCTGCTGCTGCTGACCGTATTCGGGCTCTTGATCCTCTGATCCATGGTGGTACGGGTACTGCTCCCCCGAGCCTAGCACCGCGGCTTGGTACAGCGAGCCTTGAGGCGACGCCACAGGGCTTCCGGAAGGCGAAATCTCTGGTGAATCCACAGGTGTTCTCAGCGGAGTGCGGTTGTTGGCACGGACGGCAGGCAGAGTAACCCTTGCAGGGCCTGCAAACACAGCACCGGCCACCATCAGTGGAATAGAGGGGGCGCCAAAAGCCCCTCCTCCTTCTCCTCCCCCTCTTCCTCCTCCTCCTGCTGCTGCTGCTGCTGCTGCTTCCCCTGCTGTGGCAAACGAGAAACCATCAGGAGACGGAGGGGAAAAGGGCGCTGAATAGGGATACTGCTGCTGCTGCTGCTGCTGCTGCTGCTGGTGCAGGGCATGAGGTGAGTAATCCTGCTCTCCCAAACCTCTGTGGTCCGGAGACATGTCCGGTGTCTGGTTCGGTGACTGGTCCGGTGTTTGGTCCGGAGTTAGGTTCGGTGACCGGTTGGATGAATGGTGAGAGGAGCGCACAGGAGAATGGCCAGGGGAACTGATAGGCGAGTGATCTGAAAACTGGTCTGGAGATCGGTGGGAGGATCGGACAGGCGACCGTTCAGGTGAATGGTCGGGTGAATGATCAGGTGAATGTTCAGGTGAGAGCTCTGTTGGCGACAGATCTGATTCTCCCCTGCCGCCTCTGTTCCCCCTATTGCCTGACCCGCTAGGGTAGCCACCACCAACACCTTCAACCACAGTAGTGCTAGCACTAGAACCTGCTCCTGATTTCCTGCTGCCACCACTTGACCCTCCTGCCTTCCTGCTCCCCCCATGCCCATGCGCCCCCCTATAGTCATCCTCGTAGGCGTCTCTAGGGTCGTGGTGGTCCCGCCCCCTACTAGAACGCTTGCTAGAGTCACTTGTGATGCTTGATGTGCGGCTGGTGCGCCTCTGTTGGGGAATGGGATAATGAAGAGGGAACAGGTGAGGAGAGAGGAGAAACAAGAGTAAAAGGGGAGTATCTAGGGTCGTGATGGTCCCACCCCCTACAAGCACGCTTGCTAGAGTCACTTGTGGTGCTTGATGTGTGGCTGGCGCGTCTCTGCAAGGGACCACGGACGGGGCGCAGAGGAGGAGCGTAGGGGGAAGAGAGATGAGCTGGTTTCCGGGAGGGAGTTCCCAACTCGTTACACAGTAGGTAGGAACCGAGCCCTGCCATCGCGTTTGTTTGCCCGAGTCCTCTTGTGCGTGCTGGTGCGTGCTGGCTAAAACCGTAACCAGCGCGTCTCACCCGCGACCCATGCTCGTCCTCCACGGACGAGGGCGACGGCATGCCTTGCCTGCCGGAAGTCACGAGACCCGTATCGTGCCTGATAAATCCTGCTGGTGCCTAGTGCTGCGTGCTGGTGTCTGCTGGCTAAAATCATAAGCACCCATGCGTCTCACCTGCGACCCATGCTCGTCCTCTACTGACGAGGAAGACGACACACCATGCCTGCCGGAAGTCATAAGACACGTATTGTGCTTGCTGGTGCCCACTGGTCACGGCCATAACCCCCCATGCGTCTCACCTGCGACCCGTGCTCGTCCTCCACCGACGAGGACGACGGCACGCCGTGCCTGCCGGAGCTCCGCCCCTCCTTCCCTCCCTCGCCATGCCTCCTCTCCCTCTCCCTCTCCCTCTCCCGCTCCCGCTCCCGCTCCCTCTCCTTTTCTCGATCTCGGTCTTTCCCTCCCCTCTCCCTTTCCCTCTCCCTCTCCTTGGTTCGATCCCGCTCCTTGTCCCTCTCGCGCGGCCTCTCTCGCTCCCTCTCTCGATCTCGGCCCTTGTCCCTCTCCCTCACTCCTTCCCTGTCTCTGTCTCGATCCCTGTCCTTTACACTGTCCCTATCGTAATCCCTATCCCTGCCTCTCTCTCGTTCCCTCCCCTTGTCTCCGTCCCTCCTTTCTCTATCTCTCCGTTCCCTATCCCGACTGCCGTCGCGACTCCCCTCGGTTCGCTCTACCCTATCTCTCGTCCTCTCCCGTTCCCTATCGCTATCTTTATCTCGATCTCGATAACGATCCCTATTCTTATCCCTATCCTTATCTCTATCGCGGTACTTATCCCTGTCCTTATCCCTGTCTCTATCCCTCTCCCTATCTCTATTCCTATCTCTGTCGCGGCTTGCGCTGCTTCTCTTATGATCCTTCCCCCCTCTATCCCTGTCCCTATCTCTATCTCTATCCCTATCCCGATCCATGTCCCTATCTCTATCCCTATCCCGATCCCTCTCCTTTCCGCGACCGCTTTCGCTCGACTTGTCACTGCTAGATCCAGTCACTCTCCCGGCCTTGCTGTCTCGCGTCCTTCCCGTTTTTCCATGACTTCCCGGTAGCGGCGGTCGCACGTCCCACGCTTCAGGCGAATCGTCGTCATCGTCGTAACGCTCCATCGCAGCACCAGAATGCTTTCTTCAAGCGTCGCAAACCTACTCGTCGTAGCGACGTTTCATTGCAATACCAGAATGGTACATGCAACGCCTGTGAACTTACAAGTAGGGATAATCCAGCTTCTGCTAGGCGCTGCTGCTCCAGAGAAAAAAACTAAAAGCAGCGGCAAACTAGGGTTAACTTCTAACCAGAGACGCTTCCGATAGTGAGTCTACGTCAGCTGGCATTGACCAACAACAAAGCAACCGCCAATGTTGCATTCCCGCATCACTAACGGACCGTCGAAACAAGAAGGAATGAAATAATCGATCACTCTCTGCTTTGTTAGCTTGAACTGCCTTGTAATCAACACACCAGCTGCACTATCACCATTCGAACAGTCATCCTATCCTAAATAAACCGAACGCATACCAGTGCGGACTTTCCCCTTGGTAACCTGGAGGGGAGAGTCAGGTTCCATGATGCTCGTTGGTTGGAAAGGTTTGATTTTCTGGCCCTACAAAATACCAGGGGCGGTATTCGTAGTCAGGACGCGAGGTGGGGACACCACCTTTTCTCTTCCATAACATTTGTAAGTTGTACATTTCCGCGAAGTTCCGACCCTTCTCTCGTACATCAGGGAAAGATCGGAAACTGGAGATGCGCTCATGTCTTGCAGATGGGTGTCAAGGAAACAAATACAAAAACGAGAAACGAGGCATGACGAACCATAACGGCTTTTCCTCCTGCGTTACAAAATTTCGCTGTTGAGAAGTACGGCCAGGGGCAATGTACTGTATGGAGTCTGGTCCACTATTAGCACATCAAACGTCTTATCAGAAACGTATTAATGTTCACAAATTCCATTATGTTCATTTCCGTACCACATTCACCTATGGAGTGGACATACACGTTGGGGCAGCTATACAGATGACTTCATGGCAAGCTAACCGTCAATGAATTCATCCAACACATTGCAAAACTCATTGATACATTGCCAACTTGGTTGTTGCATGCTGTCTTGGGGTAAGTTCCCACAAACAAGTCCCAACAATAGGGTTTCAGAGCCTCAGATTGCAGGCTTTTTACACTGATTCAGGGTAAAATCAGGGCTTTTTTAGGGGGTGACCCTGATGAGACAGGATTTTTTTTAAGATAGAGGCCTGAAATTTCAGGGTTTTTTAAAGAGTGAACTCTGATTGATCAGCGTGCCTAGTGTAGTGTGGCCTGTTTTTCCAGCGTCGTATCGGAGCCAGACCCTGATTCTTCTCATAGCGGATTCCCAGCCCCAACCCCCCCACCCTGTGATTTCCGTGAACCCCCCCCACCCTATGTCAACTTATACATACATTCTGCATGTAGAAGTTATAGGCTAGAATATGTGTATGTTCTTAGAGAGTACAACCCAACCCTATATCTTGTTCTCCCTTGTTTCTAGACATTCAAGTATTCTAACATGGTATCATGAGTAGGTTAGGTCCATCCACCCGCTTCCGCCCCGCGCCCTAGCCTACCGCCGCGCCCCGCGCCTCGCCGGCCCCTAGAGCGCCCGCCATCCCCCCCCCCCCCCCCCCCCCCACCCCCGCGCCCCTCTCGCGCCGTAGCCGGCCCCTCGCGTCTCGTTGGCCCCTTCGCGCCCAGCCGGCCCCCTCGCGCCCAGCTGGCCCTTCGCGCCTAACCGGCCACTCGCGCCCTAGCCGGCCCCTCGGGCTGTCGCCGGCCCCTTGCGCCCTAGTCGGCCCCTCGCGCCCTAGCCGGCCCCTCGCGCCCTAGTCGGCCCCTTGCGCCCTAGCCGGCTCTTTCGCGCCTAGCCGGCCCCTCACGCCCTAGCCGGCCCCTCGCGCCCTAGACGGCCCCCCATGCCGCCGCCGGCCCCTCGCGCCGTAGCCGGCTCCTCGCGGCGTCGCCAGCCCCTCGCGCCCAGCCGCCCCCGCGCGCCCTAGCCGGCCCTTCGCGCCCTAGACGGGCCCCTAGCCCCCTAGCTGGCCTCTCGTGCCCTAGCCGGCCCCTCGTGCCTAGCCGGCCCTTCGAGCTTAGCCGACCCTTTCTAGCGCCGCCGCCAGTTCCTCTACCGCCTTGCCGGCCCCTACCGCCTCTCCGGCTCCTCGCGCACCTGGTCCCTGTTCCCTAGAGTCCTGCCGCCACGCCGCTGAACCGCCGTGCAGCTGAGTACCCGTGTTCCTGTGCTGCTGCGCCGCTGTGTCCATGTGCCGCTGTGTCCATGTGCCGCTGTGTCCCGGTGCCGCTGAGGTTGTGCGATGGCGGACGCCATGCTATGCCTGGACGCGGAAGGGCACGCGATCGACTTCGCCTCCTGGCTTGTCGATCTTCGCCGGCACCTGACAGGTCAGCGCTAGGATGGGCACTCCCTGGCTGTGCATGTTGATGGCTTGCTTCCCCGCCCCCCCGTGCCTGATCCCCTCCCTGCTGACCCCACCACTGCTGAGAGTGAGGCCTTTGCTGCTACTGCGCTAGCTCGCGCTGTCATGGATTCTCGCGATCTTGTAGCACAGCTTGCCATTAGTCATGTGCTTCCTCTATCTGAGCGTCCCCACTTCACTGCTGTAACAAACGCCAAAGACTTCCTAGATGCAGTAGTTGCACGCTACTCCACGCCTGTCTCCGCCTCAGCTGGACGCTTGATCCTCCCCATGCTCTTCCCCGATCTCTCTGCTTTCCCTACTGTCGCTGATCTCGTCACTCACCTCCGTGCACTCGGGACTAGCTATTGCGCTGCCAGCACTACTGCCCAGCTCGTTGCCTTCCCCACATCGTTCTGCGCTACCCTGTACCTTATTGTCATATGCCTGCCTGACCGTTTAGCAACTGCCCGCGACCACCTCCTTAGCCAGCACCCTGGTGACCTCACCCTGACCGTCTTTGTCACTACCCTTCCTGAGATAGAGACTCGCCAACACACTATCGCTCAGTCGAGTGGTGTTGCGGCAGTCCCTATCTTTCAGGGCTGTGCTCCCTCCCAGTGTACGTATGCTGACGTGTCCGCCACGGTCGCTATGGCTGCTCCTGCCACTGACATCGCAGTGTCGACCTTCCCGCAGCAGCAGCGACAACGTCGAGGCCGTCGCGGCCCCAAGGGAGGGCGTGGTGGTGGTGGTGGTGGCAGTGACAGTGGCTCTGACGAGGGGCCTGGGGCAGGTGTCCAGGAGCAGCAGCAGCAGTCGCAGTTGCAGCAGCAGCAGCAGTTGCAGCTGCAGCAGCAGCAGCAGTAGCAATCGCAGCCGCAGCCGGAGCAGCAGCAGCAGCCGTGGGCCCGCCTCCCGCCGGGGTGGCCAGGAGCCCTTGGAGGTGGCAGCCGTGTTTGTGGTCCCAGCAGCTTGGCGTCTACCGGCGGCTTTGGTGCTGTAGGCTGCCAGTACCAGCTCCAGACCGGGCCCCTCCATGGCACTATGTGCCGCCGCCCGCACCCGACCGCCCGCTGCTTCCGCCGCCTCGACGACCTCTTCCGTCGCCACATCGGCCCGGCCCCGGGCCTCCTCGACTGATGCAGTCTCCTCCGTCACGGTGTGTCTGTGTTTGACTTAGACATGGATCATATTAGTTATGCCCTGCATTCTCTGTATGCTGACGCTTCTAGTGTGTCCGGATCTTATTATCCTGTGTTCGCTAGCTTAGGCATAGCACCTGTGTGTAGTACAGACTCCCCTGCTGCGTAAGGCGTAGGACCGTTTGCTTTGTCTAGCCTAGGCTCCACACTCGCTTCTCCTTCGGCTGCCGCTTCTGCTTCGCTGTCCTTTATACTTGACTCCGGTGAGTCTGCCTAATTTTTCCACGACCACGCCGCGCTTACGCCGCTTGCCGCGCCTGCTGCTATCGCACTGGCTGACCCCTCTTCTGGTCCTGTAGTTGCGCGCAGCTATACTACCCTTCCATGTCCGGCGGTTCCCTCCGGTTCCCTTACAGGCCTGCACATCGCCTCATTCTCCCGGAACTTAGTTGGTGTCGGTTGTCCTCAGGACCTCGGCGTCACCACTACGTTCCCGGGTCACGAGCGGTACATCATCTGTACCGAGGTCGCCTCAGGTTCCCCCCTTGCGACGTTCCCCCGGGACCCGGTGTCTGGCCTCTTTACGCTGGACACTGCTTCCCCCCCGGGTGGACCTTCCCCCCCTTGGGTCATGCATTTACCCAGGTCGCTGCTGCGTGCTCGTGTCAGTCGCTCACTCACCCGTCGCTTTTGTGGCGCCATCGCCAAGATCACCTTGCAGTCCCCCGCATCCATCACATGTCCCAACACAGTCTCGTTCCAGGTCTCCCTGAGTCGCTTCCTGCCCTCCCTCCCTCGCCTGCGCCATCGTGCACGCCCTGCATTGAGGTCCGGCTCCACCATGCTCCTCACTCCTCCTCGCTTCACCCTTCCACCGCACCCCTCCAGACCCATCACCAGGACGTCTGGGGCCCAGCCCCCGTCCCCGGACTGCGTCGCGAGCACTACTTTCTAGTGCTCGTTGACGACTTCACGCGCTACACCACGATGTTTCCCTTGGAGCGGAAGGCCGATGCGCCCGACTTTCTTATCCCATGGGTCGTAGCTGCACGCGTCCACCGCGGTCTCCCTGTGCTGTGTCTCCACTCTGACCGTAGCAGCGAGTTCACCTCTAGTCGGCTTGGACAGTTCTGTTGAGCGGAGGGCATCACCCAGTCGTACACCCTACCGGACTCCCCGCACCAGAATGGGGTTGCTGAGCGACGCATCGGCTTGGTCATGGTGGTCACTCGTACCTCCATGATTCATGCCGGTGCACCCCATTTTCTATGGCCGTTCGCTGTTTGCTACGCCGCTCACCAACTTAACCTCTGGCGGCACTCCCAGCGGCCGTAGGTTTCGCCGACCCTTCTTTGGATCGGGTTCCCTGGTGACGCGTCTGCGTTTCATGTCTGGGGCTGCCTCGCTCACATTCGTGCCTCTGGCACGGACAAGCTCACGGCCCGTACTATCCCCTGTGTCTTCCTCGGTTTCCCCCTGGACTCCTCTGACTGGCACTTTTACCACCCGCCGTCTCACTGCTTCTTTCACTCCCGTGACGCCACTTTCGACGAGTCTGTCTCCTTTTACCACCGCTTTCCCTACCGAGGTCTCCCGGTTTCCCCTACCATGTTTCTGATTCCCACTCCCGCGGTTGCCCCTGCTCACCTTCCTCCCCGTCCTGCTCCGTCTGGTGTATCTCACGTCACTCCCCTCCCGTCGGCCCTCCCGATCGAGGAGTCGGCTGACTCTGGTGGCCCTGTGGCACAGTTTGTGCCGTTTGTCTCTCCCCTGGTGTCTCCTCCTCCGCCGTCGTAGTCACCGCCACCGCAGCCGCTGCCGCCGCCGCCGTCGCACCAACAACAGCCGTTCGTGGCCTCTGGGAGAGCTGGCGTTGAGGAGGGTGCTAGTCCTGGGGTTCTTGTCATGGCTTGTTCCGGCGGGCTCGGGGGTGG